GTTGAAAATATCATATGGACCCTATTTTAAAATAAGAAATACAGTCAAGTCAGGGCCGTCAGATGGGGGGGTGCGATGGGTGCGACCGCACCCCCCTTTGTCACCCCACAAAAAAAATTTGAAAAAAATGTTTTTTTTTGAAAAATATTTTTTTTGTAATTTTTTTTCATTGACTCATACACTTTGAAAGTACCCAGAAAACACCAAATAGCATCTTAAAATTGAAAAATTTTCTAGGGGTATTGGCCACCCCTCACACCCCCCACAAAACAATGGAAAGTTCTTTTATTTTAGTGTTTTGTCTCAGACACTTTTAAAGTGCCCAGACATCATCAAATAGCTCCTTGATATAGTTAGTGTTTCTGGGGGACTTGCTCCCCCTCTTGCATCTTGAACTTGCCCCCCCCCCACTCTGGCGCCCCCCCCTCTGGCGCCCCCCCCCTCTGGCGCCCCCCCCTCTGGCGCCGCCCCCCCCCTTGACCCCCCCCCAAAAAAAATTGTGATTTTCTCAAATTCTTTAATTGACTCATACACTTTGAAAGTGCCCAGAAAGCACCAAAAAGCGTCGTAAAATTGTAAAATCTTCTAGGGGGAGTGGGCCACCCCTCACACCCCAAACAAAACAATGGAAAGTTCTAAATTTATTTTAGTGTTTTGTCTCAGACACTTTTAAATTGCCCAGACATCATCAAATAGCTCGATCCTTGATAAAGTTAATGATTCTGGAAGACTAACACTTACTCGTCCTCTGGCATCCCCACTCCACCTCCCCCTCTGGCAGCCCCCCCCCCTTAACACCCCAAAAAGTGCCCAGAAAGCACCAAATAGCATCTTAAAATTGTAAAATTTTCTTGGGAAATAGGCACTTTTAGGCACAGACACTTTTAATGTGCCCAAACTTCATCGATTAGCACCTTGATATTGTAAATTTTGATATGGGGGACAAACACTTGCTCCCCCTCTGGCACCCCAGCCCCACCTCCCCCTCTGGCACCCCTCCCCCCTTTGACACCCCCAAAATTTGAAAAAAATTGTGATTGTTTTTCAATGTTTTTATTGACTAATACACTTTAAAAGTGCCCAGAAGCACCAAATACCATCTTTAAATTGTAAAATTTTCTAGGAGAGTTAGCCACCCCTCACATCCCCCACAAAACAAAAGAAAATATTCTGAATTTCATGTATTGTCTCAGACATTTTTTAAGTGCCCAGACATCATCAAATAGCACCTTGATATGGTCAATGTTTCTGGGGGACAACCCCTTGCGCCCCTACTGGCACCCCACCCCACTTCACCCTCTCATCCTCTTTGACACCCCTAAAAGAATTTGAAAAATAAATTCACATTTTTCTTATTGACTCATATCGCACAGGCGTACCAGATGGTTGCAAATTCGCTCCAAATACAACCAAATTTCAAAATTTTCCTGGGGGGAGACCCAGACCCCCTAGGCCCTGAATGCTCAGTTTTTTATTCACTCAACTCTTATTCCCGTGGTGGTGGCGTACTACTTAGAAACTTACACAATGAAAGTGCCCAGAAAGCACCAAATAGCATCTCAAAACTGTAAAATTTTCTAGGGGGAGTGGACCACTCCTCATACCCCCCACAAAACAATTGGAACGTTTGGAAGTTGCATTTGTTAATTCCAAACCAATATAGGGAGTAACTGACCCCCCCCCCCCCCCTCTGTCTTACGCGATTTGATTACGCGGCAAAAAAATGACAATTTTATATTCTCTTTAGTAAGCTAAAAACCGCACCCCCCTTGGAGAAAAGTGTCTTACGGGCCTGCAAGTAGTGAGATATAACAAGAAATAAAATGAATAGGCATGTAGTAGACACTCAAAATTGTACAAAACTGCCAGAAAGTCAGAGACTTTATTCAAATTTTAGAGAGAAATTTTGAGAAAATCCATAACAAGTTTTGGATTTTGAGCAGATGGCATACCTGAAGGCTTTAGATTTTCATAGAACTGTTTAGTAGTAAACGTAAGTAGGTAAGGTGGTATACACTGGAATACATGATCAGATAAGACTGCTTACGTCATCAAGTGATGTGCACCTAGCAAACTTTAGTGATCTGTCGGAAGGTATTACATCTGATGATATGATATTAGGTCGTTCCTCCCCTTTTGAAGAGGGCTTCAGATCAACATTTCATCTAAAGATCTCGAGAGACTCTTGTGATTACTTAGTCTACTCTGCCTTCTTTCAGCTATTTTTCTATTTTATTTCTGTTCTGGTCACAGACACTATGACAGTTTCCATTGACAAGTTCAAGGTTGTTTCACCATTTCAAAATTCTCTCATTGGTACCCTATTTCTTCATTTGATGGCTACATTACCCTCTGGCTTCTGCATACGATTTCACACCTTTTAATGCTGATCTCAATGGCCTTAAATGTAGTTTTCTCAGGTTATAAAGCAGATTTAGTGTTGTGATTTCTAACATAAGTTAACCAGTACACCTCGAAATGTGAACACGTTTCATTGGTCCAAATTTTGTAATTTCTCATCGACTTTCTTGTTTAAAAAATCTTGAAATATAAACACCTGCAATTCTGAACACATTTGACTGGTCCCTGTGGTGTTCGAATTAGAAAGGTTCTACTGTACATTGTGATTGGATATTGGCTTATTTAAAGAACTAACTGTAATATGAAGAGTGAAAATGAACTGGAGCTATTGTGAAGGGTGAAGTCTTGAAGGAGGTTTTCTTGATAAGGACTCTCAAATCCATGATCTGGACTGATATAGGTACTTCAGTGCAATATCCTGGTTAATCCAACACTAGTCCATAAAATCTGTCTGTTATAATTTGATATGAGTTAATTCCAAGAAATGATTTCACTTCCTTGTTACAACGAAATAATTTATAAATGCCTTTATCTGTTTATTTATTTTGCATGCTCGGTCATTTTATAGCTTTCTACATTACTTATCTATGTCTAACTAGTAAGAATCTTTTGTTAGTTTAATTGCTCAATTGCAGGATCAATTAGTAAATTCATTCTGTGGCAAAAATTGCAAGAAAAGGGAGAGGAGACCCCCTACCAATCATAAAGTCAAAGAATGAGCAAAAATCATTTGAAACTAAGCTGTAACTCTGAATTTTTGAGTTAACTAAAACATGAAATAGAACTTAAACTTACCCTTTGCATTCGTTTGACTTCACTTCTTAAAAGAGAGCTTCGTCTTCACTCTTTCAAACTAAAATAAACCTGTGAACTCACCGCGCCAATCAGTGTTCGTCGGCCAAATTTGACCGACGTTCTATATATGGTCATTCCTTCTGACGTCATCGTTGAGCCCGGAATTGACCAATGACATGCGCATATTTAATTAGAACGCATTTGGCGTATGTTTCTTCAAGCTCGCTGATTGGTGGAAGAAAGGTCAGCGCGTAGATCAGAAGTGATTTATTACCCAAACTGTCCCCGGATCCGTCGTGGGGGCGGGGCTACTAAACTGTAATATGGTCTCTACTAGGCAGAGTGTAGTTTAACTAGACTCTGCACGCAGGGTAACTTAAACTATGAATTGTGGTATCACACAATAAACCAACGACACAATTAAAAAGACTGGTAATGTCAGTGCAATTTTTAATGAATGAATATTTCTGATGTTTTCCGCTGGTTTATTTCATGACTCAGGAACATCAATTGATTTTGATTACCACAATTGTTTTAATATAACTGATCCACTGTAAATCAAAGGGGCATCAAACCACGAATAGTACAAAGGCAGTGAACAGAATGACATTAATTGTTTGTTTTGCTGTATCAGTAAGGAACCGTGCCTATGACGTCATAAACTGTTCAAATTAAACCAGATTGAAATCAGTGAGGTGTAGATTATTTGATTCATAGTTGTTACTAGGGCGATACATGTCTGACCCATGCATGATCGCATATATTCCTAAGCAACAAGCAAAAATGAACTTCCAAAATATGATGTAGTTTAACATCCGGGTTTTGTTTTGCCATACAGGCTTTGTTCAGATGGGTGAAATGTGAAACATAGAAGCAAGAAAAAAATCTACAATTTCTGTTTTTCTTCCTAGAAAAATTGTGGTTAAAATGGAAACGCTGTCCTTTTACTCACATATTGGTCATTTTTAGGATTTACTACCTGATATTTGGCAAAGTATATCATTCAATTATTCCAGCTTGCTATATATCATGACCATCAGACTGATAGTCACAATATTACAGCACTTTAAAAAATATGCTCCATGGGCCAATATCGTGCTGTAGGCAAACCTGCACACATTGTCCAAAATGTTCCAACTTACTAACGCATTGAGATATGTCAAAGATAGAGTGTACCCCCAGGCCAATTGCAAACACTAACTTGTCTCATTCAGGCCATACTTACTGAGAAACGCAGTCAATTCACTGACAACTTTGGGTAACACGTGCAGATTTGTCTTGAGCACTATGATGGCCACACCTGGAGCATGTTGTTCAAAGTGCCGTAACATTGTGACCACTGTCTGATGCAGGGCTGTCAACTTGGGACCACCTAATATGAATGACTTACAAATGTTGGACACCTAAGTCCAAATCTGAACACTTTTGTCCAAATTTTGAACACCTTTGGCCAACTTTTAAACACCTTTGGCCAAAGTTTGAGCACCTTTGCCAAACTTTGATCACCTCAAATTTTTCGCGCTAGCTATGCTCGCGATATCGTCAACGGGATGGGGGGCTGGGGTAGGTACGAAAATTTCCAATTAACATACGTGACATATATTCCAATTGTCACGTGACAAATCCGAACAAATTGCGTTCGGTTTTTTTCCGACGTTCGTATTTTTACCGTATCTTAAACATATTTTGAAAAATTTTCTACAGAAATATTTTTGCTTGACAATTACCAGGTAAAATGCGTATTTGCGTGACATTTTCTGTCACGCAAAAAAAACTGGCATGACTTCAAATTCTTCAGCAAATGCGTGACAAATACGCAAATTGCGGGGCAGTTGACAGGCCTGCTGATGGTCATGAGAATATCAAAGGCTGGTAGGAAATTGAATGATGTACACATGTGCTAAATATCAGGGAGTGATATCTTAAAATGACAAAGATATGAGAAAATGCAGGGTTTCTGTTTTTCACCACCCTGCATGCCCCTCATTCCATAATATTCTAATTTAGAAAATAAGAGAGTGTGATTCACAGTATCAAAAGGATTTTTTTAGTATTTTTGAAAATATGTCTAGTGTGGAAATGGGTCTCCCATTTGTAAGTCTGTCTGGTTCTCCTTTTTTGGAAATGGGTCATATTTCTGCTGAAATGTTTTATCTTCATAATTTATGTTCCAAACTTTTTCAATTTCACCTTTTATTATATGGTGACTTGTGAATATATGTTTATAACCACAGACATTCAGGTTCATTCTTTTTGTGTTGAATCCTTTCACTGATCGTACTTTATATCCCAGTGCTTCATTACAAAGTGCCACATAGACATCTTCAAGGAAGAAGAAGGGTATATTGGGTGAAACTTCCACAATATCTTTGGCTACCTTCATAGTTGTGACATAGCCTGTGCCTGAGCAGAAGTGGGGGAACAACAAATGAGGGTACTGTTCAGGAGAGACATAATACTTCGATAGCACCTTCCTTTGGGGCTTTAAGTACCCGGGGCATTTTCCTATTATTTCGTTTTCAATTTTGAATGAATCAATGAATTTCAACAGTCTTGGAGTATTAACCCACATATCAGTATCAGTTTTCATAACATATTCAGCATTTGAGCAAAATTCTGTAGCCCATTTTAGACCAGACATCGTCTTTAGAGTCAAATTTTCGTACTCATCCATGAAGTCATTCATGAGGATATCCCCATATATTATAGCTTCTGCAACAGTTCTCACATTCCACTTTGGGTCCATGTGCTTTCCCAAGAGGAAAACATACCTTAGTTCTCTTGTGTTACCTATTGAAATGCTTGTCCAAGTTTTGCGCAACATGTCCCGAGTTTCCGTTTCATGGTGAAGTGTAAAAATGATTACCAATAGCTTAACCTGAGTTGTGGAATTATTTGTGGAATTATTTGTTGAGCACAAATTATCATTTTTGTAGATGTACGAAGATTGCGGAAAACATGCATCACACCTATCTGGTCGCAGTTCTGAAATATTAACTGTTCGGTTCATAGAGAAATTGCTATTTTTTAAAACTTGTTGATAATCAAGGAATATGGAACTTGTGTTCACTGTCGTTTGTTTGTTTATTTGTTTATCTAATAATAGGGAATTATTTTTAGTCAAAGCAGTACTTGTGTTATTTGCTTTGCTGCTATTTCTTTCATTATTAGTAGCATTTCCTTCATGTTCATTTATTCCATTTGTATTCTTTAATGTTCCCCTCCTGGTATATCCCACTGATAGTTGATCTTGTTGACCCTTTGAAGGTTGTTGTACTGTCTGGGTCTTGTTATTTCCATTGAGTTCAATGCCAACAGTTGTATCATTGTCAGGTTCTCTCTTTTGACGTTCTTTTATTTCATTTACATTAATAAATTGTCCTCTTCTAGTATATTCCACTGATATGTGATCTTGTTGACATTTTGGAGCTTGTATTGTCATATTCTCAAGGTATAGTCCTAGTGATGTAATCATTATTGATACTATGCATAAGACAAACATGAAAATCTTAAAAATCTTTATCATGTTGAACTATATTGATTGATGAGACTTCTTGTGTTCTCCTAGAATATCTTTCCTGTGTTCTTTTTATGTCACTATTTTTTGGTTTTGCTCCACCAAGTCATAACTTGTAACTGCATTCCTTTGGGGATAATCAAAAAACACCATAATAATGTCAACTAAAAGAATCTTGAGACGTTTCGTTGAGGTTTAATGTCCTGTCCTGAAACAGTAATATAAAAGCAGTCTTAGATTGATTTTCAGAAAATAAGCCAAATCCGTTGAGTTTTATTAAGTTATAGTGGTTAAACTGGGGTCCTTTCATGAGCAAACTCTTTACAAAAGATCTAATTCATGGATTAAAGAAATCCAATTTATAGATTTATTGAGATATACATGTTCGTTCTCTATAAGTTACTACATACTTTACCACTAGGAAACAATAATACGGTCATTTATTGATTTATTTTGGCTATAATCAGGCCAATTTGATTTGACTACATGATTTTTTATTTTACTTTAATTTTGATATATACATGTATTTATTTTGTTTTGATGAAATCTGCCCAAGGAATATACTTTTAATTTTAAAAATTTATAGCACCTTGTAAATCTGTATCTTGAAAAGGTTTAGAGACACCAGGAGAGTATGAGACCAATCAGTTTTTAAGAATACTTATTGCACTGCAATTTATTTTGAAATCTTGTCTCTAAAGTCTTTTTACATGTTTAAATCCAAACCATTTTATGGATTACTTTCAAAGAAGGGGGAGTTGTTTTGCGAATGAAACAGGGGAGTTTTTTCATGCATTTCACTTATGTTTTTCATCCAAAAAACATCAATACACTTTAAAACAATTTATTGACTATACGATTGCACCATATAATCCCAACAAATATTTCTCATTTTCAAGGATTATCTATGGATTAACACCCAGGTATTTTCATTTTCCAAACTTCAGAGGGCTGGGAATCATTGATAATCAATGCTTTTAAATGATATAAAAGCTGTTTTAAATAGGTTTCATGTATGCCAATAATTTCTCAAATTGTGTAAACTGTACAGGTCACATTCCTTAATCCCTAGAATTTTCTCTTTGAGGAATTTCCCATAGAAATCCAATGGTACAGTTCCAAGCAGATTTTGAGATATCAGGAAAGTAAATCTTTAATACACACCTTATTGTATTGCTTTGGTTTATATCGCAACCCAAAAAGGTGTGCATTAAAGATTTACTTTCCTGTTATCTCAAAATCTGCTTGGAACTATACCATTGGATTTCTATGGGAAATTAACGTTGATGTTAATTGAACTTTCTATCCCAGAAACTATATTCTATTCAAGTATGTGGTACTGTTCAACCTGTGTCTTGTTATGTAATGTATGTGAGCATGTAATTTCCATTGCGGAGCTTTTTTTCTTTTTCGTGGTACCTGCTGACAAAGCTCATTAGGTGCTGTGCAGGTGGATTGGGCCCGCTGGCATACGAAAATGCACCCTCAGTGAAAAGAACCTATAAAGGTAATCTTGGAACAAACAGATAAACAACATTGTTTCTTCTAATTAGGTGACTAAAGAGACACATAATTGCATCTCAAGTAGAAAAATGCTGTTTCCCATGCTAATCCCACATAATGAAGCAAGTGTGTTATAGTTTTACTGTACATTTAACCCATTTCCTCTCCCAATAGTTGCCCACATACTAAGCTCATTCCTGCTTGGCAAAAGGTCATCACATTTTTATGTCCCTACCACAAGTGGTGACATATTCTTATAAACTCCCAACTATTTTTGGACAGTTCAGTGTGTGTAGTTCAGTGGTCGGTGTTCAGAGTTCGGCATTCGGGGTCTGTTACAAATGGCAGGTTGTGACATTTTGCATGTTAATGCATGTTTACTAATGTAATTAAGGAAAAATAAATTCAGGGTTACTATAGGTTATCCAGTTGGTTGGTTTAACGTGTTTCAAATTCAGTAATTTATTTGGAACACTAGAGATTTTACCAACAATAATGAAAAGAGAGGCTCTCTCATGGTAAGGTATTAAAAGGGCCCAAAAACATAATCATGAAATTTGAGATGTTTTTTTTAGCTAAGGCCATAAGAAGTAGATCCTCTGTTTTGCGTCCCCTTGCTTGCACGATTTTGAGTAAATCAGAAAAAACACATCCAAATAGCAATCACAAGGGTCTGAAAGTACCATCGCATTTCAGAATCAGATGAAATGGCGGATAATTTGATGTGCGTCAAAATTGACAGTGTTATAATTATTTGACATACATTGTGTTTTTCTTATTTTTTACCCTTGAATAATAGCTATATTTTTATATATTGTATAAAATGTATAGATATGTGTTTGTAATCACTGCAAATTGGGATGTCATCCTTTTTTATGCCCCTTAAATGTATATATTTCTCAGCAAACAAGTTTGTGTTTTTTTCTTGAGTTTGTGTTTGTTTTCCTTGTACCCTTGCATGATTTGGATTTTGCCAGGACGCAAAACAAAGAATCTACTTCTTATGGCCTAATTATGATATAACTTGTACTTGTATACTTGTATGTTGTAAGTTGAAACATGAACCTCTAAGATAAACTTTAAGATGAAGAAGTGTAAATAATAAGTGTAAATTCTATGATATATTTAAAAGAGGTAACTTATGTTTTCAAAAGACAATGCTAGAATGTATATTTTATTCAAAGTCCCCTCAATGTTAAATATAAAGGCTTTGGAAAGAGAACATAGAGATAGTCAAGGCCTCTAAAAGAATAAGATCAGTCAGTAGAACTTGTATGAAGTGTAAGTCATTTGAGCAACAAAAAGTGTTCACTCTAGGTAAATTCATAGGGCATGTCCTCAGAAAAAGTGTTCACAAGGCAGGGCCGTAGCCAGGTTTTGCCAAGGGGGGGTTCAGTTTTCAAAAATTTCCAGGGGGGGTTTACATTTGACAATTTTGGCCTAAATATGGCTAAAATCACTTGAGAAGTGCTCAAAATGGTGAAAAACTGCATGATTTTGAAATAATTTTTGGCCAGAACTCCCTGGCTACGGGCCTGCAAGGGACAGATGTTTACTTGAGGAAGGTGTTCACTAATTCAGGTTTTACTGTAAATGTGATTCTGCATGTTTTACAGTATACCAAATGTTCTATAACCTTGATTGATATATTTAGAGATAGAGAGCTGCCTAACATTAACAATGTTCTGTTCTAGTTGGTACCTGGTAAAAGATATGTAACACTAAGGGCTTGAGAATGAATGTTAAGAACTAACAAATTCCATTCTTGCAGTTTGTTACCAATTTAATTGCTGTAAACCTGGTATTATTCTAAGCTATTATATTTTGTGATTTTGTGGAAATTTGGAGTTTCCCTGGCAAGTTATTTTGCAGATTTTAAACATTTTGCCTCCATTGTATTTTAGATTAGATAAGATAAACTGTATATCTAAATACTAAAAAGTTATAAAAAACACTTTCATGAACATTTACTCAAAAATAGCCCAGCGCCCCCAATTGTTTTAACTGTGAAAATGATTTGTTTTGTATTAAGCTTAAACGTTACTGCTATAATATGCTATTAGAAATACATGTATATAGAAATGGAGAAGCCAATCTGTCAAAATGATGAGTGATTTGATAAAATATATTTTATATGGTTGAATTTGCAACTCCGGGTAGTTGCTCTTCTAGTTATTCAAGGATACGTTACAATCACTGTAGATGCAGAGAATTCTTCTGTCTGGTTTATTGTCTGTTTTTGTGCAATAAAACCTATTATAACCAGGGGTCATGTCAAATTACAATACAATTTATTGCCATTGAAAATGAATAAAAAACTGTTACACTTCTTAATGGTTGTTTTCCTGGTACTTGAATTATGGGTAATTTTGAAATAGGAAAAATTGTGTATTCACACGTCCTCTATTAAAGGCTCCATGCAAAGTTTTTCAAAAAACATGAATTATGAAAAAATGTTGTTATTATATACTTAACAATTTTAAAGATACAATTGTTGAGTTTGATATTATGTGAGATAATTTTAAGACCTTCTATGATCACTATGTAATGTTGAGACTCAATAAACAGAGATACTCTTTAGATCACATCCGAACATGAATTTGCTTGCAGTAGTATTATCTCAATGAAGGGCCTTGCTTGCTTATACAATACATGCCCCCTTGCATTACCACTACAAGCAAGGCTCATATGATAAAAATCGACATTTCACATTCCCTCAGAATCCCATATATACCCTTTAATTACAATTAGTGTGTTTTTAGCTTGCCAAGAGTTATGAAGCACAGTATGTTAATGTGTTATGCTTGCCATAAAATTGAGGATTTAAATGAGGAAAATACCTCAACTTATCATACCTCTCTAGGTCACTTAGTTCTGGTAGATTCGTAAACATTGGAAACCAAACTTGGAAAACAAAAAAAGATCACCCAATGAGAAAAACTTAACAATTACATTCTGAGCTTTAAGTTGACTTGTCTGGCATTGGCATCAGGGATGTAGTCGCAAATCAGACAGAAAAAACTAAAAATTTAACAGAAAATATTCACTCCTACAGTTTTTCAAGTAAGACTATCCTTCACATTCATTCAACTTTGAATAAAATAGAGCTTCTTCGTTAGTTAATAAGTAGACTCTGCAGGCAGGGTAAAGTTAAAGACTGGAAATTAAGTCAAATTAAGGTACTAGGAATTGTCAAAAGACTCTTAATTCTTTTCCTAATTCCAGTTTGTCATGAGGTTTAAGGCAGGCAGAGTAGGATCACTTTATGAACTTTTTGCATTGTGGACTTTTATATTGAGGAGATCTGACATCATGCAAAATAAATAAATAAAGTACATGTGTATTGAAGAGATACACATTGAACATATGCATTGAATAGAACAGGAAAAATGAGCATAGTCCCCAAAATACATTATCATTTAATCGAAATTCGCCTACACCCATTCTGCTCCATTCCTCCCATCAGTTTTCTGATTTTCTTGCATTTCTGTACAAATTGGGAGTATCTACCACAAGTCTGTGTGTTTTTCTATCTTGATTCCTCTGTTTTCCTCTTAATTTTTCTGTTTTAAAACATGACCATTCTGACATTTCACAATCATGAGGTCACTCTGCTTCTCTGTCTACCAACATATCTTATCAGCAGGTATGCATATAATGCCAGAAACAGATAGCATCTTAGTGAGAGAAAAATGTAGAAATGAATAGCAACCATGGTGCTTTTACTGTATCTAATACAAAGCCACTTATTTTTTGTATTTTTATATCACCACAAGTCTCAAAACTTTCTTGTGGATGGTGTTTGGCGGTTGGTATTCAGTGGTTATTGTTCAGCAGTTGGTGCCTGTAACAAATGGCAGGTGGTGATATTTTGCATGTTATTGCCTTGTTGAATAATAAAGCTATAGCAATACAGATGAAAAATTCATATGAAAATAGGAACCAAGAACATTCTTTACCCAGGATAAACATACATGCAGGCGTGAAATATTTGTAATTTCTAAAAACAATAGGCCTATGCAAAATAGAATAATGTATATGGATAGACTAAGCTCAATGTGAAAGAATTTCTTTCATCTGCCTGCACCCTTATTCTTTCTGTTAAATCACATCCAATGCGTTAACGAAAATTTCATAAATTTTCTTGTATTGTTCTGGCAGCTCACAGATGTCCATCAGGATATGCACTGGTACCCCTCACATGTATATCATATTCTTCCTGCACTTGCCCTCCCCCAAATATAGTATACAGATGTCCATCAGGATATGCACTGGTACCCCTAACATGTATATCATATTCTTCCTGCACTTGCCCTCCCCCAAATATAGTATACAGATGTCCATCAGGATATGCACTGGTACCCCTCACATGTATATCATATTCTTCCTGCACTTGCCCTCCCCCAAATATAGTATACAGATGTCCATCAGGATATGCACTGGTACCCCTAACATGTATATCATATTCTTCCTGCACTTGCCCTCCCCCAAATATAGTATACAGATGTCCATCAGGATATGCACTGGTACCCCTCACATGTATATCATATTCTTCCTGCACTTGCCCTCCCCCAAATATAGTATACAGATGTCCATCAGGATATGCACTGGTACCCCTCACATGTATATCATATTCTTCCTGCACTTGCCCTCCCCCAAATAAGTATACAGATGTCCATCAGGATATGCACTGGTACTCCTCACATGTATATCATATTCTTCCTGCACTTGCCCTCCCCCAAATATAGTATACAGATGTCCATCAGGATATGCACTGGTACCCCTCACATGTATATCATATTCTTCCTGCACTTGCCCTCCCCCAAATCTAGTATACAGATGGCTGTCAGGATCCTAGTGATGCATGCATTACCTTATATTATGATATACTCCTGTCTACTGTACTCATTCCCCACTAATAACTATGAGGATTTTAGTGATGTATGCATCACCATTAGCATGTATCATTTTGTTTTATTTAGGTATATGCACTGCACATACACCCCCTCCCTCAGTCTGCAGTTGACTGGCTGCAAGGATCATACAGATTAATCACCACAACCTCCCCCTGTGTGTATATCATATTCTGATTTAGGTGTATGCACTGTACTTACCACCTTTTACTAGTACTATCTTCTACATCTTTAGGTACCCACAAGCATTTGAGTCTGGTAATGGTAACAAATGGCAGGTGGTGATATTTTGCATCTTAATGCCTTGTTTTATTTAGGACATGTACTGACTTACCCCCATTTTACTGTCTACTACATCTTATAGAGAACTTTCACCAGGATCCTCCCGAAAAAGAGCCCACAAGTATTATTTCACTTTTTGCCTTATTATTCTCAGAAATACTTGAGTAAGCCTCGTTATGAGAAAAATAAAAAGTTTTCTTGGGTTGAAATTAACATATATTTGGTCCCCTTGTATCATTTCCAGGTCAACCCTTGCATTATAATGTCACCACCACAAGTTATAGTCTTCAACTTTTTTGTGAACGTTGGGCAACAGGCAGGTGGCATCTTTAACAAATGGCAGGTGGTGACATTTTGCCTTGTTACTGATGAGTCAATAACGCATTGCAGTTTATTTGTTTTTAAGGGAAAAGTAAGTTATATACATGAATAATTCGATTAATCACAGCACCTTGGAGTAATTGAGCAACCGGACCTTGGATAGTTTATCTAAATATTTGTCTTTCATATGGTGTAAGATAAATCATCTGCTGTGCCTGAAAATCAGGGAGCAGAAATATGGCCTTAAAATATGATATCCGGGATCTTAATTCAGAGAACTCAAATGGCTCCAACACTCAGGCATGATATATGTAAGGCTGGATCCATGGACATTTTTTTTGATTTTTTTTAAATCAGGGAATCGGGGACAGGGAAATCCTGACTATGGATGCCTCTTGCAGGAACAAAACCCTTTTTTACCTGATATAATAATTCCCAGGATTTTTTCCTATTTATACCTATTTGTCATCTTCAATTGCTAATTCATATGAATCTTTTATTGTTATAGGGGGCACCATACACCTTTCAGTGGTGTCTCGCTCCCTTCAACATCTTTGTATTGTTGTATGCACTTTTATATATATATATTTTGTATGCACTATGATATATTTAATAAATTGAAAATCTTTTAGACCCCTCCTCCCTTTATGATTTGTCATTGTGATGTTGGTGTTCAATCCCTTGAATAAGAGAAAAGTGAAAAATAAGGAAGTGTTGTTTAACTTTGATAGGGTTTGTCAACACATGTGTTATATCAGATATACTTGACTTGAGAGGGTGCTATGGAAAAAATCAAACTCTGTCAGACAGCTTAGCACAGTAGTACATACTCCCACACATTTGATATCAATTAAAGATAAACATTTTGAACAGCTCTCATACCTTGGGGTGTATTACATAATGTGAATGTTATGTTTGGGTATGTGAAGGGTACCAGGTGCATGAGGAAGCAGTAAGGGGGCGGGAATTAAGTAAATGCCCTACTAAAGCAAATGTTTTATTGATATGTGATACATACATCAAAGTAGGATTTCTGATTCATAAATCAAATGATAAAATCAGCAGGTGATACTTCCATCAAAGTAAGTTTTTCATCCTGATTCATAAACATAACGAGGGGCTGACCAAAAAAATCTGGGGCCCTCATCTGTACCAAAACTACATGCAAAAATTGTCGGTGAAAATGACTAACCACGCTCTTCAAAATCTGAAATTACGTAAGGGAAGTAAAGTTTGATGAATGTAATGAAACAAACAAACAAACAAACAAAATCAACCAAATCTCTGCTATCCATATTGCAAGAAGTATTTCAATTGTAATTTCGTATTTTCCAAGATTGATCCATTTTCTACACAGGGGTTGATTCTAAACAAAACAGACCCACTAGGGGTCAAATGTTAACTAAACCACAACACATTGAGAGATAAATGCCATGTTTACGGAAATGATTTCTTGTTTCAATGTGCACCTACCAGAAATCCGGGTGCATCTCCATTTTCTTTAAGAGAGTCTGGCATGTATCAAGGTCAAGGTCATACCACCAGTCAGCTACCTGATCTTTGTCAGGGAAAAGGGAAACAGTGTTTAACATGGTATGGTCAATAAAGATTATAAAATAAAACATTATGTCTGATATGGGCCTACATAGAGATATAATGTCCCTGTGTTGCTCCGTTCTGTAAAACATGTTTCTGTTTTTTTGTTTCAGAATAAGGCCTCATTTGGAAAAATGGGTCTCTTTTTTAATTAGGCAAACGTTTTAAATGCGGGTGCCCAAATTTTCATAAATGCCCCATGTTCAGTTAAACCTGTGAAAGTGGAACACATTTGTTAAATGTACTTCTAATTGGTTTTAAATTTGGGATGTTCATTTCATATTAAGTTGCCACTTTGGAAGTGTTCTTTGGGGGTGTTCCACTTTTTTGAGGTATTCCATATCCAGAGGTGTTCTTCTTTACAGGTTGTACTGTAATACTGTTGCTCCTCATAACATTATACTTTCCCCAACTGTCTCAGTGCATCAACAAAAAGTGCCAAATCTAAAGTGATTGAATGATTATTTTGATGACTTAGTTATGATTTAAACAGAATCAAGAAACACAAGGGTATAAATTTATAACATTTATATTTCCAGGCACCTAAAAAGCGGAACAGAAAGGCCAAGAAAGAGCAGACGGACAGTTTCGATAACCTTGTCAGCAAATACAGGAAGACAATCACATCTGCTAATTTGAAGAAAAAAGGCGGGAAATGGTTTGACTAATCTAAATTAAAAATCCTAGTTGTGAATGGATGAAAAAATCAAATATTTGAAACTCAAGGAAACAAAATTGAAGATAATTTAGAAAAGTATAAGAATGAAATGTACTTTCAGAAAGTGTTACATCTAAATAAGCTCACAAATAAGACCCAAAGGGAGAAATATTTTTCACCTAAAATGCTCACATTTTAGGAGAGTTCTCATTTGTATAGAATGAAACTGAGAAATATCTGTAGAGATATTCCAACCATGGGTGTATTACATAAAATAATGAATTGTACATTATACAATAAAACCTATGTTAACTTCGACAGTCAGTCACAGTAGTGTTCACTCTGGACAAGTTTTACTGCAAATGTATATTTAGTATTCGTGACAAAAGAATGTATAACTGTTGTAAAAGAACAATATATTGTGTCATGCATATAAAACATTGAGGCTACTTGACTTACATTTTATCTATGTCAATAATTGCAAAAATCAAGTAGATTCCTATTAATAAATAAAATATAAAACATGAAGAATTAATCAATATATTACTGTTCCTAATCTTGTTATGCTAAGAGATACATCTAAGATGTAACATGTTTAACAATGGATGAAAACGTATATGATTTTAGCGAGGTGGTAACACTCATGAATGGTCAATTTTGACTTGAAAGTGGTCACATTTAGAAATAGCTTGCTTCAATGAATGCGAATTTGTGGAGCATTTTTACTCCATTCTTAACAATGTAACAGCAGTGGGTTTTCTAGAGAGTCAATGATCCAACATTAAATATGTTGGAATTTTTTTAAATGATTGAAAAACATATGAAACCCTGTTCAACTCAAAACATTTTGCTTTGAAATGATTTTCTATGCTTTTCAAAAGACTCATTTACTATTGGTTAGATCTGGGAATCTATAAGAGGCTAACAGATAATAAAAATAAAGAGTTGCGATTTTCTGGGTTAAGATCTGTTTTTCTAAGAATAGTAATATTGTTTTGCAATTTGTCTAGTTATCGTGTGAACATGTCAGAATGATACAAGTTCAGTAACTAGAGCACTTGATTAAAACCTTAAAAGTAAATCTCAATCTCGATTTATTGCAGTCTGAATATCCTTTGAGTGTTGGCTTTGATGTCTCGTCTTATTATTTTATCCATGGAAGTTTAGGAGATATAGAGAATGTCTTCGTCTTTCCGTACTTCCGTCCATCCATAAATCTGAATGTACATCCATCCTTCCAGGCAATAATTCAAAAAAAGTTGGGTCAATGTTGTCAGTATTATAATGCAGATGCCCAATTTGAGCATTAAGCGGAAAAGTGGAGAGATTTTTTGAAATTTTAGATGTAAACACTTAGAAGCATAATACACTTTCTTTTGACAGCTTTTATATAAAAATGATTGGATTATGTAAGATGATGTAATCTGGTAATCACATAATCTTATTTCTTTTCTGGGTACAAATCAATCTCTCTGTTCTTAAAATTTCTTAAAAAGGCCAATACTCATAATATTTTTCTTGAACTCAGCAGGATATGGTGAAACCTGATCATAAAAATCATAAATGGCATTTATGTATTTTGTCAATGGTAGAGAGGATGTGTTCCAATCAAGGTCTAATCACATCTCTTGTTAAGCCCATTCCTAATTCTCCATTCTGCACTCAAAAAACAATCTCATTTCAATTGTCATTAAAAATTATCACCCACAGTGCTCATATTTCACACATGGAATATAACTGTTTAGTTATTGCTTATCTTAACCTTTACTGATATAAATCTTTAACAAAGAAATGGGTTCCATTTTTATTGCATGTGCATGTACATGTACTTTGTATCATATTTTATATTCAAAGTAGGAGTTCCTGGCATCACAAAGTCTTTTAATTTTGTAATATTATATCTAGATGCAAATTAAAAGATACAGGGTGTTCATAAGGCTTTTTTCACTTCTACATTGACTTTGTATGCTAATTGTAAAGAGATACTATGGACACCCTGTATATAATTCATGGGATCATATCTAACTGTGAATTTTTGTCTTACTTTCACTAAAAACAAATGCATGTACTTGATTTGTGTTCTTGATAAAATTTATATGTCAAACAAAAAATGTTCAATATTTTAGCTAAATGTAGTGCCTCTTCAATCAACTTCCTACTTAAGCAACTTATAGCAACTACCAGAAGTGGTCACATTTATAGTCTCCTACCGTTTGTAGGTGGTGTTCAGTGGTGTGTGTTGGCAATTGATATCCAATACCTATGTGAAATTGTTACATTATTCTGAAATTGTATATTTTCAAATAGACCTCTACAGTGTTTTATTATTTAGAAACCCCTAAAGAATTATTTATCCCATTTCAGAAACAGCAAAAGTGATTCCTGCATCCCCCGAGTTTAATCAAAATTCATGCATTTTAAAAAAGTTTTTTTGAAATAAAAAAGTATGGACATTTTTGGGCTCACCCCGTATATGACATAATAACCTTTTAATTAGTTAAATTAAGGATCAAGGTAATGAATAACTAACATACATCAATCTTTGATTTGAAGAGTTCTTATACTCTGAGAGTTTCCTGGGGGATTTAGATCTTCTTTGAACAAGTATAAATCTGACAGGTTGTGGGAGATACCCTAATATGAAACCTCACCCCGATCACAACTATTAAACACCCTTTCTATCTCAACCTGAAAGAAATGTCTTATATTCTTGCAGCATTATACATTATAGAGTTTAATCCCCACTCCTATATTGTTAAATCCTTTCTTAGTTCACTATTTCGTTTGTAAATGACAATTAAAGAGAGGATTAAAGTGACGTTTTATGATTAGACAAGCTAGAATTACAAGGGGCTAGGGAGATAATGTCAGACAATTTATTTCAATCATAATCTTCCAGTAACATGCTACTTGGCGGAAGTTCCTCCCACAGTTTAAAGCAATAATTCTTGTTCTTTCTGATCTAAATAATTATGCACACAAAGTACACATGGGGGTGGAAGTTGGGGGCTGGAATAAAAATTGTTACCATACCTGCTACATCTTTATCAAAAAATTAAAGTCATTGGCCATGGCAGACACCCCATCCCCCTCACCATCATCTTTTGGTCTAAACGAGGCTCATTTTTGGGCTCATCGTGGGCTTTTCAGGATATCCATCTCATTTTTGAAAACAAGAACTTATTGCCCCAACCCCTCCCCCGCCACAATGCCAATTCTTGGTCTGTTCCTGGAAGGCATGGACCTATTTTCTCTCAACAAAGGGGACATATACTGCCAGACTAAATAAATGTTTATGAACTGAAACGCAAGCTATAAATTTAACTTGGCCTGATATATGACCTAATGATCTTTGCATGATTCACCAACAAATATTCTGCAATTCTGGCAGACAGATTGTATTCCCATTGGCCCATTTAGGGGGCATCTCAACCACCAATAGTTTAAGGTAAGGTAAGTTCCTTGGGGTTCCTGGACCCATCATATGAAAGACCTCTAGTGTGGTATACATGGTCCCATCATATGGGGGACCTCTAGTGTGGGGGTCTTCCTGAAGACAGTGTATCTCTATTAATCAATGTAATATTCGATGTACTAATAGTAAGATTTACCTCAAGGTGTGGAGCATTAAAGGTGTGGGCATCCTTACAATTGTAAGGTTATTTCTCAAGATAAACATGCTGTATATGGTCTCCCTATATGTATTGAGTCCTCTGTATGGTTGTATGATAAGTACAACTCCCAGCAAAGAATGTGCCAAGCAAGGAGTCATCCTAAAGGAATAAAGTCGAAGGGCTTTACACTTTAAGTTACAACTCCCCTCCATAAGTTTGGCAACCTTAGCTCCCCCATTCAACTACGTATTAAAGCCTCTTTACGTTTGAATTTTTTACTTAACCAGCGATGAAATAACTTATAATATTGATGGAAAGGTAACTTGACTTTATTTCCAATACCTCCAATTTTTATCACGTTTTTTCCTCAATTTCAATAGGTCAAAAACTGATGATTTTGATGAATTTTTGAAAATCGTCATTCCCATGTAATCCAATGGGAAATGGAGGGTTCGGGGCAAATCAGAAATCGGGATATCTTTTCAGTAAAAGATTCAGCAAAAATATTTTTATATAGCAAATTAAATTGTCTAACTTTTTTGTACACTAAGTGTTTAGTTTATTTGACGAATACTAAAGTTACAGCGCTTCAAAGTCATTTTTGGAAATAATTTTTCGCCTTCTGTGTTATTTCAATAGGATTTTTTTTTTGATAAAACAAATTTTACTTTAATGCCCTATAACTTTGTTGAACCTGAAGAAACATATCAATTTTTTGTTAAATAAAATTAGCAAATTCAATTGCCTACCTAACTCGTATTTTTGCAAGGACTCGGATGGATAGATATATATGACTTGCGGCAAACCTACCATTTCTCATTGGTTAACATGGGAATGTCGATTTTCAAAAATTCATCAAATTTATCATCAATTTTCGACTTATTGTAATTGAGGAAAAAATTGAGAAACTTTGGAGGTATTGGAAATAAATTCAAATTAAGTTTCCATCAATAGTATAAGTATTTTCATCGCAGATTAAGTAAATAAAAATTCAAAGGTAAAGAGGCTTTAACACGTAGTTCAATGGGGGAGCTAAGGTTGCCAAACTTATGGAGGGGAGTGTATCATTATGGGTCTTCATCAATTATGGTACCTCTCAATGTATGGGCTTTACCTGCACTTCCGTCTGCCTCAGGTATGAGGTAATTTTGTGAGGTCACTGTATCTTTTGACTAGGGTAAGAGATGTGATTTCGTGAGGGTACCTGACCAAGGTTTCAATCCCATTAGCCCACTGCCGGATCCAGAAGCTAACAGGGGGCGGGACGCATTTCAAATAAGAAAAAATGTAAGGCCCATTTTTGATAATTTGGCCTAGTAATGTCCTAAAAGGCCCACTAATTGAGGCCCTACAAAACCTTTTGGCCTACTTTTTTTCTGGGCCCACCCAGGGGGAGGGCATGCCAGTGTGGCCAATCAAAAAAATTGACTACAACAACAATTGAAAATTACTATAACTAACTTTATTCCTGAAATATAGAGATTATGAGATGATCCATCATAACAGTCTTGATGTTGGATTGCAGCTGTAACAATCACGTGACCAGTTGAAAGATGTTTCAGTGTTTCTTACTCCCTTCTGCAGGCCTACATCCATTCCGAACACAAAAACAACCATTCTGTATCTGGAGTAGACTAAATTGTTCCGGGAGAGAAAGTTTTTATCTTGTGGTATCTTACTCTGCTTACTACATAACAAATAGACCAGAATAACCTGAAGGTAGAAGCAAGACGCACACTGCCGCAATCGTAGGTACCATAACATAACTGCATCAACAGATGAACGGAGATTGATGCCGATTCGGAAGCACTATATAGCTCAATAAGCTGGAACAGTTCAATCTAAGATTATGGAGCTTGTGTAAACAAAATTGTTGATTGAGATTTTTGATTGTGTCGCATAACCATAAACACAATCGCTTTGGAGCACATTTTCAGAGAATTGGATTTGGATTCGAAGTGTGATTATTTTAGGATATAGGTGTAAGACTAGTAAGTATATGTAGACTGGTAGATGCTGATCATGTTTTAAATATATTTCTTATTATCGGACGATAACTCATTTAGCCGGGCAGTGGTGATCAGTCTAAAACTATATGTGTCAGCAGGGGAGAATGTATCTGGTGTCGTAAGAAACAGATAAGCTAATCCAGAAATATAATTGTCCCCTTTCTATGCGCCATCTCTCCTTGTTTAGCCCTTAGATGACTTGCTCTGGCAACCAATTAAAAAACAAATGTAATTAGGTTACAATAAGCTAACGTAAAGGGGACATTTAACACTGGGGGACAACTTTATTTGTTCATTGGCCCTTTTGGATTTAAACTTAAGAATGAAGACTAATTAGAAGGGACGTCGAACTCTGGTACCATTTGCATTCATTTTGTTATAAGACTACTGAAAATTGTTTGGAGGTCTGCTTTCTATGTATGCACTGGCGGATCTGGGGGGGGGGGCAGGCCCCTCCCCCCTTGGGTGGGCCCAGAAAAATAAAATTGGGCCCAAAAACATTTTTGAGCCAAAAAAGCCCCTAAGCCCCCAAAAAGTGGGCCTCTTTGGTCATAAATGGGCCTTAAGGCCTTATTTTTTAATTTTAGGCCAAATGAAGAAAAAGGGCCTCAACATTTCAAAATTTGAGCCCACTTTTTTCTCAGGCCAGAATTTTGCCCCCCCCCCCTTGTTGGTTCCCAGTTCCGCCCCTGGTATGTACTGTTAGATATGCTATCGAGCTGTTTATTTTGATACGTAAATAGTGGTATTATAGTTTCTCATTAGTTTCGTTTATTTGGATTGATGGTCAACTTATGATGATTTTGGAATTTTCAAAGCAGTACGGTTTGATGGCATGTAAGCAAGTTTGGCTGTATTATACCCTGCGTGCAGAGTCTAGTTAAACTACGAAGACGAAGCTCTCTTTTAAGAAGTGAAGTCAAACGAATGCAAAGGGTAGCTGTATTAGCAGGTTTTTATAATAAAATGAATTTATGTGGGTCTAAATGTTCCTGTTGTAAATATTCACGAAATGTTGAGATAACATGCTCACATCTGGCAACGTTGATAAAAAAAATATACAAATGCGAATCGTATCGAGCAGAGTAGGCATTTTTGAACGTACGCGATCATTTGTAAATATGTGAGTGAAATATTTTTGCTGTTTCTTCTTAAAACACTTACAGTATATTGCTTTATTTACAACTAGGCCTAGATGGTACCGTGTAAACGTTGAAGGTCATCAATCTGTCAGTTTCCAATTTATTTCAAAGGTTTGTTTGTGCAAGTACAATGTATTTTAATAAAAAACCTTGCCAAATACTTAATGTGCTCACTGCTCTCAATGACTTTACAGTGTTTACTACATCGGTTTGTTTTTGTAGTTGTTATTGTTTCGGTTTTATAGAGCATTCTCAAGTTTTACCCTGGATTGCGTCGTTTGGATTTCTACTAAGATACTCAAGAAGAAGTAAACGCTTTGTATATTGATTATTTCAAACAAAGAGCAAGAATACGAATTATTTATCATAGAAATGGTTTCGATGGGTCTTGCTACTCATTTGCGTTGTTGTCAGTGACGTATAGACTGTCAACTCATGGAATGAATGCTCATATAGACTATTATTACAACGAAGACGGACTGGGTGCTTAAGTTATCAATTCACGTTTTTCTTATCCAACAAAACAGTGGTAAATCCTGATTAGATCATTTAGAATGTCATAAGCCGGAATTTATAGAGACTAATCATGTATTTTACCTGATCTAAAACGTATTATTATAGACTCAATAGTCTGATCCTCAATGACTTGTGAAATATTACAGTTAATATGCTAAGTCTAAGAGCAAGTCGACCTCACAGAATGCATTGAATATGAAATGGCGATTACGAGATCCAATGAGTCTATTTAGGTTTTCATGATGAAATATTCACTTAATGTGGAACTTTTGATTTACTTATCATGCTTCTTTTGTTGGTATGATGGAATATTTACTAACCACGTTGCTTTTGTTGTTATTTATATCTTTACGTTGGAATATTTACTTACCATTGTACTGTAGTTGCATCGTTGAATATTAGCTCACCGTCTAGCTTTTGTTGTTATTATGGAATATTTACTTATCTTATTACAGACCATTTACTTATCATGTTACATTTGTTATTGTCATGGATTATTTATGTTGTTATCATGGAATATTTACTCACCATGACTATACTACGTTTTTGTTATTATCGAATATATGTAGCTTTTGTTGTTATCATGGAACGTTTACTTATCATGGAATAATTACTTAACATGCAACTTTTGTTGTTATCATGGAATATTTACTTAACATGTAACTTTTATTGTTGTCATGGAATATTTACTTAACTTGTAAGTTTTGTTGTTATCATGGAATATTTAATTATCACCTAACCTTTGTTGTTATTATGGACTATTTACTCACCGTGCTACTTTTTGTTATTATAGAATGTATGCAGCTTTTGTTGTTATCATGGAACGTGTACTCATCATGTAACTTTTGTTGGTTTTATGGAATATTTACTTGGCATGTAACTTTTGTTGTTATCATGGAATATTTAATTATCACGACACGTAACCTTTGTTATCATGGAACGTTTACTCATCATGTAAATTTTGTAGTTATTATAGAAGAACCATAAGATGGCCATGTTCGTCGTCATATTACTTATAATATCTTACAGCTCTGGCCCCCTACCTTTTATTTTAGGTACCCTTATGCCTTATCTCTATAGAACCCACGTCATTCTATAGCTCGTCAGGTTTCTAAAATGGTTAATATTTAAAAAGAACAATATATCCTTCTTTAGACTGATAAGGAATAATCAACAGTGCAACCTCGAGAACTAAAAGTACAAAACGTACAAGTAGTATAGCGTTTAAAGGGAATGCGAAGTTTTGTCCTTTAAACTTGATAATAAGTTAGAATAAAGATACATCTTTCAATCCAACTTCGTTTTATTGTTCTATCATTATCCTTTTAATTGTTATTGAGCCCCGGGTTTTGCATATGAACTGGACCACGGAGCTGCCATTTCAACCGTAAAGTGGTTCTTTACGACATTGTTATGACGTCATTGATGCCAGATTGATGCCTTGGCATTCCAAAAGTTTTGTGGCGCCATTTTTGAATCAAAAAATGAATGCCGAGTTGTTGCCATTCCAAAACCAAATAAATAATTTTAAAGGAACTAAAAGAATACGTATATATCACCCATAATAAAGAACGATTTCAATAGAATATTAATGCCGGCATTTTCGTAATTGCTTTTTACCTATCTAGACATGGAATGCAGGTTACATTTATTCTTTATTTACACTTGAAACAATCTGGGATTCTTGACTTTTTAACTTTTATTAGGTCTAGCGCTAAATGCGAACAGAGAATGCTTATTCTATCAGGCGAATGCAAATTATTTGAACAAAACATAATAAAAGTAATTCAACCAACCCATCTTGAATTTCCAAGAATGCAATCTCGGTGATGATTTAATTTGCTAGTCTCATTACAAAAATACGTGTTCGTACTTTAATATTCATTGCATTTATGTTATCTTTAACACAAGTATTCGAAGAACATTTTAAAATTAAATTTTAAAACCGTATTCAATTACTATGATTATGAGGAAAAACTACGATTCCGTACGGCTGATAAATGATGACGCACGATCAGCGTAGGGCGGCCCTACGACTTGCGTAGTTTTTCTTGAAGGCATCCACAAGGGGTTCTATGGCCTTCTATGGTTCGGAAAGGTCAATTGTAACCAATGAAATCCAAGGGCAGCCGCAAGTCGACCGTGAACCCGACGTACGGCCGTCGTGGGACTTACGGTTTGGCTGCTGCTTGTTGATATCTACAGTGACCACAGGAAAGAAAAGTTTTTAACTCCGACTCTACGCCCTGTAAAATCTGGATATGCCGTGTACGTAGACCGCAAGGTAACCTTAAGTCGACTGTAGTTTTCATGTTTGCCGCAGAAATTTACTGATTTCAGGGAAATACGATCGACGTGTGGTCACATTGAGCAAATGTGACTGAAGCTTTTAAAGTTCCACTTATTTTCCGATATAGAAAAACAAAAGGTTGTATGCCATAAAATTGAAAATCATTATTTGGAAAATACTATACAGCTGTACTTACCACGGATGTTATATAATCAAATTCGAGCTCAAAATCAGGAATTGTTTTTAACAAAAAATAACAATAAATATTAAAATATTGGCGTACTATCAATACGGCAATCGCCTTATCGTCGTTGAAATGAAGTATACTACAATCGACCCCATCGTCTCCCCCGCATCACTGGAATGTTATGAGCCTTCTCTTGTCATGATCCAAGGTGAAATACAATTGAATTTTGAAAAGCTTTTTTGTCATATTGAATGTCGCTATTACGGTGATATGATGATTGAAATTGGTCGTTTAACAACTGAGAAAAATTAAACATTACGTATTATGACATGTCCTTGTGGCATGTCCTTGTAAAGCTATTGCCAATCTTAATATTTAGGAGATTGACATTTACATACGTATCATTTAGACGACATCGATTTTTCGTTTTTTGTTTGCGTTTTTCATCAGAATCTAAATGGTAAACACTTTAGGGAGTTACTGTTTCATTGGGTTACTACTTTTAGTTTTATTTCTTTCATTCTCCAATATGCACCTATTCATATTTGAATAGAATACTACAGATTGAAGAAATCTACCATTTATGATTAGGTAAGAAAGCGGCAGTATGCCTATTTGCTGACGTATACCTTATCATTATATAAAATAATTCTAGTGGATATATAATGCGATGACTTTTCAGTCAAAACCAGTTAAATTGCGAATCGGGCAGCCGATATCTCATAAGTTTAGTGATTTTTCTACCTAGCCTATAAACTTACTATATCACATTGGAGAAAATAAATACTAACATTTGAAAAAAGGCATTGCAACAATTCAATTTCTATGAAGAATATATTGAAACAACCTTTCCAAATATATAATATGATATGGACATGAACATGCGGCAACAATGTTAAGCGGACAGAAGTAGTTATAAAATATCAATGAAATGTGTTCTATTTCTGCGATCCGAGTATGACGTGATTATATAGCGACACTTCCCCAGGCATCAATTTTAAGGCATCAATGACGTCATTGATACATAACAATGGCGGCATCCGCAGCGATCCAGATATGTGTACTTTGAACTTGAATTATATGTTAGTTCAAACACGATATGTCCCATGAGTGAGCTGAAGTGATAGATGATGGTTATAAGTAGTCAGTGTGTAAATTAGAACATGAAACTTCGCATTCCCTTTAAATAACATTTTATTGCGTGTGGAAGACAGATATGTCATCGTTGTGCGCATTTATGTTTGCTATCTATTTCTCAATGATGATACAATAAGTGCGTCATTCTACAGCCTTACGATGCAAATGGTAAGTGTTGATTCCGATGTAAAAGATTAATTAGAGAGATACATTTATACAGATGTTGTTGTTGTTAGATTGATCACCTTATTTGCGTTGTCTGTTTACAAATCAATGTAAAAACTTTGAATTCGAATGTAAATGCTACTCTTTGTATGTGGTAAGTAAAGGATAAACAACGTATTTATTCTACATTTGGTACCACCTGTGAAGGATGCGTTGAATGTTTAGCACAGCGTAAGGTAAGTACATTTTTGATACGATTTGGATGTGCTCTTTAATGATTTCCACACTAAGTTCTATGATTGTGAACAATCCAGTGTGACATCAGGTTGGGAACTCATTTACTTAGACAAGTAAATATTCTATGATAACAACGAATGTTACATGATAGGAAAACGTTCCACGATTACAACAAAAGTTGAATGATAAGTAAATATTCCATGATAACAACAAGTTACACGATAAGTAAACGTTCCACGATAACAACAAAAGTTACATGATTTAACAAGATGATAACGAAAGTTGAATGATAAGTAAATATTTCATGATAACAACAAAAGTTACACGATATGTAAACATACATGATAATAATTTAATTTATGTTTTAATGATAAGAACACAGCTACGTAACCTACTAACTACTATACAAAGCTGATCAAACTGTTAGTTAACCTCTCTTCTATACATATAGTAAGTTACATATACTATCTGTACACTTATATTGGTTGTTGACACCGAAGGTAGACAAACGCTTCAAATAAATATATTATATTTCATGCGATCGAGTGATATAAAAAGACGGCAAATAACACACAAGGCCGTGATGCATCTCTTATTATATTGGTGAGTTTGGTAGTACAGACATGCAAGTCAACATGTTTTTAAACTTCGATTGGTAAATACCCAAGTCCCAGGTTAGTAAAGTTATAAAGCCATAGAAAACAAGAGTGCTCTGTGTAAATATTTTATGAAGAATTTTTACGATCCAGTTTTAGTTAAGCGTTTATAGCATCTTGGTCGACCTTGGGATGATTATGCTAGGTGAGGGTGACATGTAATGTATCTAGTTAGTAAGTTATCTATGCTTTAAACACAGATGTTTATGGTTGTATGTATTTGTTATTCGGAAAGACTAAACGGGATGTCATGCCCACAGCCACATTTCACCACAGAATTTGTTTGGACTAGCCTATATTTGAGAGTTTTCAAAGTAAGATTTTCAACGATTTTCCTGTAAAATTGGTACCACTTTGCTTAAAATTAGCATATTTAAAATCAATTTGACAAAGAGCTCTTCAATAAAAGTAGAGCTCTGAAAAATCAAAGCTCCGGCCTGATAAAGCTTGCTGGGATTGGGTGTTTGTTTCTTTATATATTTGACCAGTGATTCATTGCTATGTTGCCCATGAAACGCCAAAACTACTCTACTTTAAACTACGAGCAAAACTGGAATGTATTTTTAGTTCAGTTTGATAAGTCGAAACACTAGAATAATGGTTAAGTTTGTTAAGGGTTTTCGATTGCATCTTAACATGTTTCATCCCTTGGTAACCAACAGCAACAAAATGCCGATAAGTAACTGTGAGTAGTAGCAAAATTGAGGATTCCGAACCACAAATAGGTCGCCATACCCTCTTCCTCATCTTCAGTTAGTATGTAGACTGCATGCGCTTAGGGTAATACCGGTGTGAGTGATATGGTTTGCCAACTTGAACTTAGGAAAATCGTTTGTAAAGGGCATGTGAATTGGTTAGATTCTTTATGTATTAATTATTAAATATGGATACATGGACAAGTAATAACATTGTCGTCACAAATTGACGTTTAATTTATACAGGATGTAATAAATATCGTTTTATACGTCATTTTCATATTTTAACGAGAATAAAAATAGGATAGATCCCCGGGGATAGATCACATAAAGTCAGATATGACTGTAATTACAAATCCTGTTACGCGATCACGACATCTCAATTCTCAGACATGATATGCCATGGTATTATGGGTTAGATTTGGTGATAATGAGAGAGCATGTTTCTGGTGAAACAGAAAGATGCGATGAATGTATCAGAATGGTAATTATATAACCGAGTAATAACACAAAGGTTAGTCGTTACTCATTACGAGCATTCAGAGTAAAAGAATTAATAATTAAATGATTTTGTTCTTTCAGGTGAAACGGCATAAAGAAGATAATAAAAGAATTCAATTAACCAAGAATCGTGACATTAAAGCTTCGTTGCTGACTTTTCAAGCAGTCCAAGGCAATAGGCAACATTGAGATAACATTTAGATAACGTAACGTCAAAATCTCTCAAGATATACGTTCACAAACTTCAGACCAGCCTTCGCGAGGAGCACATTTAATGTATACATAGTCTGGATGAAGTCTATTACAGAGAAACAAGCCTTAGTTCTTGTACATTCTGAGGTTACGTCTGTTTAGAAGCCCTTAACATATCTGGCAGTTGCTTTTCTATTTTCAGACTGTATTGCAAAGGTCGAGAATTTCCACCTAGAATAGAGTCAGTTGGTAAATACATGCCGCATATACGCGATATGAAGAACAGTGCGCAATAGGAACATTGCATTGAAAGCCGGTAAATATAATCCAAGAGTCTAAAGAGAGAAAATAGAGAACAGCAATGTATAAGATAAGCTAATTACTTGATGAGATACAGATTTATAATTGGATAAATTGAGTAGGATAACGCCGACAAAGGACGCTAAATTAAACGCTAAAAAACGTCAGACGAGAATAACTCTGATTTGTTTTCCTCGACCTCTGAGTATCATTGGCGTTGGAACGACATACAACTATTTAGAAATTAATCTTGTGTCTAGTTTGGAGCCCTTGGTTAACCTACAAGATGACATCCCCGGATTCATACAGTTACATTGATCCAATGTATCACCAGTTCGAAGCCCATTTTCCGGACCGACATCTCCGGCTTGGCCCGCTATCTGGCGTCCCTGAAAACAAGGCGGTACCCAAAGGAGCAAAAAAGGGGAAAATGAGACGCAATCGTAACCAGGCGAGATATAAAACTCAGCCAATCACATTCGATGAGATCAAAGAAGTCGATGAGGAGAAGGAGGAGGACACAACTACAAAGAAAGGAGATATCCTTAGTCAACTAACCGCATTCTCGAGGTCCATGGATGGTCTAATGCCAACGAAGAAAAATCTCAAGCTTGCGACGCCCTTATTGAGAACCCCATTGGGAAATATATCTGCCCCACTAGATATCGCTCATCCAAAGGTCAGAGACGGGCCATCGCCAATCCTTGAACAACCTCCTAAAGATTCCGAGCTTCAATTTACGAGGCAAGATCTTGAAGAGCCTTCGTTAACCTCTTCTCGAACGGAACCTATATTGCCTTCACTAAAAACAGAATCTTCCTTATCATTAACGGATCCCATATCATCCTCAACAAAAACGGAAACAAGCCCATCCGGCCCCGAGGGACAATCTAATCGGGATAATAAATCCTCTGATAAAACAGATAGACTGCTAGATTCGGAAACATCGTCTGCTGAACGCAAAATTGAGCAGACGGACGCCCTTGCTAAAAATGATTCATCAAAATGTATGGAATCCGACCCAAACAAGGATGAGTCAAAACTGAATGGAAGTAATTTGACAAGTGTGGATACAGCGAAATCAACGGCAGATACATAATATTTTGAACAGTAAGGTTGTGCTGAACTTTGTATTTATTACCACGATGTATGAGGAGTGTTTTCTCAAACTTTGAGATTTAAGAACTACCATGACCTGCCATCTTTCGAATGAACAACAAATGGATTGAAAGAAGGCAAAAATGTAATGTTGAGCGAAAATGGATTAATTTCATGGTCTTTCTGACGTGCCGCAATTTTTCAGACAGTCTAAAGTATCATCTCCATACTTAATCGGCATCGCTTTTGATTGATCACAGTGAATGCTTGTAGTAATAAGAGTGTTATCAATCCATAGGCTACTGTATTGTTTTTGCATAGTCTTACATAAAGTCTGTATGTATAGTGTATACGGAAAGGTTTTTCTTATGACTGGTCATGGGTGATGTTAACGTTCTAAATCTGACTACGACAGAACATGTAGCAAAGGAGTGGATCGATGCAAGAAGGTGAAACATCATGGCACCTTTTGACAAAAGTGTCAAAAAAAGATTAAGAAAACCATGTCACTTTTAACTGTCAGCAATTTTGTTTGAAAGTGATCATATTCTCAGTTCATGAATATTTCCAGTTCTCTACAACGAAATCGGCGACTTGGGCAAAATCTAGGATCTCTTAATGTTGAAAAAGAGTTGTGAGGATACTAGATACCTGCCCATAGAAAACTTTCGTTTGCTCTCTTTGTCATTAAACCAAATGTGCAAAATTCCTTAGACATGGGACTAATATGTAAATCATCTTGTAATTCACATGTTAATTATCCTTGTACTGATCACTAACTATATATACAGTTACACATTTAATATCAAATGTTATATACTCGTTTGATAATTTAGTTGTTGACGAAAGCATCATATTTATATTAGGTAATTGGTTAAAAGTAGGCGTGATATTTGCTTCATACATGGGCGTAGTCAGACACGAGGCATACCGACATTTTAAAGAAAAAATATATAATTCAGACGTTTCTTTTTCATCGAACCTGTTAAAATGAAGTTAAATGAGAGTATCTTAACTTAATTCTCGCCTCGTCTATTTAATTTGCCTCACCTATTTAATTTGCCTCACCTATTTAAATTTGCCTCACCTATGTTTCTAGACCCTGGCTACGCCCCTGTCTATGTATTCTAAGTAAATCCAAACTTTGTGAATATTTTTTTTCCAAAACAAAATGATATACTGTAGTAATAAAAACTACTCTCTTAATGTGACAAATAAATAGAGTTACGATCTTAATGATCCTCCCATTAGAAGCTGTCATGGCAAGTTTCAACATGAAATAGATGGCACCTGCTTATCAAGGAATAATTTCTGTAAATAAATATCTTACTGAAAGTAATATCAAACTGTTAAAAGTATATATTGTAGAGACTTCACGTGTTTCACATTAACTGGAGCTCAATGGTCACTGGAAATCTAGTCATTTTAGTATTTGTTTGCAAACATATTCTGCTCAAGTAAAAAATTGAAGGAAAAATGTGAGCGCATATCAAGACTATTTATAACATAACAGTAGAATATATTTAATATAGCATATAGTGCATTGTTATACAAATGTGACTAATTACATTTAATACTTTTTACGTTTACACTTGCAAAATGACTACATTTATTTCATCACTATCACTTACATCAACACAATGGCTTTTTGTCTGCCAATGCCACGGGGGTAAAGCAGACCCGATGATACAATGAGCTTGCTCGGCGGTATCATGACTGTGTAACGGGTCTTAATGTATATGTGTGCTCGGCGGTAGGTTCAAACAACGCGGATCCTCAAAGCACGTGCTCATGGTATCATCGTGGGTTAACACCCGTGCAATGCCATTATCTATCATTTGAATTCTTGATATTTATGTTTTTGTGGAACTTTAGTTTCATCTGAACGAGCAGTAGTTGAGGACGCTAACAGTAAAAGTAGCACAATACAAATGTGGTGCATTACAATACAATGTAGTGCAATATGATAAGTGTTGTACAATTCAGTGTACTTGAAGAAGGCAATAATACCAAATATTACAATTAAGTTCATTACAATGCAATGTAGTGTAATATAATGAAGTGAAGCTCAGTACAGTGCAGTGTATTACAATTTAGTGCAATACAATGCAATGTAGTGCATTACAATTAAATGAAGTGCAATATGATTCAGAACAGCACAGTACCATGCAGTGCATAACAATGTAGTGCATTACAATATAATGTAGTGCAATATAATGAAGAGGAGCAGTGCTTTTCAATGCAATACAGTACAATCTGATGAGGTACAGCACATTATTACATTGCAGTGCATTACAATGTAGTGCATTACAATTCAATGAAATTCAATAGGATGAAGTGAAACACGGTACAATGCAGTGCATTACAATGTAGTGCATTACAATTCAATGAAATTCAATAGGATGAAGTGCAACACGGTACAATACAGTGCATTACAATGTAGTGTATTACAATTCAATGAAATTCAATAGGATGAAGTGTAACACGATACAATGCAGTGCATTACAATGTAGTGCATTACAATTCAATGAAATTCAATAGGATGAAGTGCAACACGGTACAATACAGTGCATTACAATGTAGTGTATTACAATTCAATGAAATTCAATAGGATGAAGTGTAACACGATACAATGCAGTGCATTACAATGCAGTGCTTTACAATTCAATGAAATTCAATAGGATGACGTGTAACACGGTACAATAGAGTGCATTACAATGTAGTGCATTACAATGTAGTGCATTGTGTGATGATCTGCTAACAGTTCATGAACTGTAAAACATGGAATGTTGTACTTACACATACAACACACTGCCCTGTTGACAGCACAAGAGCTTGCTAAGGTAAGATAAACAAAACAAAACAGAATACAAAATTGAATACACCAAAATTGCTGTAACATTATTCAATGCCTTTTTTGCTGTAGACTAATATGCTTTATGTTTACCATTATTGGTGTTTAGGAAGTTACAAACAAAAATACTGTACTCTCATTGGTATATATGTCAATGTTAACAGAATAGAACTAGGTGTCAAAGCTACCAGTATCTACTACATACAGTCTACTTAGTATATACAGTGAAACCTGTAAAGTGGAACATCTCTAGAAGTGGAACATTTTTAGAATCCCAAGACTAACTGACTTAATTTTAAATGAACCTCTATAAGTGGAACACCTCCTAAGTGGAACATTTTTAGAGGTACCAAAGGAGCTCCACTTAGATACCAAGGTATACTGAGGTCATTAAAATAATCTTTGTGAATTCCTGCGTCTATAGAATGTCATTCTGAGAAAAAGTACCTAATTTAATATGCATTTAGTGTGTTTAAGATTTTTACTGTCTGATATGTTTTATTGCAATGTTACACAAAAATGAATGCATCATCTTGGCTGTTGGATTATTCCATCCATTTCTACTACATTTTCAATGGAAAGACAAAAAAAAAATGTGACAAAACCCTGATAATGTACAGTACAGAAGTTGTCAACAGCTAATTATAACAGGAATGTCCATATTTCAATTTGTACATTTCACATTTTATTTATGCAATTTCATAAGGTTGCATGTTGATCATTAGCATTTTTTTGATTATGTGTTAATAAACTATACTGTATTTAAATAATGGAAAATATAAAATTGAAAAATAGCTGTATACAATCTTGTATTGTACATACATACTTACATATACTATTGAATGTAAACATGACAAGGCATGAACACGCAATATGTCACCACCTACCATTTGATACAGATACTGACCACTGAAAGTCAAACACCAACTGATGAGCACCATACACAAAAAAGTCGGAGACTACAACAATATGGCAGCACTTGTGGTGGTGACATAATAGGGAATTTAAGCTTGCATATAAAATTGAAATGCCAACCTAACACGTACATGTATGACCAATCGCCAATACAAATGCATCGCTTGAATATTTTCCATTCACGTTTAGGTTGTGAAAAACATTGCAAGCTTAAACTTCCGAATAAATGATGAACGTTATAGAATAGGTATAAGTAGTATTACACATACATATGAACTTTTGAATTATTAATATAAAATGGGACTAGTTTGTGCTTGTTCTTTTACATCAAAAATTCTGTCACATGAACAAAAGTGGACAAAATGGACAAAAGTGAAAATCATGGACCCTGATCCCTAATAAGGGATGGTGTCCAATTTTCAACATTTATGGAATAATTAAGTTAATCTCATAAGGGGAAGGGGGTAAATAATGATTCTGTTGTCAAAAAATGTTGATTTTTAATATTCAAGTGAAGTACAAATCAACATTTTAAAAATTAGGGGGAGGAGAACCACTATAATATCAACTTCGTTTTTCCACTACCATTGAGAATCGGACACCACCCCTAATTTATATTTTCAAAATGTGTATAAAGTTTATACCATATTTGCCTCTGTACTGTCACTTAGACTGTATACTTAACATGCTGCACTTAAACATGTTAAATTAACAGATGGTTTTTGTTATGAAACAGAAAGTGACCTCATTACATTCACTGCAAGTTTCTGTTTCATATTAATTAAAATATTTCCCACTTCAAGAGCATCTCACCAGTATTATCCATTATTATCAACTTCTACATACAAGCTTACATCAAAGCTGAAGATAAATCTGAATAACTAAGTCACTTAGACTCTATACTTAACATGCTGCACTTAAACATGTTAAATTAACAGATGGTTTTTGTTATGAAACAGAAAGTGACCTCATTTCTTTCATTGCAAGTTTCTGTTTCATATTAATTAAAATATTTCCCACTTCAAGAGCATCTCACCAGTATTATCCATTATTATCAACTTCTACATACAACCTTACATACAAGCTGAAGATATTAATTACAGAACAAAACATTTATGTGATACAGAAAGGTTTAATATATTTTTGTTATATTTATTTAGCAAGGGAATACCTTTATAAATTGGCTTTGTTTGATAGGTTGAACCTCAACATAAAAATTTTAAATTAACTTCCTGGTTTCAGATACAAGAGCCTAAATAGGCTAGGTTAAATTAATTTGTGTTTCACATTTTTTGCTTATCTGTTTTCAAATGTCAATTAAATCACAACCATTTGATTGTTACAATTTCAGTGCATGGCTTGAACCTCATTTGGTTATTTTTATAAAAATATGAAAATGCATTTTAACCAGATTTTAGACAAAATAGAAAAAATGTAAAAATAATGAACCAAAAAGTGATTTTCCCTCATCTATTTTATTTAGAAAAAGATGGGGAGTTAAATAATTTTCTTTGGCCTAAGTAGGATAAACCAAGAAGGTAAGCAAATTGTCTCAGTTATGGTTACTAGTATATTTTCTACTATGTTTCGAGTTCTTTAAGGATATTATAATTATGGTTGGTGTACAATACACGGGAGTACAGACCTAATTCTGAAATCTACATATGAAAATCCCTTAAACATTGTTGAATTGAGAATCAGAGAATGATAGTAACAAATCCATAGATTATAACACTTTCTTTTTTGTTAATTGTCACATTTAAGTATTTATTTTTATTGACATTTCTGTCTCTTGAATCATTTATAATCTCCCTGTTAAAGAAGATGATCTTTTGACTGCTTTTAAGATATCATAAAAATGTTGCACAGGATTTTCCAACCCTTCTGGCAGATGTGTTACCTCGGGTGTTAAGTGTTTGTGCGAATATACGAATTGGAATGTATATGAGATAATACATTACATTCAATAAATGCAAATCGGCTTTGGATTTTCTCAACATATTTTAAATAAATGTCTGCCCAAATATGGCATGAATAAAAGTAACGTAATATGTAAAAATTATTACATGTAGAACACAATTGTGGAACACAAATATGGGTAAATGTAATAATTACGCAATATGAGGGAAGGGGACCATATTAGGGAGCACGCCCGAGTTACATGTAATTGGTCAAGATGTCAACCTTTAGATAGTATCTTTCAACCAACCAAGGAGGACATATGGACTATCATAGTGTTATAATCCATTTTTAAACAGCAATGATAGACTGTGACTGTTCAGAACACTTCACATGACCAGTTTATAATTCAATCTAACAAATTGAAGTTCATGGATGAGATGTGATATTTGATCTCAATATCACATAGCGCCATGAAGACAATGTTGCTCAATGACAGTTTGTTTTTCCCCAATCTAAACTGTATTTGAGATTTCATCATCAGGACATGTTCTGTTCTTGAAATATGTTTTGTTTCATCAATAAAATTAAAACTGCTGGGTTATCCAATCAATTGATTGAGATTACAGCAGACTAAAATTGTGTGATAGTCATCATGGATGATAAAAGAGGTATTTAGACAGCCAGAAAAACATAATCCATCTTGTTTTAACAAGTTCAAAAGAGAACAAGATTTAAAAAATACCAGAGCTACTAACAATGGTGTAAAAGATTTCTTATGGCATTTTTAAACATAAGAAAGTTAAAAATGAATATATACATGTACAGTATATGCATTTATATGTCAACTGTCATGTGACTAATGCATTTAAGCTCATTTATACATGTTAGTCATGATGGTGTGATATACCAAATATCACCCCTCAGAAAAATATATATCACACTCTCAATAATGTAATAATACAATATGTGTATTTTTTGTAGATCTCAATGGTATTGATGATTGTCAATAGATTGCAAATAAACAGATGGATTTAATTGTATACACTAACATCTCCAAGATAAAAATTATTGATAATACCGAACATATGTCAATACTGCATCTTGCTCAATATTAGTTAGAATGATAGTATTGATAAATAAAACATAACCTATAAAAAAAAAAAAAAAAATTAGTTAGAATTTTGAAGGGAAAGATTAACAGAGATATTCATTGGACTGCCATCTATATAAATCCTCATTCACTGTTACCCATTCCTGTAGCGTTCCATGACATCATTTCAGGGCTGAAGTCAGCTTTTGCCAAGGGGCGGGGGTCACTTTTTAAAAAATGTCAGGGGGGTTCACATTGGACTATTGGCCCAAAATAACTTGTAAAGTGCCCAGAATGATGAAAAACTGCATGATTCATCATTTTGAAAGAATCTTTGGTCAAGGGGAGGGGGTGCACCCCTCGAACCTCTCACCCCTGGCAACAGGCTTGTCATTCACTTCACACCTTATATGAATGTTGAATATACTGGTCAATATCGACTTAAGTGTTTAACATAGACTTCAATAGGGAATATATACCTTATAGAAACCACTAATATACATAACTTCTTTTGGCAAGCATGACCCAGATGATATCTCTGGCTATGGCAAAGTTCTAAGCTGAGGTACATAACCATTACGCCATTTTGTCTTGGGCTTTTGTTGACAAAACCGACGGTGTAATTACAATGGCACATGTACATTGTCTAGTCTACAATACATTTTTATGGCACATTGTCTATGATGGGGGTACCCAACCTCCAAATGCTTTCTCTAATTGCCTAGCAACAGCAAGTGTTAGATGATCATTATGGTAACCACCAACAACCTGTAAGCCCAAGGGCTGACCCTTACTACCCAAACCTAAAGGAACTTGTGTAACAGGAAACCCTAGCACATTCATTATACCTGTGTATGGGAAGTTAAATGGGTAAACTAAGGGCTCATTGTGGTAATATGTCACTTTGGGATGTGTTGGGTACAGCAATATACCATTATCACCCAGCAAATCATTAATTTCTTGTTTCAATTCTTCTGCAATTGCATTCAGTCGAACCACCTTATCATTTGGGAGTTTCCCGAAAATTTCTACCATGCCTAAACATATCGCTGGTAGCGTGTGAGTCGATTTGCCGATCATGTGCTTTAGGAGCTCCAACCAACAATTCAAATGAGTTCCACTACCCATAAGTTCACAGAAAGTTTGTTTTTCATCACCTTCAGACATCTTGGAGGCCCATATAGCTAGGGAATGCCTCAATTGTTTAATAACTACATTCTCCACTGGGACTTGGAGGTCATTTTTGAAGTAACTTTCCACCTATAAGAATAAATTGGACATTTTACAGTGTATCGGTTACATGTATGTGTTCTTCTTCTTTGTTGATACTGTGTTCATTAATATAATTGAGGCGCCTCTTAGTTTGATCATCCAGTGAGCAGAAATCTGATTATTTATACATTTTCTTCATGGGGAGTAATCTAAGTCACCCCCTCTAGCATTCTCTGTATTAATATAGAGAATCTAAGAGGGAGGGGTGACCTTACTTCTCATAAATATCTTGATTATGGTAGGCTTATCAGTTGTTTTCTTATCAATTCTTAACTAAAATATTCTTAACTCAAAATATTAATGTGTATTGCTAAAAAAGTTCAGAAGTATACCGTACCTGCTTCTGTGCATGTCTCAGGTCATACTCAACAGAACTCTCTAAGAGTCCTCCATTTTCTGCTATACTGTACACTTTGATCTTACTGAGGTCAACCTGGAGAAATATAATATGCATCTGACATCAATTCTATTTCATCTTTCATCATGTACAGAAATGCTGAGGTGAATAAGGAACGTTACTGGAGGTACATATTATTCTAACTGAGTTCAAATACAGTGAAACCTGTGAAGTGGAACACCGCTACAAGTGGAACACCTCTGTTAGTGGAACATTTTTCAGAGTCAAAAGATGAACTGACTTAATGTTAAATGAACCTCTATAAGTGGAACACCTCTGTTAGTGGAACACTTTTCAGAGTCAAAAGACCAACTGACATAACAGACTTGCCAACCTCCCGTTTTTTTACGGGAATCTCACGTAAATTTTTGTTTTTCCGTAAAAAATACCAAACTCCCGTACCGTTTTCTCCCGTAAAAACTCCCATACCGTATTTCTACTAAAGTCTCCCATAATTTTTTTAAAAATATGGCCGTAAATCTCCCGTACTTTTGCTGAAATCTCCCGTAAAATCTCCCGTTTTCTGGTATAACTCCCGTAAAATCTCCCGTATTCTTGGTATAACTCCCGTAAAATCTCACGTTTTCTGGTATAACTCCCGTAAAATCTCACGTATTCTTGGTATAACTCCCGTAAAATCGCCGTTTTTTGCTGTCGAAATCTACCGTATTTAAAAGGAATTTGACAAATTTGTGACCTTGATTATTGCAGGCACGCTTCTTTCTTTTACTCCAAGAAGGATTGGCTCCCATGGTTCACTATCGATACTTTCATAAATAACTTAAAAGTACTTCATTCCCATGATTCAAATTGCTTTTCTGCGATCAGTTCGGTATAAGTTTGCACACCAAATGTCCACAAACGGGGGCCAGTTCATATTCTGTCGGGAGAATACATTTTGTTTTTATATGGCGCTAAACAAAATATTCCCGCAATATAAGGCGCATTATGGGTAGGGACTGCTGTGAAATATTGAACGTAAGTGACATCTATCTTAGATTATAAGTTCTAATTAATTTATTAAGTGCGCATGCGTCATAATAATTTCAACCAATTAAATAGCTGGATTTAATGCTCATGCGCGAAAAACCGAACCTAAAAATGGAACCTCACGCAGATTGCCCTTAGCATATAGTGAACGCCTCATATACATTTTACTTAGCTTTGATCAATTCGTTTTTTCATAAATCTACCGTAAAAACTCCCGTTTTTTCAAAATCTACCGTAATAACTCCTGTTTTTCCGAAATCTACCGTAAAAACTCCCGTTTTTTCAAAATCTTCCGTAAAAAGTCACGTTTTTTAAAATTTACCGCAAAAACTCCCATTTTTTTAAATCTCCCGAAAACTACAGTTTTTTCAAAAATCTCCCGTAAAAACTCCCGCTTTTTTTAAAAAAACTACCGGATTTCGAAAAAAACTCCCATAAAAGTACCGCAATTTATTTTAAATCTCCCGAAAATTTTTCATTTTAGGTTGGCAAGTCTGCATAATGTTGAATTAATCTCTATAAGTGGAACACCTCCTAATTGGAACACTTTTCAGAGTCCTAAGACCAATTGACAAAATGTTAAATTAATCTCAAAGAGTGGAACACCTCCTAAGTGGAACACTTTTCAGAGTCCTTAGACCAATTGACAAAATGTTAAATTATCTCTATTAGTGGAACACCTCCTAAGTGGAACAATTTTCAGAGTTCTAAGACCAATTGACAAAATGTTAAATTAATCTCTATGAGTGGAACACCTCCTAAATGGAACACTTTTCGGAGTCCTAAGACCAACTGACTTAATGTTAAATGAACCTCAATAAATGGAACACCTCCCAAGTGGAACACTTTTAAGGGGTACCAAAGGTGTTCCATTTAGCCAGGTTTTAGTTTGAAGTTATGGTCTTCAATCATGGTTGACTATGATGAAAGACAAGTGATAAAACAAAGATTCAAAAATGTTTTTTATGAATTTTGTAATGCTTTTTGTGTTTTCTGCATTGACCCATAATTCAAAAATATGAATATAAGACACTCCCTTTCCTACCTCTGTTCCTAACTTCAGTTTCTTCACACCATCTCCTGCCATGACCTTCAACATGGGTTCAAGGTCATCGGCATAGCGACACAGGGGACCAGTACACAACAAATACTCCTGGATTGCACTATCAGCATTCGGAAACTGCCCCTCATTTGGTACAACACCTTAGAAAAATTATAACGATAAATTCAATCCAGTCTAGTACACAGCCCCAGGAAAAATAAGGATCCGCCAAAAGAGCATGGAATATTGTGCAGATTTTTTGAAATAATATTATTCTTCGAGCACTAATTCCACAGTTTATAAAATGTACACACAAATACAGTCATAAATCCAAGAAATGTACTTGTTACTTCATTACTCCTAGCACATTATATATGAGCTGAAGTGTAACATTATTGCAATGAAAAGATATTAACATATTTTTAATTACCATGTGTCGGTTTGTGGCCAAAGATCCCATTAAAGAAGGCGGGCATGCGTATAGAGCCACCTATATCTGAACCAAGACCAAACACTGACCCTGCAGCTGAGATAAGACTACCTTCCCCACCTGCAAATACAGCAAAACAAATATGCACATCTTCATAAATAAATTAGCTATACATGTACAGAAAAAACTGCTTAGTGGAACACCTCTGTAAGTGAAACACCTCACAAGTGGAATGGCTTTTAAAAGTCCTTTGGCCCATTGCCTTTATGTAAATGAACCTCTGTATGTGGTCCCGAGGGTGTTCCACTTACACAGATTCTACTGTATAACACAAGCCAACAATTTTCTCACACTTCTTTCTCTGAAGTTGGAATGAATCATAATACCTCCTATTTAAGCGCATTAAATACAGAGTAACTGTTTGGTATTTATCTCATCTTGCCAAATGTTCAAATTATTTCATCAAAAAGAAATGCAGTTTTAAAAAAGGAATCTCTAAATGAATGTTCTATACCTGAACTTCCTCCAACAAGTCTGGTTGTATCATAAGCATTCTTAGTTCTTCCATACACCCAGTTGGCAGACTCCAACCACATGCACAGCTCACTGGTGTTTGTCACGCCTAGAGGGATTGCACCAGATTGTCTTATGTTAGCCACAACTGGTGCATCTTCGTGGCATCGAAGCTGCTTCCGTGCTTCCAGTCCAGAGTTGTTTGGCATTCCTGCAAAGAAACAGATTGGGTACACTGGTTGGAGATCAACAAAGCAACTGCAATGTAATGCAGGCCTATAGCCCCCCCTCCCCAGTCAAAAATTCTTCCAAAATCATGCAGTTTTCATTATTCTGAGCACTTTTCAAGTTATTTTGGGCCAAAGTTGAAAGTTGTCAAATGTGAACCCCCCTGGAATTTTTTGAATAGTGAACCCCTGGGGCAAAAGCTGGCTATGAGCTTGTAATGTAAAAAAGGACTGCCAAAGTATGTAACTTCATTAGTCAAGCAAGACCAACATTGAGTATATATGTAAAATCAGCCTTTCTATCTGTTGTTTGCTGAAGATGTTAATGAAGAATAGCAGACTACAAATTGAAATCCAATGGTCAAATGTGCAAAGATGTAATCATAGACAGGCTGGCATCGAAAAATATATTCATTGCATGGAGTAAGTATTTTCCTTTGGTATAGCGAAACATATGAGTAAAAAAATAAATTGTGTGGGTTTCTTAGTGTTTCTATGCAAAATAGCACGTCCCGTCACAGCGGACAAATTTTTCGATACCAGCCTGTGTCATAAGGGTTAATTAGCTTAACATACCAACAAGAGCAAAGCACTCTTTTATAGAAACAGGTACACCCAGGAAAGGTTTCTTCTCTTCTGAATACTCCTCTGGTATGTCACCACTGTCAAGTATTTCATCCACCTTTTTGGCTTCTTTGAGGGCATCTCTAAAGCGGTTCTTTACCATTGCATTGATAATAGGGTTGACATCTTTGATACGCTTGATGTATCTCTGTACAACGTCTGTGCTCGTAAGCTGAGTGAAAAAGGCATATTTGGCAAACATGAGAAAACACAACCTACACTTTAGATTAATCAACAAAAATATCAAGTTAATTAACAAAAATATGTCAAGTCTACTAAACTTAAATATCTCATGCTCTATCAAATTATTTTAAACTTGACACATTTTGAGGGATCCACTACCACCACTGACTGACAATCAGTTTCAGCTCACGAAATATTTAATAAAAGTGAAATACCTTGCGACTTCTGATTTGTCTTGCAAGTGCTGATGCACTCTCAAACAGCAGGTCATCTGTGATTGGTGGAACCTTATCAGATTTTCCAGAGTATATAAGCGAGAATATCAGGGAGATGAACCACTGGAAGATTGCCACCAGCCATAATATAGCTTTAACCAGTAGTATGAGTGCTTTCATTGTACCTGTAACAGTTAAGACATGAATTATTTACAATCATTGCAGGCAGGTTGCGTCTTTAAGTATTATCTCCATATACAGTGTCCTACCTGAAAGTTGTTGCCCCTTTTCAACAGCAAATACTCCAAACATAGTAGCAATGAACTTGAAAATGTTATCATAAACCTTGTGCCTAGACTCCAAAGAGCAAATACCTTTTTATAGCTATTTTAGCTAATCATTAATAATGTTATATATCAATCATAATAAATTCTCCTAATTTTCGAAATCGCTGTTCCCTCTTCAAAAGAGGAGACGCGAAAATCTTTCCATATAAGGTCAAAATATTTCCCATGATGCAGTTCGCGGAGGAACAAATTTATACTTCCTTGTTTTCCCTCATAGGTTTAACATGGGGATTTTCACACCTATTTTTCAAACGATATATTCGTTCATATCCCCGTACGAGGGTACAGAAAAAATTATTAGAAACGATTGATCTCTTATTAATCTTAATATAACAGCTATTTTTTCATTGTATTGATTCATAGCGTGGTGAAAACGATGATTGAAAAGTGAGAAAATATTCCGGAAGAGAAGGTCACATGATCAGTTGACTAGTCGCCATATTGGAAAAAACAATTCCATTCGACTTTCAATACTTTCATGCCAATCTTACCGCACTACAAACTGCAACATCGATGCAACAACTGAATAAAAGTATTCATCTTCAAATTACATCATAGAGTTACGTTGAAAACCAACAAATAACTGAGCAGTAGACCAAAGAAGAAGCGTCGCTATTATCTAGGTCACTCTGTTCAGTGGTTCGAAAGCAAAGCTATAGTACTCGTTTCCGAATTTTGTTGTTAATTGTACAATCTTTTATTGATTAAAACTCGGTATACTGACTATTAAAGCAATGACAAAGAAGAATACTTCCGATGTTGTCATTGTTTTATTTAGCGTGCGGGTGTAAAAACAAATTGCGTAATTAGTTTGATTTAGAACTTTCGGGTCACGCAAATAGCTACGCGGAATGCATAGTGAGAAAATATTGACCAATCAAATTTTGTCCTTTTTGATTGCTTTTTCAGGACATATTTGCGAACGTTCTGATTCAAAGAGCGAATCGCGAAAGTCATCAGTTAGTCAGTAAATGGGATGAGTATATTAACCTAGGTTGATATATATTTAGGGAGTGGGGCTGATATATCTACTAGTTATCTAGGGAGTGGGAAGGGATAGGTGGTTATGGATTCAAATGGTGATGGCATTTTGTTGGTTAAACTTGAAGAATTGCATCTACTTTGTAAGGCAGTCTTTGTTATGGCATTTTATTGGTCATACCTGAGGAATTGCTTCTAAGGCAGTCTTTCTTGGATCTGATGTCTGACCTTGAAGAGATTAGAGATTTTGATTTTGAGGAGGGTAGGGGTAAAGTACAATATTATATTTGAGAATCAGCATTATCATGGGCTTTCACATGGCATCATCCTATAGTTAAAGTGTGGGCCAAAAATAAACCTCAACCTTAAAAAAGTTGTCACAATGAGCTAAATTCTAAGTTACATGTCGGACTCAAACTCTCTCGAGCGGTAGAGAAATAATTCCCGTTCACTTATGCAACATCAGGTAACCTTATTTACTCTTGACAAATTTCAAAATGGTGGAACGGCATTTTGAAAGCTGGCACGTGTCATGTTGCATTCTGGGAGCCAATCCACATTGCGGCGCAATCGGGCTCTTACATTTGAAGAGTCGGCATTAACAGGTGAATATCCACTTCAAATCCCCTTCTCTCATATCATCAAATCATTTCTCCCTCGCATTCATCTCAAATTCAACATGGAAGAGATTCTATGAAAATGACGTCATTGACAAATGAACTCGTCGACAGTAATTTTTTCGAGGATAGGTATTCTGGCATACGGGATGGCAGGAGATCTCGTTGCTTCAATACTGGATAGAACGAGATCTTGCTGCCACGTATGGCAATAGACCCTGCAGCTCTAAACCAAACAGAGTATTTTAATGAGGTGCATAATAAATGTATTTATTAGCCTTGAATTGCAGTGCATAATTCATTACTCGATATTAGATCACCATCAACTCTAAAACGCCTGTGGTGAAGTATACGTAAAGTGTTCAGGGTAGGTGTTGCACTCGATCAATCTATGGAATGTCTCTGACTTCACAGTCAGTATGCATTTAGAAATATATTTACAGAAGTTCTACTCTGGAAAATAATTTTTATTCAAAGGAAATTTTTATCCTCGGTGCACTTTCATGGAGAATTTTTCGTATCCATGAAAATAATTTATGATCATCGGGGAGCTTATGATCTAATAGAATCAAATCTGAAGTTTGTTATCACATGTTTTCAATGAGTAATTGATAATTTATGAAAATGTACAAACCTTGCGTTTTGACAACTTTGAACCGGAAGTTCAATTAATGAAAATAACGTACTGCCATCTATAATTGATTGCGAAAACAACTTTCTCATTTCACATTTCCCAGGTTAAGAGAGGACAGAGGGGCTACCCGAATAAGTAACCCGATATTGAATGAAGATCTTCTTCAAACTAGCATAAACTGAAAAAAAATTCTTTGGATATATGCCCTAAATTCTTCCCAATCGTCAAGGAAATAACAAACGCAATAGAGGATGTTATTGGTAACAGACGGCTCATGTTTAAAAGGGGATTCCCCTTGTTTACCTGAACTGTGGATTCAAAGCAAAAACAAATTTCGGTTACTGCTTTTTTAATAATGTAGTTCCGTTAAGTCTGTTATCAATTAATATTAGTTCAATTATAGATTGATACAAGTACACCCCAAAAATGATGATTTAATTCCAAATGTCTGAAAAATTCCGTAAATTTGTGTAAGCTCGTCGTTGAAACTGACTCTTAAACCTTTGGGCGCTCTAATAGTCATATTGGTAATTCCATTTCTTCGCATTACTTGATTGGAAATTTTCTTCCTTGTCTGAAATGATTTGACAAAAACAAGACAGAACGTTACACTAGGTAAGTCAAAATAAGAATAAAACGAATGGATGTTATTCAAGCAAAATCAGGATCACCGTTGACTGGCCCAATGATCATACCCGGGCGACTAAGGGGATCTCCCGTCGAGTGGTCCAGGCAACCGACTGGCAATCTGGAGCGGGATCTGGAGTCTGGGGTTGGGCGTGGGAACTGAATTGACTGAGTGGAATTCCTCATCCTGCTGTTTTGACGCCCATGCCTTGCTCTATCATTGAACTGTCGGACGGTCTATTGGATCATATGGCTTGCTCTATTGTCGGATTGTCGTGTCTATCAAGTTCACTGACTGAACTATGCCGCTGATCACTGCGTGTAATGTGAGCACACTCGGTGAGACTAGGCTATTATCATGAGCCGCACATCGTGATAGGCTAATCTTTTTCAGTGACGCTTGAACTATTTGCCTCAAGTTATTCCGAAGTCACAGCAGTTTAGGTGGGGAAGGGGGAGTAGGGCACATAAACTTAAAGGCAGAATCAGATCTATGGGGGTGACAAAATTACATGCAACCATGCAACATGATATACAATTGACGTACCAATCTATTCCTTACAATCTCAAATACAATATCTCCCAAAAGATTCATGATATGTTATAAATTGACTTCATATATTTGTACATGTTTGTAAGAAGGTTCCATCTTGGATTACCAAGGGAAATCAAACTGAGCAAACTGGTAAACGAGCATGAGAACTTGTTCAGGATCTCCCTAACTCACGGAAGATGTAGACGATCACTAACTTGGCTGAACTTGGCTGAACTTGGCTTCCTCAGGGGAACACTGGTGTCTCCAACATGTCCTATATTGGATGACGAAAGACTATACTGTGTCTCGAGTAAGTAAAATCGTTTATATGCAAATGTGTTGATGAGGGATGAAAACTATTTACAGTGTCGAGATAATTGTTGATAGAACAATACGATATTAATAACAGAAATTAAGATGCCTTCGGGCGTAGCCAGTTATTAGGGAGTTTAAGCTTGCAATATTGCATTTCACAACCTAAACGTGAACGGAAAATATTTAAGCGATGCATTTGTATGGGCGTCCCTATTGTCAAGGGGGGGGGGGGTGCGATTTTGGGGTTTGAATCACTGGGAGGGAAGCGAGTTACAAAGGTACGGGCCTCGGGGAATTAAAAACTATATCTACACTGTATGCTGCGCCCATGTGCCTTAATTATTCAGGATTGATAATAAAGAATTAATATTGAAGAGATATTGAATATTGATGAGTGTGTTTACACATTTGTAATGTACATTTCAGACGAAATAACTTTGGAACACAAGAAGTATCTCAAGACTGATATCAGATTGAAAATCTGGCTCACCATCAAGAAAAAGTAGCACCACCATATAGCATACAGCATACTTAGAGATTTATGTGAACAATGAAACAATTCATAACTTAGTTTGGGGTCAAAGGAAGATGACAAATAACTTGTGTTGCTGCGTTGGCTGGATCTCAAAACTACATACCACAATGGTCATCCACTAGACTGTGCTTGTTTGTGCTGTGCTTGTTTTCCATTGTTCAACCAGATATTATTCTTCACGGCAAAATTCTTAATAAGAATAACCCATCAAACCGTGGAAAACGATGGGAAACCAACATGGGGTAAAACAGAAGCCCAAGGAGACCATTGCGAGAAGCCAACGTCGATCGAATGAAATATCAGTCCAATACTTTTTCGAGAGAAATCAAAGTGGAGCCAAAGAACAGCCAATCAATAACATCTTTGAAACTCAGATGTAGCCAAAGAACAACCAACTAAGGACACATTTCAATTGAAACCCTGATGGACCCAAAGAACAGCCAACCAATGACACCTTTGAAACCCTGATGGACCCAAAGGCCAAACAGCCAACCAATGACATCTTTGAAACCCCGATGTAGCCAAAGAACAACCAACTAATAAGATCTTTGAAACGCCAGCAGGTGGAGCCAAAGAACAGCCTACCAATGACATCTATGAAACCCAGATGTAGCCAAAGAGCAACCAACCAATAACATCTTTGAAACGCCAGATTGAGCCAAAGAACAGCCAACCAATTACATCTTTGAAACCCAGATGTAGCCAAAGAGCAACCAACCAATAACATCTTTGAAACGCCAGATTGAGCCAAAGAACAGCCAACCATTGACACCTTTGAAACCCAGGTGGATCAAGGAACAACCAACCAATCATCTTTGAAACCCAGATGGAGCCAAAGAACAGCCAACCAATGACACCTTTGAAACCCAGATGGAGCCAAAGAACAGCCAACCAATAACACTTTGAAACGCCAGATGCAGCCAAAGAACAACCAACCAATAACATCTTTGAAACCCAGATGCAGCCAAAGAACAACCAACCAATTACATCTTTTTGAAACGTCAGATGGAGCCAAAGAACAGCCAACCAATGACATCTTTGAAACCCAGATGGAGTCAAAGAACATCAGTCAACTGAACCCCTTGATAGAAGCAATTGTGGAGCAGAACGCCACTCCAATTAATATAAGAGGCACCCAGGTAGAGTCAAAGAACATCAATAAGATGAAATCACTGAGAGAAAGAACAGCAACACCCGACCAATGACGCCATTCGAGATAGACATACTTAGAACAGATGAACATCAGGCCAATAAAGGGACAGCGGAACAAAGACGTCAGTGCATTCTCTGAATATATTTTTAGGGTTGCATTGATATGAAGCTATTATTATTTTAAGAAGACATAAATTCTCTGAAATAAATGTATTCCTTTTGATTAATAAAAAGTAGGTTTTATATATCATAAGCAAAAATGGTCCTCGTAAGGTAAAAGGACCTTTCTATCAGAAGATCGAGTACTTAGAATCGTAGGTTGAACCATAAATTTACAGAAATCGAGCAAGAAGGGCCACTTGGGGGGGGGGGGGGGGTGTGCTACTGTTTGAATCGGGAGCCTAAATGAGGCTCAGTGGCTGGGGATGACCCCCTGTCAAGAGAATACCGATATGCTTATATTTTACTTCTATGAAATACTATATTTTAAAACGTAAAAGAAGCTATGTGGCCCATTGCCCTTCTTGTCCCGTTCTCCCTCACCACTGAGAGAAACCTACTTCAGGCAAATGAACAAAAGATCAATAAACTCAATAAAATAAACCCAAGTAAAGCAAAAGGACATGGGACCAAAAATCACACTCTTGAGAGAACATAATAAAATATAACCTATTAAACCGTTAAGATTCCTGCGTTCTGATAATTCTTAAAGGAAACTAATACACGTCTTAAGATCGTCAACACACGTACGCCATGAACCTTAACTTTTGTTTGTCTCAATTTGAAACGTCCTATTTCATCAAAACATAATATTTTAACCGGTAACAATACCACTACTACTGCTTTTTTCATTTGCAAATAATTCAAGGGAAAATACTTCTTAGTCATAACTTCGTTTATTGAAATCCCATGATTCTATCTCCGTTTATTTCTTGAAACGCCCAGACAACACTTTCAAAATAGGTCTAAATAGCCATTACTTCTGTCAGAAACCGGAAGTTGATGTTGAGCAATACAAAATCAATATAAAAAATAGAATTCAATATAAGTGTAAATATTGTGTCATTGAGAATCATCAATGGAGTTTATAAAAGAATTCACTAGGGTTGAAATGTTATTCACATTCTATTGACGAACACACGCTTCGAGTCATGTGACTCAGATCACACGGGGTACCATCGAATAATTTTGGCAACGTACCGGAGAACGATATTTTACTAAGAAATGGCAATAATTTAGCAAAATATATTTTTTTACTAGAGTTCTATTTTGGTTTTGACAAAAGTAAATATTCCATGCAATAACTATTTCATTCATGAGTTTGTAGGAATTCTGTTGGAACCCAGTTCTGATCAAGTACGAAGTTATTGAAATCGGCGCAGACGGACTTTACTCCGAAAGATGGTTTTTCGATTATAACTTTTCACAACATTTAAGTAAAGACTTTTGAAAAAAGTACAGAATAGTCCTTATACTTTTGAATAATTCTGTTATTTCTGATTCACACGACTCTGATTTGTTTAATTAAAAAAAAAGTTTTAAAAATATTACTTAGGAACGTAACCGGAGCTGGGAACGTAACCGGAGCAGATCAGTTGAATTATTTAATCAAAATAATTAAAATATATGAATTAAAGCACATATACTAATAACATACGGGATTGTTCGAATGCGTATTTATTATTATTCCATAGTTAGCATGATATTCATTGGATAACATGTGAAAATAAAAACGGTATTTTTGTAATCAGTGGTAAAATATGATATTTTTAACAAATTTTCACTTAACCATAGCATACGGTTTTTTAGCCATGACATACGACGTCGTATGCGATGGTTAATGGATTTTTGCTACTTCAGACTCAAAACGAGACTAAGTGTCAACATCGCCGGATCGTTTGGAAAATTCGAATGAAATGACTTAATTTCCGACAATTCTGATGATGTCTTTAACTATGGAATAAAAAGAACATCCTATGATTTACTCGTGATATGATTTTAATCCACTTATGTATATTGATATCTGCACTCTCTCGCTACGCTCGCTCGTGCAGATATCATATCCATTCGTGGATAAAAATCATATCACTCATAAATCATAGGATATCCTCTATATATATATGCTTTAAATCATATATTTTTATTTTTTTAAATTATATAATCCAACTGATCTGCTCCGGTTACGTTCCCAGCTCCGGTTACGTTCCTAAGTAATATTTTTAAAACTTTTTTTTTAATTAAACAAATCAGAGTCGTGTGAATCAGAAATAACAGAATTATTCAATAGTATAAGGACTATTCTGTACTTTTTTCAAAAGTCTATACTTAAATGTTGTAAAAAGTTATAATTGAAAAACCATCTTTCGGAGTAAAGTCCGACTGCGCCGATTTCAATAACTTTGTACTTGATCAGAACTTGGTTCCAATAGAATTCCTACAAACTCATGAATGAAATAGCCATTGCATGGAATACTTACTTTTGTCAAAATCAAAGTAGAACTCTAGTTAAAAAATATATTGTGCTAAATTATTGCCATTTCTTAGTAAAATGTCGTTCTCCGGTACGTTGCCAAAATTATTCGATGGTACCCCGTGGATCACTGTGTTGGGAATTTGATTCCTTTCCTTCTGCAATGTAAAAGAAAGAACAACACACGAACAGATTAAAGTGAAATTTCTTATCATCAGAAAATATAACTATAAATAAATAATGATTTTGAGTCAGTCGCGTACAGATTATTAATTACTACTTCCTTCATAGAATCTTATTTTTCAATCATCTCGTCACATTTCCATCCGGGCATCATCATGATTGCTAATTTGTCTACGTCTTCAATGTTACAGATGATCTCATGACATTAACAGATTAATGAGTCTCGACAACGAACTTCACTCTAAAACTTATTACCCGAAAGAAGAGCTCAACAACGCTCGAAAAACATGGCAAGCAAAAGGGGATTGATCTTCAAAAGGACACTGTCTTGCTCAAACTTAGCAAAAGTTGAAGAACTGCGTAAAATTGTAGAAAACAATGTGTTCACTTCAACTGACGAGACCAAGCCCATGTGCCTCTTCCGATATTCGGAGTATACGATTAGCTGCCCGACCATGTCAAACTTTCCACGAGATTTTCAAGAGAATTTCGAGAGGGCGCTCATTGATGTGGATATGGAGAAGGGGCTTGAAGATGGGGGTTCTCTTAACTGGTGTCGCACTGCAAAACGACTGAGACCACTGGCTACAAAAGGTAATAGTATCTATTATCTAGCAATAATTTGAATCATCTTGCATTTCGAAATTATGAAATTTTTATGATTGAAAGTCAAGATGGTGTAACGAGTTTGAATTTTTTATTAAAATAAAACTTTACGTCATGACAAACATAATTTGTTTTTGTAAAGTTTGTTTTATGTATGTATGTATGCTGTTTTCATTTAGAGGATGGTAACTGTTTAACGCACGCTGTTTCTATTGGGATGTGGGGTTACCATGACAGCAGCTTGTTCCTAAGGCGACTGATTTACGTTGCCATGCAGAATGACGCCACTGGTAACCTGTTCAGAGATCGATGGCAAAATGAGGCCATGTCCATGGAGAATTCTTATAGTTCTGTAACTGGACTGGTAAGGGATATCCGATTTGTAATCTTGTTGCAATTGCATATTTGAACTTTGACATGTGGTAATAACGTAACATCATTGTTTCGGTTTCGGAATTAACATCCGCCTAAGACACGGAATGCATTAATTTACATTGTCTAATAATCATACATAAGAATTTATTCAACTCCTGGTTTACGAAAAGGATATGTCAATTTTATAAAAAATGAACATAAAAGTCCCCGTCAAAAAATTGAACAAATACCAAAATTGCTATTAATAAACTTTGCGATTTCCGGACGTTTCATCCTTATTCCAATCAATATGGTGACTACTGTTATGTTCTTATATCTTCCCTGAAACTTCCCCTTAAATTCTAATGGTTTAACATTCAATGCCTGGGGAAAATAGCGTCATTCTCAATCTTCTTTTGACCCCCGTTTTCTCAACTAAACCCTTACCTATATTAGAAATTGTTTCATATAAAATGTTGAATTGATAAATGCACAGTTAACATATTTTCTGCCGTTTATATAGGACCTTGACGGAGAATGGATGAAGGTGATCGAGAGAGCAAATGACAAACCTAATGATGACCCACGAGCTCTTGAGATGCCTTATAAGGCATTGGAAGAGATACATGTGTTTGTTCTTGCCAATATACTTCGCAGACCCATAATTATAATCTCTGACGTCATGCTGCACTCTTTTACCGGTAGTGATTTGGCCCCATGTTCACTCGGTGGGGTGTATCTCCCGTTGCTATGGCATGCGGAAGATTGCTTCAAAACGCCATTGACGCTCGCATACGATATGAATAGTTTCTCACCTTTGATTGGCGAGGAAGATAATCCTAGAGATGAATATCTTGCTACCGAAGCTGAACGTGCCATACCTTTGATAAGACAGAATGGCGAGTGGTTAAAAATTCACATGTTGCTGCCCCAGGAAAAGGCACGCTTTCAAAATATTCTGGAAAAGTATATGTACGTAACGACACTATTCCACACAACCAAGGACAATGTCAAAGAAGTTATTAGTGCAAAGCTGGAGTATAAAGTTCTACCGGATAAGCTCAACCTAATGAAGGACTATTTCCAAGACTGTGAACGGATATTTAATGAATCTACCGATGAGGACATTTATATGGAGGAGGAACCCAAACGGATTGATTCCTTAGAATTGAATGAGGTGTTAAGCCAGGATTCTGACAAAGAAGACATATATGAAGAGAGTAAGATGTGCACCACTAAGAATTGTGAATTCTATGGGAGTACCGCCACCAAGGGCAAGTGCACTAAATGCTATCTCGAGAGCACCAAATTACCAGCAACGCCCGTAAAAAACGATGAGACGTTGCGAATGAGAATCACTACCACTGCTTCCAAGCACAATCCCGATCCTTTAGCAGGCCCTATGCCCGCTTCTAAATTGACCCCCTATGAGCCAAATATCAGATTGAATAATCCAGACCGACCACAAGATTTGCCAATGTATTCCATGTTACCTACAGAATGTGCTACTCATGGATGTCATTATAATGCATCAGTCCATACTAAACCGTATTGCCATGAATGCCATGATAGAAAACAAAAACCTGCTAAGCATGGTACTCTTGACCTTGGAAACCAGATCCCTAGTTCTCCAAGAAAATCAATCGTAAGGCAAGACATGGAGCCCCATAGCAACGATATGAAGAGCTTTGCGGTTGGGCAACCGAGTCAGGTATGCATGGTTGCACACTGCAAGAATCCATGTGATGCTGATCTTGAAGGATTGTGCTCTTCACACAGGCAACATTTTGTTAAGCCAAGTAAAACACAAGCACCGGTTGCTTTGACAACTATCGCTGCTACCTTGGTAACTACGAGCTTTAGCAACAGGTGTAAACATCCAGGTTGTTTCAACGTTCCCACAACTCAGTCAGGCTTTTGTGAAGTATGTGATCATCAAGGCAACAGAAATATGTCGAGGTACGCTGCAGCAAAACCTACTGACTCCGTAAAGAATATTGTATTCGAAGATGTAATTCCTCCAACGCTTGGACCGTGTAGGAAAAGTGGCTGCACCTTTACTGGTTCCGAAAGGTATCGAGGGTACTGCTCCGTATGCTACAAGAAACATCGGTCAAAAAGACATTCCAATGGTTCAGCAAGCTCAAGCGGATGTTCGACTCCTGACTGTGAAGGGGTACGCATAGAACGATCGCCAATGTGCTATTACTGTACGAAACATACCAACCAAGGTCTGCCCGTCATACCAAACCGTGGAAAAGATGCTGGGACTCAGACAACTCCACCCAAGGATCTTGGACGTAACATCCAACCATCTGGCTACGATGCCAAAGCTTTTGATAAGGAAGGTCTCACTGATGAATTAAGCCGTACGGTTGTAAGACACCATTACAAGGATTATCCAAAGAAAGTATGCGTCAGTCCTTTGTGTGAAAACGAAGTGATGGTTGGTGCTGGTGAAAATAAGTTGTGCCGAGAGTGTTTTCAAATATTGTGTGATGACGCTGCCAAGAAAGCTGAAAGGAAATCTTCTGCAGAATTCACGGGTATGTAAAGAGTAAACTATGGTCGGTAGTTGAAAAAACACGTTTGTATACTTTTCTGTAAAATCTTGGTCAGAATCTTAAATGCTTGATGCCTTGTAACGTCAATAATACTCTATGTCTAAAACGGTATGTCTTAAACTTTAGTTGATGTTTTCTTGTAGAACAATCAAGAACAGCTGGTAATCAATCAAACGCGCCTAAGTGCAAAGGTCCCAGTTGTGATATGTTTGGTAGCGTTGAGACGATGGGTTACTGTTCTAAATGTTTCAATGAAATGATAGCCGCACGTGGTAAGTATCAATTCTTTTACATCATATTGCTAGACTTCTACTTCCCAATGCCTTCATCAAGTTTTAGCTCAGTTTATAATTTGGCAAGTCCAGCTTAAAAACCATAATTTTGTGTACAATTGCATGAACTTGCTTTCCTCATTAGTATTCAATATACGGTTAATGGTTTTCAGACAGAGTCAAAACTTCCCCAGTTCGACAACCTTCTCAGCTTAACAGGCGTGGTGGAGACGATCAAATATTTGTCCCAATGGACAGTGACACAAGAATTGCCACCGAGGGCGCAAGTCAGAGTCCTCTTAAGCACAGCGTCACGTACTACAATCCAGCAAGAGTTAATCTCTTCAACACTGATGACTATGACTCCAAGATATGCCCAGTTGATGACTGTGACCGATACGGCGATGTTTGTTTTAATGGCCTATGTTCCTTGCATTATGACCCCAGTAGACCTGTAGTACAAATAGGTAGAGATAACGTTTTGCATATTAAGCCGAAAAGTCCCAGACTCAACAGACCGCCTGGGACTAGATTCACAAGTGCTACCAATGGTGATAATGATGCGTACGTGCTCTATCCTGACGTAAGGGGTAAACAAGAACGCTTACCCACACAACGCACGAGGAAACCCGATGAACCAGCAATTCAAAGACAAATTGAAAACCAAGTCCAAAAGATTAAATGCCGTGAAAGACTTTGTGAGAACTATGCCAGCAAAGAAAACAATGGTTTTTGTAATAGTTGCAAGAAAAGACTTGACAAAGGTTACTAAGTTTTAAATTAACTACGAGAGTCTATATATGATAGAGTAATTGACACGATCATATGGTATCAAAACTCATTTCTCGGTCCTTAGCATTTAAGAAAACTTGTACGTGAACGTGTATACGAGTGGGACACGGGACAGTCAATCACCCCTAGGGTTAATAATATTACATGTTCGCGTTCATGTTTTTTTTAAAACATGTAACTTAACTCCCTATTATCCGACTTGATTAACCTCAAATTAAACAACAAAAACATTTATTGGTTTATACATGTAGATGTAGACATTGTTATTTATCATACTATGTGCACACAACGGCACTTATAATTATATGTGCCAAGATAATTTATAAAAAGCTTTGTGTCTGCTTGATTTGAACGAGTTAAAACACTTACAGTTAGGGTGGTAGGCCCTGGTTGATAATGAGTTCACATTTCCAGAAAATTTCAATGTCATAGCATATTTTTATGTAGAATTGTAACTGAAACTAAAACCTAGTTGTGTTAATGGTTTAACACCTCTGCTGTATCGACGAAATACACATCAACAACAACATGCACTGAAATGAAACAGAGAGATATTCAAAAAACCACAATGCTACAGAGATACTTGTATTTGAGTATATTTAACAAAATGAGATTGTATACAATATTAATATTAAGCCAGACAGTTACACACCACAGGGAAATATATCGTGGTAAGTCCGATATCTGAAAGATCCTACGTTATCTTTCCAAGATCACGGCATTAGGCCACATCATTCATTTGCATTTTGTGAAAATTGAAGTTACGTTTGATGATCATTTGTTTTTTAATATGGCTTTATACAAAAATGTAAAGCCTAGTTACAGTATCAATGCTTTAAGACCAATGTACTAACCATTGACCATGGTACTGTACATTTGACATAACGAAGGGCTAGTTCTTTTTAATTGAACACGATGAGCAATTTGGAAGATCCGATTACTTGTCTAATCTTTCCTTAGATAAATATTTATCAGTCATAATATATTAATACATGAAAAATATTCAATCAAAAAAATTGTTGCTCATTGTTTCTTTTAGAATTCCATGCAAGGCTTTTCCAAAACATGAAACCAGTTTTTACTTTTTCAGAAAGTTTTAGAGGTATGTCTACCATGAATTAAGATGTATATTTCTATTTATCCTTATTGGTGTATATGTTCAAATCTTTGTATAGAAATGATTGTAATTATTCAAGAAAATGTTCCTCTGTATGATAAGTTTAAAAAAATTGTACTGCTTTTTACATACGCGTTTAAATTGATGTATGTCGAATTGTAGAAAAATAAAGCTGTCATTTTCATTGTTTCCAGCAAATAAAAACTTGCAGACCTGCTTTTAAAAGTTAAAAAGAACAGAAACACGTTTAAATTGATGTATGTCGAATTGTAGAAAAATAAAGCTGTCATTTTCATTGTTTCCAGCAAATAAAAACTTGCAGACCTGCTTTTAAAAGTTAAAAAGAACAGAAATGTTTTGAGCGATTGTCATTTTAATACACGTTTGATTGCATTTTTTGCATATTCTTGCTTTCGTGTGTTGTAATTATCAATGTCTTTTACAAACACCACGTTTATTACCCACCCAACGTCAGGGGGCATGGAAAACAAAGATGAAAAACATAATTTGACGGCACATTTCCTGATGGTTTCTTTCCTCTATGTTGATTATTAAAGGGCAATAAAGGCACTCAACTCTGAAATACAATAAAATTTAAGTTCGTATTTTCAAATTGAATTCCTGGTGCCCTATAATGCTTCTCAAAAATGGGAATAGCCTAGTGATATAGATAGAACTGTTTTGAATTTGACACCAACCGCCGAACGCCGTCCACGACATGTCACCAAAAGAAAAAATAAGCCAGGTGGGCATTCTTAATTTACCTCAAGATTTCATGTGCCACCTACATCAATATTTCAACTTTGACCCGCTAGCTAGTACAAGTCGTCCATTTTGTGACCCCGGTTTGTGAGTCTGCGTCTCTTGCATTAGCCTAAACTGAAGTAGACTAAGCTTATAAGTTGTATAACGGAAACCCAAACTTACAACTTTTGTCAAATTGATAGGGTTATTAAGTAAATAATCTTCAAAAATCATTGACAATGTTTCCTTTAGGCCTATAACTGAATCGTTTGTTTACAAACTTTGCCCATTCTTCAGGCAGGGGTGGGCCAAGAGGCTCTGAATCCCCAAACTCTAGTTCTAATGCTGAGAAATCTATCCCAGCAGAACTACTCCCAGATTCTCTATTGGGTCTCTGGGTAGTTCTCAATTTCCCTAAAAGGGATTTTTGATCATCATCCAAGTCGTCTGATTCCTCATCAGGGGATGTTTCTGGATCCGAAGCTGTGGAGTACAGCTTAGTCAGCGGAGATTGGTAATCCATTGTGCGCTTCAAACGCTTTGAAGTAGAAGGCTGCGTCTCAGCCTGCCTTTTCTCTATTCGATCCAATCGTTCCATAAGAGCATCCATGAAATTTTTCTGGACTGATTGTTCATCTCCCCTTATGTCACCCTGGACTGATTGTTGGCATTCTTCATCCTCATCTAAAAGTTCTTTTTCCATTTTTTCATTCATTTCTGACATTTTTCCTCAAATGTTTGTAATATATCTAAACTATGAGGTAAATGCGTAATTATAATATCCAATTCCTGGAAGAAGTATTGTTAAAAGTTCAAGGTACTTGATAATCCTTATCTAAGTAGCTAGCTGTGCATGGCCTAGAAGTCGGTCAACAAGTGCTGGTCAGATGATGGTCATCATCTCATATAGTCTCGCTGATTGCGTAATATGGTGAGATAGAATTACAATTTTCTGAACAAAGTGAGATATAATATCATCTGATCAAAGAAGCTATAAGCTTATGCTAAGAGTTATGTTGAAGATTAACCTGTAAGCTTAATCTATTAACACTGAAAAAGAAGGTCACTTTTCATTTATTACAAGATAGACTAGTCCTAATTCAAAAAATTGAACTCGAGAACTGACTATGGTAGGTTATTGTACAATAAAGTCAGAACTGATTAGGCTAGCCTAATGATCGCAAAAAATATTGTAAAATTTTGACATGATTTGTTTTTCGACTCTTCTCTAGCCTTTCTCTTTCCTTTAAAATAGGTGGAAGCTTAGACCTCGTTGACACAATTTCACACACATTGCATTCCATTTAGGGCACCGTAACCAATCTGGAACCCGTTAGGCCCAGGCCTAAAAGTACTCCCTCATAACAAATATGTAGCCTAGGGCTAGGCATAAGCCTAAACCTATATCCTAGGCCTATAGCCTAGCCTAGCCTTGTAGCCTACGATTAAAAATATTGGCCAAAACATGTAATTCTAAAGGGCATAAAAACCTATAGCCTAGCCTTGTAGCCTATCAGGAAACCGAACTTTGCCGCGAGGCGGAGCTTAGCCTAATTGGGTACAATAGACAAATAAATTTACGAATATAGTTTTAATTATTCTTAGATTATTAAAATAAAGTGATCAACTCGAGTCCCTTTCACCCGAGTTCTTTTAAATCTGATATCAATTCTGTAACAGTGAACATAGAAATGAAAAAGATGGACATATGATGAAAGAATCTCTCTCACCGAAATTGATTTTCTTCAAAATGACGTCAATATTTTTGTGTTTCACTACGGGTTAGAAATTATCTAAAATTCGTCAAAATATTGATAATTTTCTACAAAACGACTGATTTTTGAAATGTTGGGACTTTTTAAATTCTTAATTGATAATCTGTTTCGAATTATGACAAGTAGATTATACCAAAATAACAGTTAAAAGTCGAATGGTTAGTACAATTTCGAGTGAATTTTGTGTTCTTTTTAAATTTAATACGAATTCACTGTCGTAATCAGCGTCAAACAATATATGAAATTAAAATTCAGATGATTCTCTAGAGAACAATCAAAATCAAAATATGAATAAGCCATATAATAAGTGAAAAACATGGCATTGAAAATGGGACACAAACACAAATTAACGTCCTTTTCAAAAGGTGCGTGGAAACCATTTTGGAAAGCGCGCGATGTTCTCAGACGTCCGCGCGATCGGTTATAAATATGGCGCGAAATTAGAGCATCTTCAGTTGTCAAATTTCATTTGAATTATCGACATGGCTGGTTCACAACGATCAAGATCACGATCTCGCTCTCGCTCACGGTCCCGCTCTCCGGCGAAGAGGCCTGCCTCACCCAAGAAGAAGGCAGTAAGGAGGAGGAGGAGCACCAAACCTAGGTCTACTCGACCAACAACCATCCAAATGGCCCGGGCTGCCATCACTGCTTTGAAAGATCGCAAAGGAAGCTCCGTCCAGGCTATCACCAAATACATTATGGCCAACAACAGGGGACTCAGTCTCGCTCGTCTGAGACCTCAACTTCGCCGAGCTTTTGCTACAGGACTCAAATCTGGCGCCTTTGTACGTCCCAAGGGGTCTACAGCCACCGGATCCACTGGGCGTTTCCGCAACGGCAAACCACCTGCACCAAAGAAACCAAAGAAGAAGAAGGCTGCCAAGAAACCCAAGAAGAAGGCAAGAAAGCCCAAGAAGAAGGTCGCCAAGAAGCCTAAAAAGAAGGCAGCGAGGAAGCCAAAGAAGAAGGCAGCAAAAAAACCCACCAAGCCCAAAGCCAAGCGTCCTGCAAAGCCCAAAAAGAAGGTTGCCAGGAAGCCTGCAAAGAAAGCTGCAACCAAGCGCAGACCTTCTAAGGCCAAGAAGACGGTGAGGAGAGCAAAGAAGTGAACTGTAACTTCTAGCCTACACTAACCCCAACGGCCCTTATCAGGGCCACCCGTTTTTTTCAAAAGAGAAATCAAATCTTTATGAATGTTTCCCTTGTTCGTCGTAAGGTTGTGCGTTGTGTCTGCATGTCAGTGTGTGTGTTCCAGCAAAAATATCCCATTAGCCCTGTTCGATATCGTATTAGCTAGCCTACCAGTTTTCTAAAAGTCCTCAAATGAATGATACTTTTTCTAAATATTTGTATTCAGGTAGGCTATTTCCCGCAATTTATGACTAGAGTTGAAAATTATGGCTGCCTGAAACTGCTTAAAGATATCTCTGTATTTATAGCATAGGTAGGTCGTGTTGTCCAGCTTGATTTCTGTACGTACACAACGCCACCGACAAAAATGAGGTACCCAAATATTGATATACATCTGTGATTGACATTTGGTTGCGTTTGGAATGGATAACTAGACGTTAAATCCCCAGCTCTAGTATTGCTGTACATGCATTTGTGGCAATACTGCAATAACGTCACCATCATTAGCCCGATATAGAGGTTATTTAATGGGAGGGATGGCAAATGAATTTTATTCAGAGGGAAAATATGATATTGGCCAAGGAAAATAGACTGAGGGCGACAACCCGAGTGTCAATATTATATTTTCCGAGGCGAATATCATATTTTTGAGGAAAAATTCATATTCCATCTCGATTCACGACCATCAATAAAGAGTACAATACAATACAATGACCTATTTATTCCATAACATTTTTCTGAAACGCATTCATTTTCAAATTAAGTTTGTCATCAACCTATGATGGTGACATAGAATGATACACTTTGATCATATAACATTTTCAACTTAGGCCATAAGAAATAGATTCTTTGCTTTGCGTTCTGGCATAATCCAAATCATGCAAGGGTACAAGGAAAACCAGAACAACGGCAACGCCAAAGCGTAGCGAATCCCATCGAACAGAAATGGCTGGCATTTTTACAAACAAAATATATAACAAATATCATAAAATAACACCCATAAGAAAGGCCACCATTTTCAAAATGGTTGCTCACTAGCCAAGTTGTCATCAGAAGAAGTAATATGCTTTTAAGTAGCCACATATAAAATTTTTAAATTCAAAATGTCATAAGACAGTATGCCATCCTTACGAGTATTCACATATCAAATATGAACAAAATCGCTCGATTACTTTTTGAATTATAACTAGAAGATTGCAAGCAATCTTACGGAGGCCCTGTAGGCTTTTTTGAACATTTAAAGGTCAGCCAAAGGTCAAATCTTAAATACAAGGACATATATGAACTCCAGGCATCTTGTAGATGATTTTTTAAAAAAAGTTTGGTCAATTTGAAGCAATGTGAAATTTGACCTTGAAAAATTTCAACATTAGACCTTTTTCAGTTTTTGAGGTCTAATATCTCAAAACTGGTGCAGAATTTTAATAGATAATTAATTGTTATTATGTGTAAAACCTTTAGAGGAATATATATCCTGACTTTAATTCAAAAATATTGATTTGTAGTCACAAACTTTGAGAAACTTAGAAAACACAGTTTGTGATCTTGTTTGATGACCTTGACCTTTGACCTTACAGGTTTTACTTTTTTAGACCTCAGTATATCTTTTCTGATTGAAGAAACCTAAATTTGAATCCAGAAAATCAATTTGAAAAATTAACTTTTTTGACCTTTCGAAGGTCACTGAAGGTCAACTAAAGGTCATAGTTCAAAACTAAGGTCAGATTTGAGTTCCTGAGATCTTGTAGATGCTTTTTAAAAAAAAGTTTGGTCAATTTAGAGCAAGTTGAAATTTGACTTTGAAAAATTTTGAAATTTGACCTTTTTTCAGTTTTTGAGTTCTAATATCTCAAAACTGGAGCAAAATTTTAATAAATAGTCAATTGCTAATATGTGTAGAACCTTTAGAGAAATATATATTCTGACTTTCAGTAAAAAAAATTGATTTGTAGTCTCCAATTTTGAGAAACTTAGAAAACACAGTTTGTGATTTCGTTTGATGACCTTGACCTTTGACCTTGCAAATTTTACTTTTTTAGACCTCAGAAGATCTTTTGTGAATAAATATACCTAAATTTGAATCCAGAAAATCGATTTGAAAAATCAACTTTTTTGACCTTTCGGAGGTCACTGAAGGTCAACCAAAGGTCAAAAGTCAAAGGTAAGGTCAGATTTGGAATCCTGAGAACTTGTAGATGAGTTTTAAAAAAAAAATTGGTCAATTTGAAGCAAGTTGAAAAAAGACCTTTTTTGACCTTTTTTTGACCTTCAATATCTCAAAATCTAGGCAAAATTTCTCTAGACGGCAAATGGCTAAGACTAATAGAATACTAATATCTATCTGTGTGCAAAAATTCAGCCAAAAATATTTAAGTGTAGTGTCAGGATTTGAGAAACTTGAAAAAACTTAGATTTGACCTAGATTTTGACCTTTGACCTTGACCTAGATAAAAATTCCTTTCCCGCCAAGTTCAGCCCAGGTCCCTAGTAGGACTATGTAGTACCTAGTTGAAAGGTAGTTGGAAGTAGGAGAAAAAGAGGGAGGAAGAATAAATAATAATAAAGAATAATAATATCTACAAAATTGATAGGAGGCCCCCCGATGGGACCTCCTAATAAAAAATGTAAAATAACACACATAAAAATGGCCACCTACTACGCGAAGTGTCATGAGACAGTGTGCAAGGCTCATAAGTATTCACATATCAAATATGAACAAAATCGCTCCACTACTTTTCAAGTTATAGTAAAAAATGGCGGCCTTTTTTCAAAATGCCGCCTACTACCCAAAGTGTCATTAGACAGTGTGCCAAGCTTATAGTCTTCACATATAAAAGAAAAAATGTAAAATAACACACGTAAAAATGGTGGCCATTTTTTAAAATGGCCGCCTACTATCCAAAATATCATTAGACATTGGGTCAAGCTTAAAGTATTCACATACCAAATATGAACAAAATCGCTCCACTACTTTTTGACTTACAGTAAATAATGTTAAATAACACACGTAAAAATGGCGGCCATTTTTCAAAATGACCGCCTACTACCAAAAATGTCATAAGACATTGTGCTATGCTTAAAGTATTAACATACCAAATATGAACAAAATCGCTCAACTACTTTTCAAGTTAAAGCAAAAATCGTAAAATGACGTGCAAAGGCAGCCATTTTTCAAGATGGCTGCCATGTATTTCTTCTGTATTTACATTTCTAGCTTAATCAATGTCCTATATAACTATTTTACATTTAAAACATATTGCTATTACAGTTTTATATGCAGTACCTAAACTACTGTAAAATCGGCACTAAAATGGCCGCCATTTTTAAATGAGCGGCCATTTTGAAAATCGGTTTTCGAGCAGAACTTCTCATCCCATTGGGTATATGTGTACAAAATATGAACAAAATCGGGCCAACGGTATTCGAGTTATTGCCCGGACGGACGGACGTGCGGAGGCGTTCCCTATATCCCTCCGAACTTCGTTCCATGGGATAACAAACACAAACTCAAGAAAAACACAAACTTGTTTACTGAGAAATGAATACATTTCAAGGGCATAAAAAGGGATGACATACCAATTTGTAGTGATTACAAACACATATCTATACATTTTATACAATATATTTAAACACACAGCTATCATTCAAGGGTAAAAAATAAGAAAATAAACAATATATTTGTCATAATCAATAACACTGTCAATTTTGACGCACATCAAATTATCCGCCATTTCGTCTGATTCTGAATAGTACTTTCACACCCTTGTGATTGCTATTTGGATGTGTTTGTTTTTTCTGATTTACTTCTACTCAAAATCGTGCAAGCAAGGGGTCGCAAAACAAAGAATCTACTTCTTATGGCCTTACAATAATCTTTAAATGGAACAAGAATGCAAAAATGAAGGAACCGGAAATCCCCAGGAATAGTTCTGACACGGAATCTCATATGGCTGTATGGGATTTTTTGAATATCAATTCTATTCCCTGTTTATTTCCCGAGGAAAACATGTTATCATTTATGGAATTAAAAGTATTCAATTACATGTCGTGTAGACCCCCGGAGCTTGATTTGTAGCAAAAAGATCGACTTGCAGCCAGCACGCTGGTAACGTTGCGCCTTTGTCAATAGATCTCATGCGTACAGCGTATCAGTTCGAAAAAATCGAAAACCAAACAATTTGAATTTTGCCATACAGCCGTCTGGCCGTAGGCTACCAATATTGCGCCAGTTATAAAGAAATGCCATTTATCAAAAAGAAAGTTAACAATTTTGAAGTATATGTTTATTACAGTAATATGTTTGATTTGAATTAAAGGATTAATATATTTGTACTTTTTTCTGACATCCACAATGTACAGGTTTTTTTTTCCAAATCAACAAGCCAAATCCTGGTTTTTGTTTGTTTTTTGTTTATATTCATTTATTGTTTTTACACATTTTACTTAACACCACAAATAAAATGTTATTTAAGTTAGATGATTATTCTGTCATATCTGTACAATACCAGTAATTCATTAATAGCATTCAATCCTTCAGTTTCAATTTGACAGCATTTTCAATATCTAGTGTCTCTCAGTATGTAGTGCAGCATGGAAATACATAAACACTTGTCTGGTTGATTTAACTGTCTAATTTGTCCACAATACATTGTATTTGTAGCACAAGATTTCTAAAAATATTCAATTACTTTTTTCTGCCCAATCACATACAACAATTTCCTTTCATTCATTTTCATTTTACAATTCTTTACTCTTTATTGCTTTTTTATTTTTCACTTGGTTTGGTTTTCCCCACTGGTTGTAGCTGCTATATCAATGCAGTCCAACTTTAGAAGAGGTTTCTACATAGTGGGCATGTGGAATTGTTACTGGTGTTGAACCACTTATACTGCAAAACAAAATCATAATTAGTAAGTTAAAGTCAGCCAGCAATATTTTAAGGATGTTCCCTGGAAGTTAAGAATATTTTGTGATATAGTATTAAATTTTGGCATCACACATGGTAACCAAGACTATTGTGTTTATAGAAACCACGAAAGTCATCATCATTCTGAATCTTGATAAAGTTACAAATTGAAAGTTGATAAGTTTATTTCATTTATGAAAAGAAGAGAACACACTACTTTGAATTACATAGCAATATTGGTGAACTGAAAGAACATGCCAAATAATTTTTAGATTATACAATGACTGCAAATGTGACACAAAATATGTAAGGAGGCAAGAGCACAACAAGAACATGAAGTAGAAACATGTTCCCTTACTTAGTTATCTTGTCTGTTCTGAGTCAACCAGCTACCAAAATACAGGTAAGGGAACTTAAAGATCTTACCAGACAAGCAGAATGGAACTTCTTCTTGCATGTTTTGCATTGTAACTTGGGTAGTTGACAAGTTGTCATGTGGATAACAGCAAAGCATATCATACAATCCTCAACGCCTTCAAACCTCTTGTCCACATTACGCTTCCAGAGTGACAGTCCATCTATTATCGATCCATTCTGCAATGAAATAAAACAAGGATGGGCATTAACATGCAAACTGTCACCAGATGGTGATTCTGAAGGGTAAAAAGTGTTAGTCACCATTTTGACAAATAGTACAATTTTTAACTGTTTTCTTTTGGATTTGAATGAATCAATTCCTTTAGCTTGGAAATTAGATTTGCACATAAATAATGTTAAGTGGTTTTGTAAGTAGCTTTGTAATGCTGGGTGCAATTTGATAGGTGAAGTTTGAAGGCTACACAATTGTTGCGGAGATTCTCTGTTTAATGCACGTAATGATTAGTTTTTAATGAATCATTTGATGAACTTTGATATCCTGTTTAGTCAATCAGCTTCAACATGTTTGAGGAGCTTGTGTACCTGATGAGCTAAAAATTTGGTGAGCTGCAACATCCAATTGCGCCATTGTGTCATTGCTACTCCATGTTTCTTCTCACTTGTTACTGTAATAGTTGAAAGGGGATGGTTCCTTGGGAGGGCAATAACTAGCTCTATTGTTAACTCTTCTTTCTCATACGTGGCTATGACCTCCCTTGCTGTGGGCCTGGCTCGAATCTACAAATGTACGGACATAAATAATGATGTCACCTGTTTACTCTATTGTATAGTACTATGTACTTTGTATACGAGTAGTTATGTTATTAAGGAGTAAATTGAAATGGATTAAAACAAATTACGAAAACAATAAAATAACATTCAGTACTGTAGGAAATGAAACTTCTCAATACTTATGCAATTCTAAATGCAATATCCTACGATGCATGATGTTAAGGTTATTTTCAGAATGTAAAACATCAAGTGATAAACTTCATGTAAGCAATTGTAATGATTCAGTATTCCTTGTATTCTAATCAACATGCTTTGCAATAAATGTATTTACTTGTTCAAGTTTATCCAAAAATACAACATACCGATAGATTTTCTAACTTTGTTTCTTCATTTCGTACTGCTTGAATCTCAGCACTGCACAGAAGTGGACTAACATGATCTGCTGTGTATCTAAAATGACAAAAGAAACTGGGACTTAGGGAGGGCTGAGTATGAGAATGGATATATTTGTGCATGAAGTCAGTGTGTAATTAATCATTCTTCTTGGCCTGGGTGAAAAGCAGATCCATTGCTGTTTGTATGCCTCTTGCTTTACAAAACGTTGTTTAAAGGGTACATCAACAGAATCTTTTGTAAAGTCTTTTACATTCTCACTTGCAGAAGCTTCTGGTCTTGTTACATTCCTTGATCTTCTTTCCTTTATTACATGATCTCCAATAAAGAATTAACTTTTTGATTGTAGAAACTGATTATTATTGCTGTTATCTCTAAGAGAGAATGCATGATTCTGATTGTTCCCATAGTCATATTATTCATTATTAAATCATCATCATTAAATATGATTAAAGATCACATATAAACTTCAGCAGCATCTTTTCATCCGTCATATTACCAACTGTTAATTTATAAATCCAGTTGTGCTCACATCAACATGTGGTGAAGCCAGTGTAAGTGCAAACACCCTTGAGGCCACAAGTGTTCAACTTATACAAGTAGAGGTTCATGATCAATGTGAAATCAAGGAGTATGTGAATTTCAAAAGATTGCACTTGCGTCAGTGTTCTCTCCAGGATTTTTTCTCAAGTGGGTACATAATTATTATTTTCGGTATTTAGACTAAACAATTTTTCTCATTTTCAAGTGGGTGCAAATGGTTTTTCAAGCGGGTGGAAACCAATTGTTAAAATATCAAGTGGGTGCATCACCCACTTGTTTAATGCTGTAGAGATCACTACAGATGTTCTAACTAAGTTTTTACTGTACCTGTCAACTAATGCAGCTGTAGATTTATCCAGACCACTCCACCAATGCCTTGCCATCACTGGGAGGTCTTGAAGAGCATCATAGTATACAGAGCATGACAGATGCTCCAAGTCCTCATGGAGACAAGGAGCTAGATGGGAGAAATAAATAAAACATAAATATGGAAATGGAATAGTATACATAAGTGCCATAAAAGTATTGAGCAAAAGGTATTATAAAACACAGAAAAACTAGAACAAGGCATTAGAATGCAAAATGTCACTACCAGCCATTTGTTACATTCACCCACAGCCAAATGTCCAAAACAATTCAAAAAAGTTGTAGTGGTGACATAAAAATGAACACAAAGAGTTAAAGATCATCATCACTCATGTCACTTGTGACCATTAGTGTTCCTCCATTGTTTGAGAAATTCATTAGACTGGGCCGCTCGTTTCATTACTTGATTTGATATACATGTATATAATTTTTGTTTGGACATGTAATTTCTAGGTAGTTTAGATACCATGTCTTCCCATTTTGTAAAATATAAGTCTTGCATACATATCACTTTCAGTTGGGATAAATGAAATATACCTTTAATATCCAGGATAGCACTAGTACCAAACATATTCTGTGATGCCATCTTTCCTTTTGGCGACAGTACTGTCATGGGAGAGGATCCCTTGACTTGCGAGAACTGACAGGTGCGGCTAGGATCATCTGGCATGATGCAGAAGAGGTTGGAGAGGAGTCTGGATACGGAGCCATTGTCACGCAAAGCATTGGCATACTGGGCTCGATTCTATGAAAAAAGTGTGTACATGCATATCGTTTTTTGGATGTAGTGTACATAGTTTTGAAAAAGTACATTCAAAACTAAATTCAAACAGTGATGAGTTCTAGTTCGCAGTATCAGAAAAAATACTTTATAATTGCTAATTCATTTCACTGATTCAAATGAAGATTTAAAATGTGGCTGATAATCCTTGGAGGGGTCTAGGACAATATCATAACCAGTACATGAACACTTTACTTCCCCATTAAACAAATGAGACACAATTTGACATTCATTTCATTTCTCTATCTTTTGAGAAGGTTCCCATGAATATCATTCAGGATTATGCTCTCTGAATAAAAATAAGTGTCCATGAATAAATGGTATAAAAATCTGCAATGCTCCATGTATAAAAAAAAAACATGGTTCAAAAATTTTATTCACCTCAGCAGTTGCTCCCTTGAAGAAAGCCAACAATAATTTCCACACTAAATGGTAGCCTATCGCATAGTTATACTCTTCTATGTGTGGGTCAATCTGTAAACAGTCTCCTACTTTGACCCCCTGTAAGATCACCTGCATTGCATGGGATGTTGTGTCTAGAATCTGCATTAGTGCTGAAGGTAGGGGCCTGCAAAATAGATATACTCACGTGACATGTGGATTCTTTGCAATGAAAGGTTGTTGATTAAATTTCAACATGGGTCATTTTTTCCTTTTTTTACCTTATCTTTCACCTAGTAATGACATTGAGGAAAAAGCTAATTTCATTATGGTTTAGTTCCCCTCCTCTTATAATGAAATTTGAAAAGCTGATTTACCTTTCAACTTTTCAATGAACATTCTCATGATATGATCATTACCTCCTTCCCCCTAATGAAATTAACCAATCCATAACTTTTAATATTTTGACACCAAGAATATATTTTTCACTTTCCACTACTTTCCGTCATAATTTGAGCTTAAAATTATGACTATAGTATAATTATGACTATATAGAGTATTACTTGTCGTGGGATCACTCACCTTGTCTCCTTATCTTCCTCACTTTCTGTTGTGGTGTTGTATGTTGCTAAGACAGGCATGAATCTAAAACAAACAAAAAAAAACATGAAAAATGAAACCTAAAATCTTAAAATATGATTGGTAATTGATGAAAGATGAACAAGCACATGGTAATTTAGTCTTCAGAGTTATTAATTATACCCTTAGCATCAAGAGATGCTTTAAAAGACTAGGGATACAGATAATCAATTTTGTTATGCCACCGTAAACTCAACGATTCTTTGTGTTTTATTTGGCTAGGAAATGTAATGTCATGGAAAGACTTGGTTTAAAATCAGTTGTGGAAGAAATTATTTCATCAAAATCTTGTTCTCAAAAGTACTCAAAAGCTCATCTATAGAACTTTTATTCAAATGTAATTTAATTTTAATCAATTTGAATATCAATGTAAATGTAGCCTATATAATAGTTATCTACCTGAGCAGTAACTTGTAGGCCGTAAGTTGTACAGCGTATTGTCTTGTCACCAATAGAGGGCATAAGTGGTTCAATAATGTCTGTACATCATGAGGCAACCCATCTTCCTGTGTGGCGATTAGTTTGGCTGGGAGCTGGTGATTCTTTATATGATCAACAGGGCAGAATGAGATCGCTTCTCCCAAACTTTTTATGACCAAACTAGTCTGTATACTGCTGTCAGAAGTTCCTATAAAATGCAATAATCTCATATTTTTATAAAAAAATATTATAATCTTACATAATATATATTTCAAAAATGCAAAAAACAAACTTAGTTTAGATAGGGGAAGGGGGTAAATGATGATTTCAGTAGTCATTATATGGGGAGGGTCAAATCATAATGAAATTAACTTTGTTTTCTACAACTCACAATTTGGATGTATGTTTATGCTTTATATAAAAAACTTTTTCATTGAAAATAACCAAATACTGGTACTATGGGGCATAATACATGGTATAATGGCATGCAATAGCAAGGGGGATAAGCTCATAATATTGCTGGATATATTCAAATAAGTGTATTCCCTATTGTCTGATCAACCCTGACATCTTTTCAAGTAGCTAAAACTTAATTTCACATACAAGTATTTCCTTTCTACACTCATTCGTACCAATCAATTCCACAAATAGTGGTAACAGCACACTGTATGCTCCCTGACTGAAAAATTCATTCCATTCCATGACTAGATTGGCCGGTAGATTTGCAGTTGGGTTGTCTGTGACTCTGTCCATACTTTCAGACACCTTACTTAGGAATGAGAAGGATGCTACACTGAATACACTGCTTGCAAGCTCACTTGGTTTGTCTGATAGACCTTCATGGGCACTCTGCAAATAAACAGTAAATAACTTTGTGAAAATCGATTGGCCAATCAGAATCTTGCATCCTTCTCGACTTTCCCCTTTTCGAGGGCACACACATGCCAAATATTTGTTTCGATTCATACATAAAGATAAGCACAGCCTTCTTCATATATTAAAAAGGCAATAACACAAAACGCAAAATGTCACCACCTGCCATTTGTTACAGATGACTTATGAATACCAAACACCAACTACCAAACATTATTTTCAAAAATGATGGAGACCATAACAGTATGTCCACTTGTGGTAGTGATATTAAAATAATGTGTGTATGTTAAATATCCTGACTAAAGATGTCTCTAGTGCTCACCTGTATCCAAGCAACCATACTACACATGATGAAATCCCAGTGAGTCTCTGTTAACTTATCTGTCAGTTTAGTTAACATCATCTCTAGATATCTCATTAGTTGTAAATTAAACTGCATTACAGGCCATGCTACATCAGTTGGGCTCCTGGAAGTAAAATAAACAACATTTTAGAATGGGACAGCATCTTTTCCAATCAATCGAGGTTGGGCCATGCAGCCGAAGGTGAGCCATACAACCGAAGGTAAGCCGTACAACCGAATTTTGCCGATTCAATCTGATGGAAAATGCCGAGCCTGTATTTTTGACCAATTAGAGACGTCCTCTTCACATTCGTGGTACCCTCGGCCAACTTCGTTTGCAAAGAAAAGCTTCGGCAATCTTCGGCAATCTCCGGCTTTTCTTGAGGAATCTTCGGTTGATTGCCAAAAGTCGACACCCATTTTAGAATGGTATATTCAAATGTTTAAAGCTCCTAAAGGAATTCACATGTATCGGGATATGTTATCTTAATCTATTTAAAACACATTAATTCTATGTCTGTACTCTTATGATCAGAATTTTATATCTATTCTTGGTTACTATGGTGATCTTTAATCATAAGTTTAGTTGATGTGATTTTAATATTATATCATGTATTTTCCACTTAACTCTACCAGATGTCTATATGATGATGATCTATAATCTATAATATATATCTATATCTATATCTATAATCTCATGTTTATTTCATGTCGTGACCTTATCTAATGGCAAGTTATATGAAATATTTATCAGTGTTAAAATGCATTTGAACATCTCAGTGATATATTTTTGTCTTAACATCATGAGTTTTTTATTGCTTTATTGTACTAACAATAGTACCATATATCATAAGTTGAAATGATTTATTAATAAAAACAATTGTGTCTGACCCTTCTAAGCCACTAGTATGTGTACAAGGTCAGGACATACTACTTGTACAATTGACTCCCACACACATTCATGAATAAACCATGACAGTAAAATCTGTGTATAGTCAACATTTTTGCTGAGAAAAGTGGTAGGTGTTCACAACAGCCAGGGTTTGATTTTGCAGCTTTTTTGCTGTATCATATATAGAGAACAAACTGTTAGCCAGTTTGTACAGTGTAAAAAGCAATTATGACAAAGCATGTGTCCAAGAGGAGGGAAAGCCCCAGAGTTTAAAGATGACAGACATAATTACCTCTCTTGCTTACCACCTTCGTTCGTTCAAATTTTCAAATATTACACTTCGATGGGATGTTTTAATTGACATAGGCATATTCCGTACACCTTTCCTTATCTTGATGTGAAATGAGAAGCTATGATATTGGTTAAAACGCCAGAAATGAACATAATATTATTCGAAGCGTATTCCGAAAATTTTGAAACCGCCATTGATGACGTCATTTGTTTGTTGACTTTTGACCAATCAGCGACGATGTCATCTCAATACAGATTTACATTATAAGCGTATGTCATCTTTGAACCCTGGTGTTTCTCCCCCTCTGCATGTGTCCTGTTCTACAAAAAAAACTTTTTGAATCACAACTGTTTCAAGAGAACTGGATACCAAAATCTCAAATTGACCATTTTTAACTTATTTTTGGCAGGTAAAGTAAATGGCTTAATTCTTAAAAGACAGTCATAGGCTTATATCTGATTTAGTGTTCATCATATGCAGGATCATTAAATCAATTTTACCAAGATTTGGTGTTCACTGTACATAGTAAGAATGTACTTTAACATGGGGGACAATGGGAGAAAAAGGTTTTACCAAATAACAACAATCGCTGTAGATTGTGGTTCACGAGAGAGGTGTTCACTTACACATGTTTTAATGTATACTGAAGAACAAATAAAATTTAATCCTTTAAGAACTGTAATGTTTGCAAGAAATATATACATTTTTCATTTACTGTGAACTTTATACATCAGCGATGATAATCAAATGTAACCATATTTGGAAATGTTTAAATATGCAAAAATATACAAATGTACATGTACATTTATGTTGGATATTTCTGACAGTTTTCCTTCGAGATAGTTAAGACTTAAAATCATCTTTAAATGAACATAGTACGTTAAATGAGGCTGCAAATCTTATCACCATGTCTAGGCCATTAATTACCCTGTAGCATAGTAGTAATTCCTACCCTCTGATAGTGATAATCAATTTTACAGCTGATATTGATAAGATGTTAATTACCCCCAAAGTAGCTATCATAGGTTTTCAGGGGCCTTTGTAACTCATACATGGGACAATGCAACCCTAACACCCAATCAAAATTGTCCTTTTTAGTGATGAATCATGGGAGAAATTTCACTTTGAAGAGCTTAACTGTGGAAAGGGTAATTCTGATTGGATGGTTCAATTTTGATCAACTTTATCCGTTGAAGATGAAAAGATAATGATCCGTCTTTAAAAGAACTCAAACCGAATTCATGAAAAGGGTATCTATCAATAGGCCTTGAAACTATAAATTGCTCTGATTTCACATAAATTCTATTATCTTAATGTGTTTTAATTACAGAGGTCTAAAGTATGATGGTGTGTGCTATTTTCGCATTTGTTGGATTCCTGATTGTTGAACAAGGTACGTTTAAAGCAAAAGCATTCATCTTAAGAGGATTTTAGGATTGTTATTTATTAAAGCAATTCATTGGCTGGGTACAGATATATATTAGGCAAGGGGTGAGAGGCTTGATGTTATCTGAGATTTTTTGTAGTAAATTCAAAAAGCACAAAAGAATATACTTTATTCACCATATGAGTACATATTGTAGAGCTATTGTTTTGGTGTGAAAATAGAGTTAAGTTTGCATATGAAATGGAAACGAAAACGTATATGTTTCAATCCCCCATATATTTTGCATGTATCTTTTTTGCTTAAATAACCATTCAGCTGGGTATCTGAAATAGACTAAAGCACTCAAAGTGCATACAAAAGTATGTGCACTTGACACATTCTTGCCCATAGCCAGCTTTTACCAGGGGGGGGGGAGCTTTTTACCAGGGGGGAGCTTTTTCACAATTTTGGCTAAAAATCATGCGAAAAATTCTCAGAATGGTGAAAAACTGCATGATTTTGAAAGAATTTCTGGCCAGGGGGGGGGGGGCTTCTGCTCCCCCAGCTCCCCCTCTGGCTACGGGCCTGACATTCCTATATTGATTCATGTACTTTCTGTTCACGATTACGTCGTGAAAAACTGTGTTAGCTTAAACTCTCTATTATGAACCAAAATTGATTTGTTGCCTGTCTGTCATCCTCCGAACACAGGCCTTCAGTTTAATCAGTCAGTTTATTCGGGTGCTTCCAAATTGGTTATAGCAGGGGGAAGAAGGAGGAACGGATTCTGGACACCTGCTAAGGAGGATGCCTTTCTTTCGTCCAAAAGCAATGTATATCATATAATGTTTAGTTCGAAATTCTTGTACATGTGTCTAAAAAATAAAATGAAAATGAAAAACATTAAGGGGTTGATTTTGCTAATGTCAGACTTTAACCCATGCCCAGAAGAATTCCATTTGTACACAAAAATAAATAATTATCGATCGATATATTCTACCTTGTCTCTAATACCATAAAATACTTTCAGGATGCAGTGAAACAGTCCCAGAATTCACCACTAGAAATGTCACATGCAAATGGGCATGTGAGGTCTCCGAGAAATTCTGCCCGATTATTTTCAGAAAACAGACCAAACCGAACATGTACAAAAAGATGACGTGTGATTTATGTCTACAAAAGAACAGCTGGTTGTTATTGAACGAGACTATAACTCCAAAGAGTATGAGAGGAGTATTAGTTGTACATTACCCGCCAGGAGATTTTTACTTGGAAAAATACTGCTGTAAAAAGTGTAAACCAATGAGAAGACGTTCAGGACTGAGATGTAAAAAATGTCAGTATGTAAGGTGGTTGTTGGGTACTAACCCTCACTTTACCCAAGTGATATATCCGGGAGATGAAGAGGAAATAAAAATTGCAACATCGAGGAAATGAGTGGGATCTCACAATAGAAGAGGCGAACCTTATAAGTATATTTATATGGGACATAATTTCAATAATTCCATTTGGAAAATGTCCAAACAATTCTGTATGCTCAACCTTTTCTTCTTAAAAACATCTAATAATTTTCTGTAAAATTCTAGTGTGGTGTGTGGTTAGCTACACACATGACAAAGACAATGTGTGGACAATTACATTTAGGGGGTGAATTGATGAATATTTTCAAAGATTTGCATCAGATTTTCAGTGGAATTTACTGAAATTGAGTATAATATTCTTGTGTATGGAACAGATCTATACTTTCTCAGGTAACATCACTGTTGAGCAGATAATCAAAAGATGGCGTATAACAGTTGTAATATTATTTTGTAAGAAACTTTGAGGAAATAAATCTCCGTACAACCCAAGGTTAACAGAAATTTTTATTCATAATTGTGTTTGATATTTTCAATCAATGTACAATGAATCTAAGTTTTACTCTCAGAGGCAGCCAGTCTCTGTATTTTTCACCACTCTACTCATTTGGTAATCACTGTAATCAGATCTATTTTTTAAAGTCATCAATCACTTGGAGCTCCAAAGTAGTAATAGAAGTATTCTTATCTGATCCTTTCGAAAATTATATTGAAGGTAAAACCAGTTGAGCGGAACCATGATAAATCAAAACACAGATGGCGTTCCATCAACTACAACAAGATCAGGCCATAAAAAGTAGGTTCTTTGTTTTGTGTCCCCTTGGCGGACAATTTGATGTGCGTCAAAATTGACAGTTTTATCACTTTGGCATACGTTGTGTATTTTCTTATTTTTTTGGTTACCTTTGAAATATAATGTTTCATAGCTATGTTTGAATATATGGTAAATGATCTATAGATATGTGTAATCATGGCAAACTGGTATTTCATCTCATCATCCCATAAAATATGTACATTACCTTGCAAACAAGTTAGTGTTTTTTCTTGTTCTTGAGCTTGCTTTTGTCCCCTTGCATGATTTAGATTTTGACAGGATGCAAAATAAAGAATCTACTTTTATGGCCTTATTGCTTTATAATACATGCATTATACAATAAAGAATGCCCAATCTATCCTGTTTTAAAAATACAAAAAAAGAATTGGATTTAGCACTTAATGAAATAATGCAATGGGCATATAACATAAAAGTGTATCTGATTTATAGAACTTTATAATATTGATGTATTTTTCAAATATGACCTTTATTGATTTTTCAGCTTTTTAAAAGTATGATTTTTCTATTTGCATGACTTACTCTTTTGGGGTACCTTATCAACTTCCTTAAAACAATAACTGTCTAATAACAAATTATCTAATGTTCAATCTACCTGTAAATAAAACAACTATGCTACCATAATTTAAATTATAAATCATATAAATAAAAAAACTTAAATGTTGACAGGAAGCTGTATCCTAGATCATTAGACAAAATGCAGTGAAATAAGGTAGGTGGATGAAGTGAGAAAATCCAGAGAAAATAGATATCAAGATTATGGAGTCCTGCACAGAGTATAAACACATATTTATGGGTATCACTCATCAAATCTCCCATTTCCATATGGCGCCTCATTCATAATTAACAAGATTGGGAATAACTTTTTATATGTTAAGATGGGTTAGAATGTCTCATATTATCTCTATTTAAACTTTTGAGATCTCTGAAGAGCTGAAATATAACAGATCCAGGATAACAGATCATATCAAGGTAATTGTATGCTAATTTTCTCTAATAAAATTCTTGTCATAAACACACATTTGAATGAAGGACCCATGGTCCTATGCTCACACAGTTTGGAACCTTCAGAGGAATTTATATCCTGACTTTCAAACAAAAATATTGATTTGGATTTGTAGTCTCGAACTTTGAGAAACTTAGATAGCATAGTTATGTGACCTAGTTTGATGACCTTTGACCTTGAAAATTTTACTTATTCAGAGCTCAGTAAGGTCTTTTGTGATTAAGCTGACCAAAATTTACATCCAAAAATCAATTTGAAAAACAACTTTTTTTGACCTTTCGAAGGTCACTGAAGGTCAAGTAAAGGTCAAATCCTAAAACTAAAGTCAGATTTGAACTCCTGGCAACTTGTAGATGATTTTCAAAAAAAAATTTGGTCAAGTAAAGGTCAAATCCTAAAACTAAAGTCAGATTTGAACTCCTGGCAACTTGTAGATGATTTTCAAAAAAAAATTTGGTCAAATTGAAGCAAGTTGAAAAATAACTTATTTTTACTGTTTTTTGACGTCAAATATTTCAAAAACGGTAAAAATTTGATGCTGACATATATTGAGAAATATGTAGGGAATGCTTAAATCTATTAATGATGTAATTTATTGCAGGAAATGATCAAGTATAAGGCAAACTTTAAGAATCTTGTCAATCACAAAACCTGCCATTGACTTTATACATGAGAAAGTTTCCTGAAAATGACTAAGTCCTACTTTTTTTCAAATTTTATAGAGTAAACACCAAAAACCGTAATTCCAAGAGCTTTGAAATCTTCAGAGGACATAAGTTGCTTATACACCAACTACTAAAAGTTATTTGAAAGTTCTACTTCAACAAAGTGTCTAGTATTTACAGAAAAGTTGACTTTTTGACGTCAAAATCCGCAATTTCTCGGAAACCGGGCGAACTTGGGAAATGGCGATGATAGGTCAAATAGGCATTATGGATATGCATAAAATGAATGTGGATATGACTCAATCCGAATAGCAGTTTTAATTTGTGCGGCCAATGTTGACGGACGGACGGACAGACGGACGGACGGATGGACGGACCAACGGACGGACGGACGGACGCCTGGTCAATCCCATAGGCTCACTATGTGAGCCAAAAACAACTTACATTTGTCGAAATTTATGTCATACTTCACAAGTTTTGGAATAGGTGGAAAATGTGTCTTTTAGTAAAAATATCAAGTCAATTTTAAATCATAATTCAAGATCACTTTCATTTCAGAATTCTCATCTCTCCAAATCAGGATGAAGGTGTGGATAATTTTAGCTTTAGTGGCTATAATGATCCATGAACAAGGTATATAATACAGCTCATTTTATTTGTTTATTTATTCCATTAGCTTACAATTTAGAATAAAATATACAAGTATTAATTTCAAAAAAACAGTACCAGCAACTTACATGACAGGAAGTTACATTTGAGTAACAAATGTGAAGTAGGAGTCTCCTGATATAATAATACACCTAACCATTCAATATGATCTCACGGTACATCTTACTCTGAATGTATTCTTCAGGATGCATCAGACGAGAAAACATACAGTCACGAACAGATTTGTATGAAAGTGATGCCATTCGAAATGTCACATGTAAATGGGCATGCGAGGCCTCAAAGAAATTCTGCCCACTGAAGCATCGAGTGGAAACCTCAGCAAATGTTTACAAGAAGATTGCATGTAAGTTATGCATACAAAAAGACAGTTGGCTGTTGACTGAACAATTGTTGAACGACACAACTTATGAAGCAGACGGTGGTGACTTTGATGAAACATATTTCTGCTGTAATAAGTGTAAACCTGCAAGAGCTGGATCTAAATTAAAATGTATAGATTGTGAGTATGTTGCATGGCGGAGGGATCCAAATCCTCAGTTCATCAATCAGGCAGAGGACAAGCGTTAACTGGTTATTGACATAGGAGAGGGCTTAACAAAAGAGACACAATTTGACATTCAATTTTTGACAGCTTTACCGTACCAAAGATTTATGGATCTCTTTTGATATATAAACTGTAACTCTGTGGTTAAATAAAGTATCCGTCTGTCTCATCATACTTTGATTTTTAGTTCTTACTTTTTGGTTCAATATAGTGCATCTCTGTAACAGTAAGGAAAATACCAGGTATGGTATGATTTTAAACTGTCATAATTTGACAATGAGTATTTACTCACCATAAATTCAAAATGTCTCATCAAAATAGTAAGTTTTCCTCGAATTGAGATCCCCCAGATAATAAAATCATCAACTGAACTCTCCAATAACCATGGATTAGACCCTTCGTAACATCAACACATTTTTTTCAAAATATCTGACTTATTTTCTAAAAAAATGAACTTGTTTTTCTCATTTTAACCACATGGACTTTATTCTGCAATATGTGAGTAACTTCTGAAAGGGGAAAGGCATTGAAATGTGATAAAGTTAAAAACAGCATATCCCATGTTATTTTCCCATAGGGGAACTCATGTGGTCCATAGATTTCAGCTTAATTTTGGACACAAAAATTAGAGCCTTAAATGTCATTCTACCATTCAAAGAACTTATGGATATTTTCTTGTGTAATCTATTTATGCAATAAAAATGAGAAAAACAAGGTCATTTTTTAATAATTAACTTAAAATACTCTGGTATTCAAAGGTTCAAAATAAAGGGTATACCTTAAAAATAAAGTGTATACCTTAAAAACATTTATTCATACCTGTGAAACAAGAACAGCTGCTCAAGCCTGTCTCTCCACACAAGTATTTCATTAAGAACCCCAACAAGGGCCTCTGGGTTTATGTTAGTATCCTCACTGACTGTTTCTAGATACCCACACACTTTTGTGATCACTGACAATGGTCCAAGGGCACCTAAACAAATGTATATCAAAATCAAGTTTTTCTGGATAGAATTAGAATTGAGAGACTGATCCAATGAAACCCTTAAAATCACATTGGACAAGCTATTCTAATTAAATTAAGGTTGTATATATAATTGTAATTATATCACATTCATGTGATCTCATTGTAATGATCATTATCATTAAAGATCATTATCATCAAAAATCATTATCATTAAAAATCATTATCATTAAAGATCATTATCATTAAAGATCATTATCATTAAAGATCATTATCATTAAAGATCATTATCAATAAAGATCATTATCATTGAAGATCATTATCATTAAAGATCATTATCATCAAAAATCATTATCATTAAAAATCATTATCATTAAAGATCATTATCATTAAAGATCATTATCATTAAAGATCATTATCATTAAAGATCATTATCAATAAAGATCATTATCATTAAAGATCATTATCAATAAAGATCATTATCATTATCAATAAAGATCATTATCATTAAAGATCATTAAAATAGGAATATGATGGAAGTGATAGTCAATTAGAGTTATCAAAAAAATGGGACCAAGAACAAGGCACAGGAAGTGAACGAGATCACACCATCAAATAGGCAGACACTATGAACCAGGAAAACTGTTCTCCTATTATGTTTACAAATTTCAAGAACAAGAAAACAAGATGGCAGCCCAAAAGTTAATCAGCTCTAGTACTTGATATCCTCTATCATTTGTGTAAATTTGAAGGAAATCCAATGAGCTGTTTTCCTGAAATGGCGATGACAAGATTTTTCGAAAAACCTTCAAAATGGCCGCCAGAAAACAAGATGGCCACCCAAAAGTTAATCAGCTCTAGTACTTCATATGCTCTATCATCTCTGCGAATTTGGAGAAAATCTGATGAGCAGTTTTCCTTAAACGGCGATGACAAAAAGTGGGACGATCACGATCACGATCACGACCAGTATGACGACTATATCCCACCGATGGTGTGATAAAAAATGTTCCCATTGAGAGGAATTAGGGTAAGAGAAATGTTTAGAAATACAGGTTTTACTGTACTTCATCTTTCTCACAACCAGTGGATGTGTGATGTGTGTCGGGAGGGGCAAAGACTACTTACCATCAATGTTGGTGATGTTCTCTGGAGGACAGCTTATAACCTTAGCCACCATAAAGTCCACCATCTGAAGCTGTTGGTAGAGTTTTATATGTGACAGTGTGCTTTCTATAGTGTGTAGGCAAGCATCATCAAGGGTGGAAAATCTAAAATTAACATGGAAATACTGTATACTTGTTTTTAAGATGAAATACTGCAACTGCCTGACTGGCAATGGTAACCACTCACTTTTGGCATCAACTTTATATATTTCTTCATGGGAGCTGGTGAATCTGAAATGTAATTTTGGGACATGAAATATTGACAAGGGGTCCATTTTTGGAACCATCACAATTTACAACTTTTGCTGCAAGAATAACGCAGATGCGAGTAGGTAGTTACCAGTTTCACCACCAGGTGGCTCGTTCGGGTCAGATAGCATGGCGGGTATAGTAGAAAGTTCCCTTTAACTTAAATTACATCTGTTTTAGTAGTTCAATTTTCATATAACCCTTATGTATCTAATAGTTATGCAAATCAAAATATGTCCAGTAAATGAAAATGTTATCTGACCAATACAAGAAAAGATATTCCACTTTTTGTGATTTCATAACATGGGCTCTATGGAGAATCAACCCGAACTAGAAGTCACACTTTCAAAAATAATTAAATTTTCAAACTTGATAAACAATTTTCGAAACCATATTTCTAGATGTACTTTTACATGTAGATTTCAAATATAACATCGCTTTAACTGAATTTTGAATATTTAATGGCGTAACTCAAGATTTTTTCTACTCGCATCTAGTCTATTGTAAGTTTCAATTTTACCAAAAAGAGATCCCTGGTTCCCAATGTTAACAAAAAATGTGTTCTGTGAATTTTGTTGTGGTTAGGGAGAATATTTGGTAACATCAATTAACTTATAAGAATTTATTAAGTTATAAGAAGTTTTTGAAAAATGACACAAAACGATTTTGGCCCGCCCCATACCTATAAATCAAACATACCTATCAAGGCCTCCCAACTTTGCAACAATATCAATGCTAGCACCGCCATCTTTATTCAGGTGTCCTAGGACAAGACCAAGCGCCACAGACCAGAGATTGCCATTAGTAAGTGACCTGCAGGTGATAAAGAAATGTTCATAATTAGCAATAAACAAAACTGTACTAACAAATCTCCCAAAGTACTCAAATTTTATTAAAAAATTGCCAGTTTTAAATCATTACGATAACTGCACTTCATTTGTCTTGATCTTTCCAAAGTCTCTTGCAAACGACAGATAAGAGGGGTTTTGGTAAACCAGAATGGTCTTAAATTGGAAAAGGAAAAGTTCCATAGATATACACAAGGAAAAAGTCTAGAGTGCAATGTACTAAAATACATATTCACTATTCAGTACATTAAAATATTTTCTAGTAGTCCAAGAATGGAATAATCATAAATAAAGTAATTTGATTGATTGCTGAAATAGTATTAAAATCAAAAGCTATACCTTTTTAGAAGTCCATCAATGAGAGTGCTGCAGACAGTATGATCTGAGTTGTCTAATATTTTGATTAAGTTGTTTTCCATAAATAAGCACACTTGAGAGAGTTCGGTGTCATTAAGCTGCTGTTTCTTGTCACCCAACATTGCATTGCACAAAGAGACCCCATAGCTTAGATCTAATAAGGCTTCAATCATTAGGTCATTATCGGAATGCTGTTGTCTGGGTTTTGTAATTCTCTCAACTAAGATAGTTGATGTAAATGCTATAGTTGATATGCATGGTGTGATATAACTGTTCACATAGGCATCTGATTGGTCAATTTTATCTTCTGCTCCAAAGGTCAAGGTCAGATCACTATTGATTAATGGTATGATTTTCCATTGAGAGTTGTGACCATGTGACATTGGGATGGTAAGAAGTTCAAGTAAAGGTTGAATGGAAGGGTCAGCAAGGTCAAGGTCATCCTCACCAGCAGTATGTGGAAGGTTGGATAGGAACATTTCCACCAGTTGTAATCCAACTTTGGACAGAGACGTCACTCTGGAATGAGAAAATATGAAATATCTGAATGTTCATGAATCTAACAACTTTACCTTGCCTGTTCACTAAATTACTTTGATTTAGGACCCATGACTTATTAATTGAGAATTGGACATTCTAAAGAAAGAAACCAAATTAGGAAAACATTTTGGAATAAAACATTTTCAAATATTACAAATCATACATGGCAAAGATTATATTACAATATTGTTTGAACAGAAACTCAACTGAGGTTAAACAGAACAATTTAGCAACTAGTTTATTCAAATTTTGGAAAGAAAAGCATAAAGACCCCACCCCTGTAGACAAAAGATGGGTACCTGTTGAACTTAGTGCAGTAGCTAGATAGCTGGTGTCTTAATTCCTGAGTAGCTTTGTAGAAGAATCCCTCTTCATGTATAAAACCACCCTTCTGTCTTACTAGAGAGGAGACTCCCTCACACCATGTATGGTTCACTTTCTTGTATGTATCACCTATAGATTTAAAAAAGCATGGATTGGAATTGTGACAACTTTTTATTTCATCATTAACAATCAGAATTACCAAATTGTTAGCATTTGAATGGGTCCTACAATTAGTAGGGTACAAAAGATATAGCAGCATTAAAAGTATTTGGGGTAGCTTTGTACTGGGCTCACATGATGTTGTGTTACTAGGGACAAAAATTTCAAAATTGCCACCTTAAAGATTACCCAGAATGTCCAAAGATGAAGCATTTAAAGTACAATTTCATACCAAGAAACATCCCTGAAAATTTCAAATTGATCCATGCTCAAAACATGCAGAGAAGACTTTACAGACAAGATTTTAGGATGGAAAATCCCAAAATGATTTTTCCCAAAATTTTTGAAGATTTCTTTTTATAAAATCATGTATCTCATAAAATTTCTGTTAACAGTAACAAAGGGCTTTTACTGTTACAATGCAGGACATCTGAATTCAATTATTTGTAAAGCTACCAAATGCCCAATTAGTGAATTTTGAAAACATAATTGAGAGTCAAAGAGGGACTTTCTTGTATAGATAATAAACAAAAGTAACTTAAAACTGGAATTGTATTGACAGAGGTTTAAAAATGTGTCGTATTTCACATGTTGTATAATAGAATCAATCTAGTTCAATAAATATTGATGATATTTCAGCTTGTTGAAGATCAATTACTGAAAAGTCGAAGAGGTGAGTAAAAGAGGTTGAGATGATCTCAATATAGTCTGACATATGAAGCTTTTTGAAATAGAATCTCATTTGTATTGTTTTATTAGATCTCAATGTCAATGACAAGATGATATCATTGATTTTTGCGATAAACCAATACAAGACATAGAGTAAAAATCAATATGGTCTCCAATTGCTTCAACCTTTTCAGAATGTTCTTTCCTTTTTCAAGTTAATATCTATTTCTAAGGTAGAGATTCAAAGGTGGATTGGATCGAGTGGATTGGATTCATGTAAAAGGTGGAATAAATGCTCTTTGGGGTCTGTACATAACCCAACTAATAATTTAACATTTGTGGCTATACATTCAAGTTGTCAGAGTCAATTTACTTCAATCTTACTGGTAATACCTTTACTATTAAACGCTATCATTTGAATTTAATTTTTCAAAAATCATTTAATAGGAAGCTGTAATTGTAATGTGCTCGCTCTAATTAGAGTATTTGTAAGATGAGGGGAATCTAGAACTCGTCCAATGGGCATCAAGGTATGGAGTAAAGTAAGGCAAATGCATTGATCAGAACTGACTAAAGTCTTTTGTTAGTATCCTCCAACAATACATGCTAAAGAAATATTTCAATTATTACATATCGATTATCTTCAATACAATAATATTCTATTCACTAAAAGGTAACATTTTTGACTAATTAAGATAAATTGAAGTTTATTTTATTAACCTTGAACTCTCATTGGCAAATGATTTATAGTTTTACTAAGTCTTAGGATCAGTTTGCCGAAATGCATTTGATACTAATCATTCCACTTTGATCTTAAATGCACACATATCGAATACAGGGTACTGAATAAATATCATAAAGATGCCAAATATTGGACATAAAAATCCATTGATAATATTGGAAACTATCATTTTGAAACAGCAGTTAAACTAGTTCAATTTATTAAGCAACTACCTGCTGCTGTAAAAGAACGTTTCAATGATTTCCAAAATGGACTACGAGTACTTCTACCAGTACCAGTACTGCAGTCAAACACCTTGAATTTCTCAGTACATATTGCATACACACAATTCTATCATACCTGTAAGTTTGGGTATATCCTGCAGACTGATCTTAAAGAGTGACAGGAGAAGGTCTTCTGTTGATGCCATCATCAAACAACCCTGAAATATACAAGTTAATTACTTTCCTGAGCTCATTGTCGCACGATCATGTCACTAAAGGGTGTACATTTTTTTAAATATGCTAAAACATTTAAATGACCAACTAAACATGACATTGTATTATTGAAATAGTGGTTATTTGTTCAATCTTCACAATGATGTTGAAAAGATAATGTGGTTTGCACTGTATGGTGGAATATTTGATTAGAAAAATTTCAACTTTTATTTCAAAAATGGTGGGGCGCGGGCGGGAGTTTGAATAAAACCTGACAACTTTTTCCCCCAATTTCTTTTTTTCCAGAAATCTCTTAAATAAATTTTAAAGTCATGAAAAATAGTAAATAATAAAAATATATTCTCAAACTTTACACGGGGCCTTGATTTTTCCAAAAAGTGGGGACAACGAAGCATACTCAAAAAACTTTTTTAGTATCCATTATTCTCATAGGGACTTTTTAGAGAGTTTTCATTTAAATGTGACAAACAGATCAGAAATATTGTACATAAAGACATGTAGGCATGACTCAAAGATGAATAAGGCTTTAACACCTGCCATTTGTTGCAGAATGCAGATGCCAACCACTGAGTGTTGTTACAAACTCCGAACAGTGTTACAGACCCTAGCCTATGACACTAAATGAATACCAGGTATATCCATTGGTTATCCGTTCAATATCATTGAGAGCGATGTTGGTTCCCAACATATGATTATGTATTCAATATAAATCGAACAACAAAATAATATTGATTTTAATGATTGATCAACTTGTCAACTTCACAGGAAACATCAAATAGCAAACAGAGGAAATAAAATCTCTAATCAGGAAAACAGCAAATATTTTGAATGGATTGTTTGTCAAACATGTAATAATTCCTAATTCAAGGACTTTATTTCAGAAACATTTCAACAGAATATTATTATTATGGATTCCTGGTATTTACCTTACCTTTACATTACTGAAGAAATTGTGTGCGATGTCACACACAAATGATACGCATCTATTCACTTGCACTGGTTGGTAGTTCTCAGATCTGTCACCAGAGGGTAGTGCTTTCATAATTTCAGCGAGAATCTGATCGACATATTTTTGATCAATCAGTGGCTCTGAAAATACATAATGTTAGATTTAAGGATTTAAGCCATGGACTCAGTGCATTGTGTGCTGAACCATTCCACGAAGAGCTTGTTTCCAAATCTTTACATGACCCCACCACAATACATTGAGTCTTGGGCTTAAATTCTTTGCACACATTGCAAAATATTTTCTATAAAATAAAAGATGCCAATCACTTAAGGAACATATTTTCATTGAAACTCAAATTTCAATCTCAATCGCTTAGCAACTGTACAACAAATGCTTTATTGATATTTCACACACTGTTCATTATGTGCATACTCTGTTCCGATTGGCTGGAATCAGACACACCTTGCCTAACTATGTGTGAACAATCTTTTTTACTTGCTCTTGCCATATATCTGTCTTAATATACAATGTTTATGTTTATATAAGTAATATTCTGAAAAAAAGAAAAATAACATACATTTTATAATGCATTCTGGGTAAATTGATTAAGCCAAAGTTAGAACCATTAAGTGATTAATAAATGATGTGATTTAAGAATTTCTGTGACTGATATATCTACTGTCACTCTGGGTATTCAATTAATAATCAGGTTTAATAAATTTAAGTTTCAAAATATTCAATTGTAAGATGGATCCTGATAACGAGAGTTTTTATGACATTTTCATACGTTAGTTACCACTAACGTTAACTCTTAGTTTTAGAACAATAAATTGAAGACCTATGAGACCCTAAACCCTCATACAATATAATATTGATATGTACTCATGTATATTGACTTCATCATAAGAATGTTTTACCCTTTCTTTTAAAGATAGAATAATCGAGCATTATTTGTGTGGATTCAATTGATTATTGGAGCAATGTGTTCAATAGATGTAAACACAGAAAAGTCAGTCCAAGGTGAACGAAGTGTTCACGATGGCTGCACGTGGAAATTACGTATTCAGGATCCTTACAAGGCCACAAAGAATGGATATTGGATTGGAAGATGTATATAAAAATGTTAATTTAGGAAGCATCTAAACAGCATTAGAGTTTAAATGTGGATTTATGCTTTTGAAGGTTGTATATAACTACATGCAGACACTCCAAGTGAACACGAGTACAAATCTTGACTCTGATTATTTCAAAATCCATCAAAATCTTGACAATCCATGGGTTGCACCCCGCGGGTTGCAATCGCCACGATACACAATTTAAACCATGAAGAATAATATTGAGGTATTGAAAATTGAGGTGAAAAAATTTAGAGCATTTATTGGGCACATTTTCTGAAAAATTCAAAAGATTCTGTTCGGTGACCTTTCCTAAGCGCCTACTTTTAGCTATTTTTCAGTCACATTTTCAGAGGGCTGAAAAGGTTATTTCATCATGTTTAGGGTCATTCTGACCATTTCAATTGTGTTCCTGGCCATGTAAATGATATGTGGAACTAGTTAAACTGACTGGAGGTCAAAACAGAACTCTGTTATCTAGATTCGAAAATTTTTCAAAATCCAGCATGGTTTTGTCACTTTGTTTTGTCACTTCCTGTTAACTACCACCGCACCTTAAATTCACATAGTTTCTAACTGCTATTGTTTGTTGAACTTTCATAATATACTTTTTTGTAAAGTTTTCATTTTCTCTAGGAATTTTATCACAAATTTTATTTCATCAAAATTAATGTTCTCATTTCCTGTTGTGAGTAAACATACCATTTTCAACCTTTTGTCCAGACCAGGTCGAAACAGATATTTTCAATAAGAGCATATCAATGTTTTTTTGCCAATCGATCCCTGGACCTTTGAAAAACTGTGGAAATCCATATCCAATAACGATACAATGTACATCTTGCAGTTTAACATTTCACATATGGCAACCATCAGCAACGAACAATACAAGTGATAACAAACTGTACAAAACATGTTTGATTGTGTTCACATCTAGAAAAAACAGCAACTTTCTGGGTAGCAACTCCCATTGAACAAAGCATATTATTGAATCACTTGAAATTTTTAACGTTTCATGATGGAAATAACCAAATAGCAGTATCTTAATGTCTAATTTTGTCAAAATTTAAACCCATAATGTGATATGACACCATATTGGATATTATCAAGATTCTTTGCCCTTATGGCATTCAGACTCTTGATGTGGACCCAATCCTTAATAACTCGGTATTTATATTTCTTATAAAAAAGCGACTACTGTATTTTGAATTCAGAGACCGTTTTAAGGTATATGAGATATCATTGAAAATGGTGGTCATTTTGAATTCAGTGGCCATATCAATTTTTTTCAAGGTCCTATATGCTCATAAGGCAGTAGTCTATTTTGAACCATATCTGAATGTATATAAATTATTGCATGGACACACGAATGGACAGATGGAGGTCTTCTCAAAATCCCTTTTTGTTCAATGGGATAATTAAAAACTGCACTAATGTTAGATTTGATTCCTGCACTCCATCTTTCAATTTTTGGACAACAGGACAATATGTATGTACATACATTTATGGGCTTAGGGAAATATGCTCCCATTCCGGCTATGTATGGAGATATAGGCTGGATACCACCATGTGTTAGGCACCATGTTGAAATGGCTCGTTTATTCATCCGACTTAGTGACTGCCAAGAACAAGAATTACTTGAAGAATATTTGACTTTGACTATGCCAATGCTGAAAAAGGCCATAGAGGATGGTGTAAAGAGGTTAAAGATATATTTAAAAATTCTAACCTCTTAGACCTCTATAATGAACGTTTCTTTAATAATTCAAGTGCAAGGTCAACATAAAAAACTGTAAAAGATTCTGAAATGAATCGCTTTAAACATAAATGGACAGTTCAAATAACTTCAATGCCAAAGTTACGTACATATAAGTTAATTAAAGACAATTTTGGTACTGAGGATTATATAAAATTATTTTTGTCAACACCCTATGCAGACAGAGCCTGTGGGAAATATTGGGTGCGGCGCAAATGAGCGGAGGGTGCGGAGCTAACGGTCATTTTTGAATTTAAAATTGGGATATTTCTGAAACTAAGCCGTTTTGGGACTTCAAATATACCAAGATATGTGTATTTGACACCAAATATCAATAAAATTGTGAAAATAGTAGTGCAATTCATTTTATAGCGACGCAGTATGCCTTAAACATTTCCCAGACCTATATATTTTGAGACTATCCTTTTAATACTGCGTCCCCAGCATTCATAAAAAATGGTGTTCAAGATACACTACCCATGCAAATTATTTTTGCATCTTGGAAGCCAGGCAGTATCTGTGTGATTTTATAAAAATTCGGAAATGTTCTTCAGATATGAGCCCCCTCTAAATATTGGGTGTGGAGGTACGTTTATGGAGCTGCTCCGCACCCAATATTTAGAGGGGGCTCATATCTGAAAAACATTTTTGAATTTTTATAAAATCACACAGATACTGCCTGGCTTCCAAGATGCAAAAAATAATTTGTATAGATAGTGTACCTTGAACACCATTTTTTATGAATGCTGGGGACTCAGTATTAAAAGGATAATTTCAAAATATATAGGTCTGGGAAAGGTTTAAGACACACTGCGTCGCTATAGAATGAATTGCGCTACTATTTTCACAATTGTATTGATATTTGGTGTCAAATACACATATCTTGGTATATTTGAAGTCCCAAAACGGCTTAGTTTCAGAAATATCCCAAATTTAAATTCAAAAATGACCGTTAGCTCCGCACCCTCCGCTCATTTGCTCCGCACCCAATATTTCCCACAGGCTCTGTCTGCATAGGGTGGTCAAGGAATCAAAGATCTGTTATTGCTAGAATTCGGTCAGGTACTCTTCACCTGAACATAGAAACTGGTCGATATAAAGGCCTTGCTGTTGAACAAAGACTCTGTGAGGCATGTAAATGTGGACATATAGAAACTGAGAAACATTTTCTTCTAGAATGCTCTTGTTACACAGATTTGAGAAAAACTATAATCAGACCCCCAATGGTTCATGATAGTCAAGATTTATTGAAACATCTTCTTTCAAATTAAAATTGTGTAAAACTTACTGCAAAATTTATAATGTCAGCACTTGAAAAACGACAAAAAATTGTATAAAAAACACACTGTAATTATATGTATTTGTATAGTGCCTCATAAGCCTGATAAGGCTGGGTGCCGATTAAGGTGCGTGGCACTTAAATAAATAAATAAATAAAATACATTAATCATTACCTTATAAAACTGAGGAAGTAAGGGATAAACATGTGACCAATTAACCTATTTAGTTTCAAACATGTTTGTTTGTGTATCTGAAACAGATAATCAATGTCAATGACAATTTAATGATTATCATGTATAGACCACAGGAAGCACATTGTCTTTTTTCTGTCACTATAATAATCAACACTTTTATTGAAATTATTTTTTGAATATCTTTAAAAATAATTTCATTAAAACTGTTGCTTAATTTATCCAGACTTGTGAATCCTTATTCCAACTTTAAAGGAAGGAAAAGTCAATGTAACTGGATTTTAGGTGTTTGTCTTTTCAATGGGGAAATACTTTGCTAGTAATTATGCAAGGCATATACATGAGAAAATGTCACCATCTGGTTGTAATTACAAATGTATTTAATTCAATATATAGCTAATACCAGTAATCTAGTTAATCTAAAATTTGCATAGTGTAAAATAAAAATAATGTAAAATTGGAGTTTGCGTCATACTGTTCGGAAAATATATCACAAACTAATGCACTTTGAATATGATTATTTTCTGTGAATAAACAAGTGAAGGTTTTGAGCTGGCCCCTTATATTTAAACTGTCCATCACTGACAGAAAAGTCCTAATCGGCAACCTAAACTTATTCACTTCAAGATCTGAATTGGCCAATCAAATTGCTTGAAAAATACAAGATGCAGAAACTTCAGGCGATAGAAATGATAGTAAGGTTCAAATTTGGTAAGGCTGTAAAAAACAACCAATGAGAGCAACTGATGAAATAAGAAATAAGATCAGCTAAAAATAGGTGAAAATAATCAAATATACCTGATACCAAGAACCTAGTCATACAAATTGACTTTAATTTCAGTAATATAAATTAATCAAGGACTCTACAGCATTTATAAGGATCATACAGAATGAAAAAGACATTATATTTATGTATATTCACAATGGTTATAAGTTTCTCGAGCATCAATTTTACTGAGTCTGCTAAAGGAACAACTGGTTGCGACAGTAATCCATGCTTAAATGGTGCAACATGTACAACATACGGCAAAGGAGATGATGCATGGATGTGTACTTGTACACCATATTATACAAATCTGCAATGTGACAGTGAGTATTCAAGATTTAATATATTGTCTAGAATTCAAATTATCAAATGGGTGCAATATAATATAATTTTCAAATTTTAAAGTGGATGCAATATAATTTTCAAATTCTTAACTGAGTGCAATAAATTTTCAATTTCTCAATTGGGTGCAATACAATTTTCAAATTCCAAAGTGGGGGCAATTTAATTTTCAAATTTTCAACTGAGTGCAATAAATTTTCAATTTCTCAATAACGCAGATGCGAGTAGGCAGTTACCAGTTTCGCCACCAGGTGGCTCGTTCGGGTCAGATAACATGGCGGGTATAGTAGAAAGTTCCCTTTAACTTGAATTACATCTGTTTTAGTGGTTCAATTTTTATATAACCCTTATGTATCTAATAGTTATGCAAATTAAAATATGTCCAGTAAAAGAAAATGTTATCTGTCCAATACAAGAAAAGATATTTAACTTTTTGTGATTTTGTAACATGGGGTCTATGAGGAATCAACCCGAGCTAGAAGTCACATTTTCAAAAAAATATAATTTTCAAAGTTGATAAACAATTTTCGAAACCATTTATCTAGACGTACTTTTACATGTAGATTTCAAATATGACATCACTTTGACTGAATTTTGAATATTTAATGACGTAAATCAAGGTTATTTCTATTCGCATCTAGTCTATTGGCTGCAATACAATTTTCAAATTCCAAAGTAGGTGCAATTTAATTTTAAAAATTCTCAGTTGGATGCAATTTAATTTTCAAATTGTCATACTTGGTGCAATATAATTTTCAAATACTCAACTGGGTACAAAATAATTTTCGAATTCTCACCTTGGTGCAATATAATTCTCAAATTATAAACCTGGTACAAAATAAGTTTCAAATTCTCACCTTCAAGTGCAATATAATTTTCAAATTATAAACTTGGTACAAAATAATTTTCAAATTAATGCAATTTAAGTTCCCATGGTGACAGAGACCTTTGGAACATAGGAAAAGGGATATTAATGTTACTCAATCACTCATATGACATCACATGATGTAACCAAGCAAACAAACAAACAAATAAAACAATACATAGGTTCACTGAAACCTGTATTGGTTAATAGTTTACTGGACACCTCTCTAATGTTGCTTCCTTCAAATAAAACAAGGCACATGACATGAATGAGATCACACCATCAAAAAACCTTCAAAATGACCACCAGAAAATAAGATGGCTCCCCAAATATAATCAGCTTTAGAACTTGATATCTTCTATTGTGTGTGCGAATTTAGAGAAAATCAGATGAGCAATTTTCCTGATATGGTAATGACAAGATTTATTGAAAAACCTTCAAAATGGCCACCAGAAAACAAGATGGCCACCCAAAAGTTAATCAGGTCAAGAACTTGATATCCTCTATCATGTGTGCAAATTTGGAGAAAATCGGATGATCGGTTTTCCTGAAATGGCGATGACAAGATTTATTGAAAAACCTTCAAAATGGCTGGCAGAAAACAAGATGGTTGCCCAAAAGTTAATCAGGTCTTGAACTCAATGGTATCACCTATCATGTGTGCAAATTTGGAGAAAATCTGATGGGAGGTTTTTCTGAAATGGCGATGAAAAAAGCGTGACAATCATGAGCACGATCACAATAACGATCACGCCATCATCATGACGACTAAATCCCACCGATGGTGTGATAAAAATTTCATTAGATGAGAGGAGGGGGTCAATTAATTTAGTTTTTCCATGACTGTTGATAAATGGACACCATCCCTTACTTAATAACTATTTTTCACAAAATAATTAATAAATATTTATACAGCGATTAATCAATATGCATTTCAAAGGAAACATTCTCAAGAATTAATAGTTTGTAATAGATAGAGGACAAAATATTGAGAAAACATAAACTGGTTAAATAATCTACAATTAGTAAAAATTTTCATACTGGCCGGACTTGTTTTCCAAGCACTTGAATAGGATGGGGGAAATGGTAACACAAAGGACATCTTCCCCATCTCATTGACACTCCATTAAAAAACCATTAATAATTTCCATCCATTGAGATAATTCATGAAACCTTGCACATATATTTGAACACTTAAGTGACCACACTTTCACAATGTTGTTTTTTTGTTTTTTAACTTGGATAAACTATTTCAGAGATCAATATATTCTTGGTTTTGATTTAGTGTGATAAACACTTCAAATTACTGTACACATTCTACCTTCGTTCAATCCTACTTGCTTTCACCTCTTTCTTGACTACAGTCAGTTTTTTGCATTGTTAGCTCACTGAGTGCCTCTGCATTTGAAAATTCATGTTCCAGTATGTGATTTGAATTTGCATAAATCAATGTATGTCATATAATTTTTGCATACAGCAACTTCACATAAAGTAATGTACCATATTCTTTCTAATAAGTTTACTGGGTGGTTTCCATATTGAAATTTAAAAGGGTAAGATATTGACAAAATAATTAGAATTAAATACTGCCCATAGTCTTTTTCATTGTTATCACATAGGTTTATGTACTTTTTATTTTTTCTTTTGCATTAAATATAATAATCAATCAATATCTTGTTGTGTAACTAATCAAAACAAACACATTAAACTTCATGCTTTCTTGATACCATATTGTTCATAGATGTCACATGTGCTCTCATTGGAACTGGTCGCTCATTAGAGAGAATATGGTATGTCATATGAATTTCGTATATAAACTTTTTCATGTTATATGAACTTTGTATAAGCAAAAGTATGTCATATAAACTTTGAATAAAGTAATGTATGTCTATTGTCTATGATGTTTTGCAGAATCTATTAAATGATGATTAGATACATCTTTTCTTTATCAAAAGTGATATATCAATGTATCTTATTTATATTTCAGCTCCTATTACAATACCAACAACAGTACCAACAACACACCCAACAACAGTACCAACGACACACCCAACAACAGTACCAACAACAGAACCGACAACAGAACCAACAACAGTACCAACAACACACCCAACAACAGTACCAACAACACACCCAACAACAGTACCAACAACAGAACCGACAACAGTACCAACAACAGAACCACCAACAGTACCAACAACAGAACCGACAACAGAACCAACAACAGTACCAACAACTGAGCCAACAACAGTACCAACAACAGAACAAACAACAGTACCAACAACAGTGCCAACTACAGAACCCACAACTGATCCGACAACTTGTTATGTACATGTGTGTGAGAATGGAGGTACTTGTATACGTGACCAGGAAACAGCAGTTGAGCAGTGCATATGTCCCTACCCCACAGGAGGAATATCCTGTCAACTAAACCCCAAACGTAAGTTCCTCTCAGTTTATATTTGGTATTTAATGTGTGGCTAAGGCTGGCCTGAAGTATAAAACATATACCCAGGGGAAAGTTTCTCCAAAGTTACAAAATTCAATTGTTAATTGAAAATGATAGAAATATGAATTTAAAGAGCCTACTTGTCGATTGGAAATATTGACATTATTTTTTTGTTAAATACCTTTTTCAGAATTGTTATAGTAACAGTTTTAAACATTTAATTTAAAAATGTAAGCATGCTTACTCGGTTGTATCACATTGCAAAACTTCACTACACAAATACCCTAAACCGATCATTGTACATCGGGCATCACATGCTAAGTTTAGGGTACGTACAGATAGCATAAGCACAGTAAAAATTATCTAATTTCTTTTTTCAGCATACCACATAAGCTCATTCATGAAAATGGCAGGAAATGAAAAAGTTCCAACTCCAGATTGGACATTTTTTACACGATCCATCCTAGAGTGTAGCAAGAAAGCTATTTTACATGAAGCTTCAGCGTTTAATTTCCACACATTGAGTGTTGATTATCGGCATACTTGTGAAGTCATTATTGACTCAGGGAACTTAAGAGTACCATCTACAAATTGGAATTATTACGAGCTTCGCTGAAAACTGAAGATTAAAAAGATTTATGTGGCGCACGCCTGGTCATCGATCGCCAACCTGCATAGATGGACAGATGCATGCATCATGCCCAAGATGACGTTATGGCACTTTTCTAAAGTGCGATAGAAATGCTTTTGAAATAACTTTTTGCATTCTAATTTTGATGCTGATATGATCCTGGTAGTTTTTAATCGACCATGATCTTTTATTTTATCAATTAAAGTATGTTTGAGTAGAGTTTGATGAATGTATATTGTACAGTATAGTCAGGCTCTTACAAAGGGCAGTAAGAATGTTACAAATTCCAATATTTTTGACTGGAATTTACATGAGCTTCAATTGTACAGTATACAATTGTTGACCTCTCCAGAGGTCAACCGGCAAAATTGTATACTGAGACTGTAAACCGAGAAACTACTGTTGACAGAGACCTTTGGTCTCTGTCAACAGTAGTTTCAAGGTTTACAGTCAAGGTATATGGTTTTGACGGTTGACCGAATGGAGAGGTCTACAATTGTTTTGTTAGTCAGAAAAAACTAATAATACACCGGAGTCATATAGACGACAGTCATCAATCATGGCTTCATTTCACAATCTTTTCTCCGAACCACGCCAGCAATAATTTTTTAAGAAAATCTTAAGACAGTGGTAGCTAAACTCTTTGTTTTTGGCACATAGCTGCATACTCACTTGTAAATTAATGTTAATTTTTCGTTTCTTTTTGTATTTTTGCTATACTTGTCATCTAGCAAAGTCAAAATATCACTTTCATCAACGTTTACGAAATGTCCGTCTACCATGTTTTTTCTGTAAACATTATGACGTCATATTTCCCATAATTCACAAGTGTAGTACAGTAACATAAGCGGTCAATAATATGATATCCCATGATGCACAGGTGAGGTACAGGCAAAAATGTTGACCGCTAATTGACCAATCAGATGCGAGTATTTACACTGAGGTACTAACAATAAAATCTGTATACACTGAACACCTATGGAGCCACAAAAAAGTGTTCACTGTAGGTTGCTGTTCACTACAATGATGGTAATTAATACACAGAAGTCATTAGAGTATGTGCGGAGAAAGGGTAGAGACGGGTGTTCACTCAAGAGAGGTGTTCACTAAGACAGGTTTTACTACATTAGTATGTAAATCTGTGTAGGATCTTAATAAGATTATATATTTTTTAATTTGTGACTTCAATGGGCATTTATAATAGAATGATTATATAAGTATTCACTGTTGTAATATCATGTCTCTTAAAGACAGGTTAGCTGAGTTAGTAAATCCATTTTTGAACTGATTTATTTTATTTTATAATAATGAAGATTATGATGAAAAATAAATATATCAATATAGACATAATAATCATCAATATAATTTATAAATCTATTTATTTTATTTTAAGATAATAATGCATAAAGATTATGATGAACTCGTATATCAATATAAACATAATAATTATCAATATAATCTATGAATCTATTTATTTTATTTTAAGATAATATACATAAAGTTTATGATAAAAAATAAATATATCAATATACAAGAACACAAATGTGTACAATATGTCCCCACCAATGGGTGATACCATCTTATGGTTATCCTAAAAATGAGTAGACAAGACTTTACTGCTACAATTTTGGAACGGAAAATGCAAAATGGCCACCTTAAAATTTACCAAGAATGCCCAAAAAATTAGTTAGTTCTAGATTTTCATACTAAGAATCATCCCTAAAAATTTGAAATTGATCTACCAAACAGTTCACCTGAAAACACGTAGACAAGACTTTACAGGCAAGATTTTAGCACGGAAAATCCAAAATGGCTGCCTTGACATTTACCCAGAATGCCAAAAAACTTATCAGATCTAGATTTTCATGCTAAGAATCATCCCTAAAAATTTGAAATTGATCTACCAAACCCTTCACCTGAAAACGCGTAGACAAGACTTTACAGACAAGATTTTAGGACAGAAAATCCAAAATGGCTGCCTTGACATTTACCCAGAATGCCAAAAAACTAATCAGATCTAGATTTTCATACTAAGAATCATCCCTGAAAATTTTAAATTGATCTACCAATTGGTTCACCTGAAAACGCGTAGACAAGACTTTACAGACAAGATTTTAGGACAGAAAATCCAAAATGGCTGCCTTTACATTTACCCAGAATGCCAAAACACTTATAAGATCTAGATTTTCATACTAAGAATCATCCCTGAAAATTTGAAATTGATCTACCAAACGCTTCACCTGGAAATGCATAGACAAGACTTCACAGACAAGATTTTAGGACGGAAAATCCAAAATGGCTGCCTTGACATTTACCCAGAATGCCAAAAAACTAATCAGATCTAGATTTTCATACTAAGAAACATCCCTGAAAATTTGGAAATGATCTACCAAATGGTTCGCCTGAAAACGCATAGACAAGACTTTACAGACAAGATTTTAGGATGGAAAAATCCAAAATGTCCGACAATAAAAAAGTGATTATAAGTTTTTGCTGATTTCTTTTTACAAAATTAGCACATATAACTACTGTTAACAATAACATAGGCTTTTACAATAAAGTACACCTGAAATTTTTTATAAAGCTACTAAATAGTCTAAGTATGAAAACTCAAAAACACCATTCAATATGATACAAAGTATTATCGCACGCTAACTTTTTTTAAGACATTCAAAATGGCTGCCATGACTGGGCTAACAGGTCCAAAACCTAATCAGATCTAGAATCAAGTGAGTTGAACAGGATGTTAAAGTTTTAAAAGCAACAGTGAAGCCATTTTTCTTAAAGTTTGCAGACAAGGATTTTAGCATTTGACTTCAAAATGGCCGACAGGAAGTAGGTATCGAGTTGAAACTTTTTCGTCCACATCTGTATGCACTCATAAGTTATCCCTGAAAATTTGAAGGTGATATCTGTAGCGGTTTAGGAGAAAACTGCCGGACGTACGGACGGACAGACAGACAAACAGACAGACAGACAGACGGACGGACGCGCCTAGGCCGACAATATGGCCCCACACTATGTGGTGGGGACATAAAGACAAACAGACAGACAGACAGACGGACGGACGCGCCTAGGCCGACAATATGGCCCCACACTATGTGGTGGGGACATAAAAAGAGGTATTGAATTTGTGTTAATTTAATGCATGCAACCTTAAAATATGTCATAAAATAAAAATAAAATTAAGGAAGTTCTATGCATAATTGGAATTTTTTTAGTCTAGTGCTTATATCGATTGGAATATGATGTTTTTGAACTATCATGGATTCTTAGGACCGTCACATGTAAATATAGACATAAAAACGTGAAAAATACATTTATAATCCATATCATTAATTGGTATTTATAATCATTACAGTAACACAAAAATTCTCAATCAGACCTGCATGTATTTTGTGATGGATTTGCATTAAGTTGTCAAAACAGAACTTTTATGTTCATGAATAATTTTACTGCGGACATAAAAGAAAAATACAATTTCATGAAAGGTGGTAGAAATGAATTTCCGGCAAAATATCTTTACATGCTAGGATTTTCACCTTTTAAGGATCATACTAGCATTTGATTAAGTTTACTTGATGCTATTGGAACTCTTACAGGTGGACTAATACATTGTCCCTTTGAAATTGTCACTCAGAAAAACAGGAACTAGCTTCAATCAATTTAAGGAGAAATCAATATTGGGAAATCTACTGTATATAGGAAATGCATTTGTTGCCTATTATTGCTTTTATTGATTGTGATCTCATTATCGCACTCAGCGCAGTTTGATAAGTTCATTACGGGACATTTAGATGGTGTTGATACACTGATTCAAAAGATAAAAAATATGAGTGAACAGGAAATAGGAGAATGCGCCTTAGATATTTGCTTGACATATGTAAAAGGGTCTAAGTGTGGGATTCAATGTTTTGTTTGTGAAATATATCATACTATGTGTATGTGTTAATAAACTTCAGGGAATTTAATTCAGGGAGGTAATGAAAGGACCCGATTTGTCCCAGTAAAAATATGCCTCAAAATTTCTTCTGTTATTTTCAATTTATTCTACCACATTGTTCTTCCTTGTAGACGCTGATGCAGTGATGCTGCTCATTATTGTATTATATACAAGTATATTTCTGATAGACAATGCTGAGAGACAACTAGATACTTCCCACACCAAAATCAAAAGATATAAATTGATTTGATCAATTCCAATATGAAGGCGGAAGAGGTCTATCAAAACTTATTGTAAATCAATACATTGAAACTCTCTTTTGGAGCACAGAATATTGATTTTTACTCTTATGTTGTTTAGAACATTAGATATTTATTGCAGTAAATATGGTGAAAGGTTGATAGAAAATCTATTTTCTATTGGGCAGGTGCAGAAATGTTGAAGTTTCTGATACCATTTGTCATACATGGACTCCTACCGATGATTCAATTTTAGTATATGATTGTGTATTTAGAAGATTAGAATTAGAATACATTTTAAGGAGTATAGGGGGCAGAGGTAACTTAAATATTTAATAAGTACATGTACAGGTACAATAACAGACATTGTACTATTGACAAACTCCCTATTAACTCATCTACTAACATTTAATTAATTTATAAGAGAAGAAAGTCAAATAATAATTCCATTATCCTCTTATTATAGAACAGCGGATCGATTTCAATTTAAAAGATTATAATTCCTCATTAATTGAATCAACAGACGACTTATTTAACATCCTTTAAGAAATCTGTAGTTTAGGTGCCATATTAGACGCTGTAATTAGTAATTACAAAGGGGTCAATATAAACATGGCAAACAAGAGTAAACGTAGTATTTCCTTAATTGCTTTTGCTTCAAATATTGGAAAAATCAGGAATTCTCTGGATTATGAAGTTTCATTAAACATGAATTGACTATGATCGCTTATTGTACCAAATGCAAACAACATATAAATGGCCTTAAGGACTGTCAAAAGATGTCAAACTTGTATACTTTAACATGTTAAAATTGTTTCAAAAATCACCCAAAATAAAATTTCAATGAGAAAACGTCCGATTATCCAAAACCTTTTTATACTTATACCTTAAAACAAGCCAGTAAATAATTGAAAGGTTAAAATTTGCCTATTTCATGTACTGTATTTGAAGTTTGAATTATTTACATACATAGTACATACCAAAGTCCTGACTTTTTAGTCCTGATATTATGAGTTCATTCAGAAAAGTGTCTTAAAATCCTATTTGAATGTCCTAATTATTATATGACAGATGCATGTTTCAGTCTGTATATTTTAGCAACTTTTCAAATATGAACAATTTTAAAATATCTTTTACAGTAGAGTTAGAATATAAATTATTTTTTTGAAGTTCAAACATAATCTGTAATAGAAACATTAATATGCCTTCACTCCTGTTATGGGTGAAATATAAAACATGTGCACATGTAAAAAATTAGAACTGAAGACACTATATTACAATTTAATTAATTTTTCGATTGAATGAATCCCCATTCGGGACATATTGATTAACCTTGAACATATTGATTAAGCTTAAAAATATTGTTTGTCTTATCATTGTTCTATTAGCATTGAATACTCAATTTTCATTACTGCCACCTTATCATTATCCATTAAATATTTATCTGGAAAAACATGAAAACATTCAGGTCTGGTTGAATGAAGCTAATTACACCAAGCTGGCTGCTTTATACACTGGCGGATCCAGGGGGGAAACATTTGCAGCGCCTCAATAATTGAGCCTTTTTGGGTATTACTTGACCTTTTTTGACACTTGTTTTTTTAATTTTAGGCCAAATTAACAGAAACTGGACTTGAATTTTCGAAATTTGAGCCCAATTTTTGTTTTAAAGGGACCTAACATTTTTTCTGTGCTTCAGACTTAAAATGTGGGCCCCCTTTTTTAGCTTCCAGATCCACCACTGTTATATAGATGAGGATGCAACGGGACAGTGTTTAAATGTTAACAATTGAAGGAAAGAAGTTAAGTTTTATTTGCTTATTATTTATTATGGTTTATGGTTTTACAAATGGTACATTTCTTATATTAGGATCCAGAATCAATAATTTACAAAAATAAAAAAAAAACAATATTAGCTCCATCCTAATCAAAAAGTAACTCAGGGATACTATTATAAATTGTATTTTGAAGTGTATCAATGAAATAAATTAATAAATAATAAAAAAAAATAACTTTGTTATTCCACAGACATTGACATTTGGACATATAATCCTTAACTGCAAGTTTGATGCAAACTACACCCAGAATTTCACAAAATCTAGTTATACTGAGCAAACATGTAAAGTAATCTCACCAAAATGTTCATCAGTTGACAAGCCCAGACTCAATAGTTTCCAACAGTTTTCAGGATCCCTGTCTCCCTTTAAATCTGCACCATCCCCCTCTAGACTCTCCCTACAGAGTTGCTGAGTCAGCAAGGTTAGCCTCTCTCCTAGTGTTGGACCCTTCAGCCACACATTCACCTCCTTTGGGTTGGACTGACTCACTATTGGCCTCAGCATGGTGTGTAAAACGAGAGGACTGGCTATGTGCTGCAAAGAGTCAATAGTGAATTTTATCATATATTCCACATACTGTATGTATTCTAGATTTTGCACTATTTCCCTCAATGGCAGTCACTATTTATGTTCATGTAATATTTTAAATAGCTTCCTAAATATTTGGTTTTATCAACCACAGTTGAAAAGTAATGATAATGTTTCAAGTACTGGCCCTTTTTTGTTGCTTCCCATGTGGTCTAAATGTGGTGGGAACAACTTAAACCCTGTGATGCCCCAAGGATGATGCCTTTCAGCCCAATCAGTTCATTTTCAAAAACATATACATTGTACATCAAAGTTACAGCCTGGATACCTATCAATTAGCCACAATAGAGGAATTGTTTGTAAGAACATAACAAAACAAAAATAATTTCAATTAGATTTGAAGACGTTTTAAATGAGTTTGAACTTGTAATGAATGCATGTTCAGTCAGAAAATATGTTGCTATTTTCTAATTACATATTCTGATGGGATATTTGCTAGATCAAAATTATGTCCTATTAATTGAGTGCAGAGGGAGCTAATTCTTTGTGAAGGGTATCAAAATTAATTAAAGATCGTTTACCTGGCACATATTTTGTAAAATCTCCACTTTGACGGAAGGGTCAACCTGTTGGTACACAGCTGATATAATAGCCACAACCAACTCTAGTTCTTTATGTTTGGTGGCTTCTTCTAGCTCTAAAACCCAGGGAAGTAACTCTTTATGGAAGACATTCTGGAATACAACATTAGCTGATACGTCTGAATCGCTAGCTGCTTGCTCCTCATTTTCTATCATGCCTTGTATTGTTTTCACATTTGGGTATGTGGAGATGATTGTTGAAATAAGCTTTAGGTGATGTATGGAAGGGTCTGCTCTTGCTCTCTGATAGCTAATCTGGCATGTCTTTGAAACCAATACTTGCAATCTCTTATTGTCTGTCCATATTGCACTCTTAATTTTTTCTGCCTCAGACTTATTAGAACTCTGCAACTGTTTTTCATGTTTGTCATCTTTTTGGGGAATCGCAACTGGAGGTCTGGATTTTGAATCTGGGGTGTCTATGAATAGGACTTTTTTATTCGATTTGGGCTCCTTAGACACAATGCTAAAACATTTAAGAAATTCAGCAAGTCTTCCTAGTGTGCGGTTAACATGTGAAGGGGTCTTATTTTCCACATCTACCATATTGAGGCAAATCATGTTTAAGTCACTCCATATACAATTAATGACTTGTTGAAAGTAATCTGATTTTTTCTCGTGAGTTTTTGCCTTCATTGTGAAGTAGGCCATCATGTCGACAAGGAGACTGTACAATGGAGAGTTTGACAGACAAGGACTGTCTTCTGTGAAGGATTGCTTTAACAATGGCAGCACCTATAAATAAATATAAAAGTTGGGAAATATTTCAATTCATATCTACAATCTACTATTTATATCTTCAATGTACATGTACAAATGCTACGAAATGTTGACAAAAGATTAGAAGCAAAAAACTGCATATTTGTAGAATGTAAAATTTCAGTAACTAATAAGTATGATGTATAAGGAGAGCAAGATGAAATTACCAATCATTAATGCTAACACAATATTTATTGCTTTGAGTAAGTGTTGACACATACATTCTAGAGAAAAAGCAGTGAGAACATCATACAGGGTGGCCCAAAAAGCACAACTAATAACTTTCATTCAAATATTTGTGGGTTCTGATTTTTGGTCACCCTGTACCAGGCTAGAAGAAGCATTTTTTGAGGAGGTGGTTTTTAAAGATTTCTCTTACATGATCGGCGAAGAGATTTCTCCACACGACGTCATCATCAATATTCTGAGTGATGAGATATCTCTGACATTCCATGTAAGCATTCAAAATGGCCGCTGTCTCACTTGGGCTCACTTGGACTTTGTCCTGCTTCAACCTGTAACACCAAAAGTATTCAATGAAGACATTCGATATGACCATGCTTGGACTCACCAGAAACTTATCTTGCTTTAACTTGTGTAAACAACAGTGTACTTTTACCATGTTTAGATACTGATATTTATTTTTAAAAAACGCATTAAATCCCTACATATAAAAATGCTTGTTCAGATGAGCTTCTGCGATTATAACATTCATATTAAAGTCATTTTTTCTTGCCTTTTTGGATTATAAATATCTAATTTATTTTTTGACATTTAAATATTTGCTAAATGGAAAAAATTAACCTAAGTCTGTATTTAATCAATTCCTTTTGTCTTACCCTATTATCATGTTAGAGAAGAACTGGTTGTAAAACCTCTCCCCTCTATCAGTTCCTATGACATCATCAGGTAGCTTACTGAGAAAGGGCAAAATGTTTGGAAAAACGGACACAGCATTTCCACTACCTCCCTGTTTGAAGAGCACAAACAATTTTGGAACCATTCCTTTGTTGGGGTTGATTTTGGTCCAACAGTCCTGAAAATGGTGTGAAGTGATACATTTAACAGAGCTCTAGTTTGAATGATTTATGATAGAAAATCTAACATGAATTTTTTCATTGAAGAAAGAATGGGTATCGATACTGCGAAACTTTTTGAACACACGTTTCTTTTAAACCAGTCATTAAAAATTTCTGAAAATCTTACAAATTGTCAATTTAATGGCGATCTTTTAAATGGTAACAATATAATTTGAAATAGATATACATACTTTCATCTATATTGTTTTAAAAAACACATCAAACACTTGTTTTGTTCTCGGTATCATGTTTCCAGAGTGAAATGAAACATCTTTCCGAACCTCATTGGAACAAAACGACATAAACACAACATGTTTAGGTCTCTCAATATAGTAATTGTACAAAGGAAATTTTGGTTGATTTTAAAAAAGTATCTTGTTAATGAAATAAAAGTTTATTCTTGATTTTTATCTATTTTGGGGGGATTTTGTTTTAATTTTCTGAATACTTTTTTTAAAATCAACCAAATATTCCTTTGTATAACTTTAATATTGAGAGGTCTAAAAACATGTTGTATATGCTATTTTGTTCCAAGAAGGTTCGGAAAGACATTTTATTTCATTCTCAAGAATTGGTAGAAAGGAGCAAAAACAATTGCACTAAAAAAACAAAAGATGTTAACAAAAACAGTTATATAAAATATTTCTAAATAATTTTTGCATTAAATTGTTGTCAATCAGTCAACCTTACATAAAATACCATGTTTTTTTACAGAATGTTTTCAATGATTGGTTTAAGAGAAAAACATTGTTGAATTCAGTTCTCCATATCGATACCTATCCTTTTGAACATTCAAAGACAAAGTTTGAATTTTCCTTTTGAAGCACATTTCACAATTTATATGCTTTCACGAGACATTTCCATTTTTCTTGATTAGCAGGATCATATATAATTTGCGGTTAATACTCCATGCAGTTTTCAAAAATATTCCTGAAATCCAACAAGTTGCATTTATTTTGAACAGTGGATCACAATTTTATTACAATTAAAATAGATACCTTAGATACTTACTGGTATTTTAGTGACGACAACAAGTACAGCTTCCCAGAGGGTAGGGCAAATGAGTGGATCAGGTTCGTCCAGGTTATAGAGCACTAGGGGGCAGATCTTGTCTGCATATTGCTGGCAAAGGTCAGGGACACAGAGGCAGAGGGTGGAGATCACACTGTAGAAGCTGCTTCTTATCTAAACATGGTAATGAATTAAGCTTCATAGTATTATAGTCTCTTTACCCTACTTCTACTTCACCCCAAAGGGGAGGTGGGGGGAGATGTGTTCACATTTTTGAGCTGTTCATACAAAGCTGTTCATATCAATTTGCCAGAAATGTAAATAAAATGTCTTATAAAGGTAAAGAAAATCTAGTTGGGGATACAGTTTCTTGGACAAAGTAAACTGTTTTGATTAGATCTGGTGATCACCAATATAATCTTCATAAATATTTATTTGTTATATTACCATGTTACTCAATGATATCTCATCAGTTTTTCACAAAAATATGCTTAATAATAAGTTGCTAAATGTTCCAATATATTCTAAAAGAGTCAAGTTAGTTAGCATCACATAAACCAATAACAGTATTCCCTCGCTTGTCTACACTTAACTCTTCTCCACAAAATAAAACACAAAACAGTAGAGAATATGTTTGATTTTTTTCTTTTATAATTACCATGCTACTTTTATGTTTTCCATATTTCCAGAACTTTCCTTCATTCAAAATGGCAGAATATTTATCATGAAGAGACTGTTGCTGAACATCTGGTACAGTTGAGATAAACAACTTCCAGGCAAGCAGAGTAGAACTGATCACTTTGTAGTATTTAGACTCCATTTCATCCTTAGAGTACAACCTACATGCAAGAACAAGACATTAACAATGCAAAATGTTACCACCTACCATTTGTTACAGGTGCTGGATGCCGAACACCAACCATTGACCCCCATCGCCAAAAAGTTGGAGACTATAACAATATCTCACCACTTGTGATGGTGATTTAATAAAGCTTCTATTTTTTCATGGTATTCATGGGAAAGTGGAGAAATAGGTAATTAACCCTGGTTTGAAAGACATTATCAAGAATATTAGAAAGCAGACAAGAGGCTCGTGAGACTGAGGCATTCATAAGCAATACACAAGGTATAGGGTCTTGGTTGCTGTTGCTTCAATCCGCGAGCTCTGTAATGACTGTGCTGATTTGAAACAATTCAACAAGTGAATAAAACAACTTTGTTAAAGTGCCTGTTGATGTAAAAATAAATGTATGTTACAACTAACTAATGTGACAAGTCAGTTAAAAAAGTTTTTTTTGCTGCGGCATGCTATTCTGCCTAGGAATCAACACTGGAGGCAAAGCCACTTTTTAAAGCATTGATACTTCACATTGGTAAGTACAAAATGAACATCCATATATTGTGGTGAGAATATTTACATTTCCTAGAATGGGCATGTTTGTTTCATATTTCCATATGAATGTTGCCTACCTTGCATCACTGAGTGTCTCTATGGTCTGTTGAATCAGGTTGTCTTGGAGATACTACAACAAACAGTACATATATAGTAAACAGTGTATGCATATTATTCTAAGTTGGGTTATGAGTAGACAACAGTAAGGAATGTATTCTGAGATTTGAAATGGAATCTTCTATGCTTGTGTTCAATCTTAGGGGCAGACCATAATGTTATGTTCAAGTTACAAAATAAATATCATATTCAAACTCTATCACTGTTAAATTATATATCTGGTTTACATGGGGTATTAGCCTTTTGCAGATTATTGACAAACTGTAGACATAGGGGATATCTGCCTGCACCAAGGAATTTGTTTCACTTTTTATGTTGTTAAGCAAAACATTTCAATAGGGGAAAATTGGAAAAAGTTCTCATATCATTTATCAAAATGCCAAGCAAATGGACAAATGATCAGACCTATAATTATAATAAAAATGATGGACAGATAAGAAAAATTAAAATCATTCGGATATTTCAAAGACATCAGTGTGAATGGGTAAAATGTGAAAAAGAACCCAGTTGAAGTAGCATCCTAAGTTCAAGGGGCCTTCAAAGGTAAACTTACATTCATAACTTCTGTTTTACAGAAAAGGATTGCATCAGCTTGTTTAGCCACTGGAAGTGCAGCTAAAAATGCAGCAGTTGCGGCAGATGCAGCAGGGGGGTGTGAGTCACACTGGGATAACAGCCAACAGCCCATCAATGACTTCAAATGAGGTGCAAGATTACGACGCACCCTTAAGACCAACTGTTCAAAGGCTAGTTGGGTAGCTTCTCTCACCTTTCTGTCATTATCCTATGAGTTAGAAAGTAAAAAACAAAAAGTGTATAAATGGTACATCTGCAAGTATACCATGCTTTATTCAATTAGTACTTTGAAATTTTCACAGATGATGTCGAAAATATTGATATATAAAAAAGACCAAAGACAATTGGTTGCGTCAATGCCATTGTTATGGTGGTTGCTATGGTAACCATTGTTTTGGGTAGATGGGGCACCCTTTTGTAAGCTGTAAGTGGCTTTTCTACACGCTGTATAACTCCAAATACATCAAATTCACATGTAAGACTACATATATCAATTTATTCATGTTAATTAACTGCTGTATTTATCTCAAATGAAGGACCCACGGTCCTATGCTCACACAGTTTGGAACCTTCAGAGGAATGTATATCCTGACTTTCAAACAAAAATATTGATTTGGATTTGTAGTCTCGAACTTTGAGAAACTTAGATAGCATAGTTATGTGACCTAGTTTGATGACCTTTGACCTTGAAAATTTAACTTATTCAGAGCTCAGTAAGGTCTTTTGTGATTAAGCTGACCAAAATTTACATCCAAAAATCAATTTGAAAAATCAACTTTATTGACCTTTCGAAGGTCACTGAAGGTCAAGTAAAGGTCAAATCCCAAAACTAATATCAGATTTGAACTCCTGGCAACTTGTGAATGATTTAAAAAAAAAATTGGTCAAATTGAAGCAAGTTGAAAATTAACTTATTTTTACTGTTTTTTGACGTCAAATATTTCAAAAACGGTAAAAATTTGATGCTGACATATATTGAGAAATATGTAGGGAATGCTTAAATCTATTAATGATGTAATTTATTGCAGGAAATGATCAAGTATAAGGCAAACTTTAAGAATCTTGTCAATCACAAAACCTGCCATTGACTTTATACATGAGAAAGTTTCCTGAAAATGATGAAGTCCTACTTTTTTTCAAATTTTATAGAGTAAACACCAAAAACCGTAATTCCAAGAGCTTTGAAATCTTCAGAAAACATAAGTTGCATATACACCAACTACTAAAAGTTATTTGAAAGTTCTACTTCAACAAAGTGTCTAGCATTTACAGAAAAGTTAACTTTTTGACGTCAAAATCCGCAATTTTTCGGAAACCGGGCGAACTTGGGAAATGGCGATGATAGGTCAAATAGGCATTATGGATATGCATAAAATGAATGTGGATATGACTCAATCCGAATAGCAGTTTTAATTTGTGCGGCCAATGTTGACGGACGGACGGACGGACCAACGGACGGACCAACGGACGGACGGACGGACGCCTGGTCAATCCCATAGGCTCACTGTGTGAGCCAAAAATGACTAAACTTTCAATATGACAAGAAATTACCCCTCTTGAATCCATGCTCTTCTCATCTCTGTGAACTTATCATTGCATAGTAGTAATAGCAAAGCCCCTTAAATGCTTAAAACACCACACTAGTACTAAAATGGTCCAACTGAAAATGATCAGTGTGACCAACTTAACTTACAAGAGCCATCTTGTTGTAGAGACGAGGCCAGAATGGTAAAGCCCCAAGCACAATATCAGTCTCCTTCTCCTTGCATAATGTACTGAACTCTTGTAGGGCCTGGAATACAATGAAACTGATTGAATACAGTACACATAAATTTGTCTATAGCTACATGTATTTTGCACTGGAGGTCAGTTTTTATCAAAATCCTAAGAAGCTTCAATCAAGTCAAAACTAAATTACTTCAAGAATGCGCATCTTTTCACAAAAGTCTAACTTGCTTTTGACCCAGAGTTTCCTATCTGTAGCTCAAAATGAGTACAATTAGTTTAAAATGGGTCACTTTTCATATTGAGCCATCTACCTTTAACTTTGTTGTTGCATCTTTCTTAGCTAATTTTCTAAGAACCATTCGGAAATCTGCATCAACATTAGAGTCTGCTTCATCACTGCCTTGCGCTGTTGGCACATAACCAAGATCTCCCGATAGTGCTCCGAAACCAACAAAACCTGTGGCCCCACCTGGTGTAGTTAACTGCTCAGCTGCCCGGCTGCTACTGGAGGGCTGCAATAATGCAGATTGAAGTATTGTTGGTAAAGAGGGTCATTATGCAATGTAGTGCAGTGGGAGAAAGGGATAACATTATAATCCAGTAAAACTTTCACTAGAAAAATACAAAGGCCATATGATATGTGGAGAAAACTACTCTACCTTTCGTAAAAGACCCCTTTGAAAGACAATAAACAAACTTAAATGCTTGTTTTGTTGTTGGCTAGGTAATAATGCCACATATCAATTAAGAATCCACAGTGATCTGTGGCATTTAGATTATTTGTTTGTTTAGTTCCTTATGGTATCACGTTGTACTTCCAAATCTCTCCAAAATCTTCTTCAAAGTGTTTCTGAAATATCATACCTTGATACCAGTAATGAGAACTCGTACCAAGATGGCAAGTTCTGAAAATTTTCCAATCGGAGTTGTTCGCCTGTATTTTTTAGATTCAGCTTATTTATACTTTTCCCTTAGCCTATGGTGTGAAATCAACAAAATCTAATCTATCATAAAGATTTTAAAATTCCCTATCAATATGGCAGAAAAGATACAATAACTCTGCCAAGGTAAGTCATATACAATCAAGTATCACCATGGTCCAAACAAAAAAGCCCATTATAAATATTGGTAATAGAAGATCCCGCAATTTGATACATCAGATCATATCAGGTCCTTAACAGCCATCATAGTAAGATCAACCCCAATGTAGATTCTCCTGACTGTTCTCAATGCAATATCCCTGAGACTATAAAACATTTTGTTTTTGACTGAACAATTGATGGCAGAAGTGAATGCTTTACTTCTAGGGGCCAAGCACAATCCATGTATAACAATCAGAACTCTCACTGGCCTTACTAGGGATATAGACAATGATATCAACACCAATATACTACAGAAATTCCAGGCTTTTCTAGCCTCGACAAAGAGATTTTAATATATGCAAGAACTGTACATAGAAGAGATACAGTAGTGATTCTGTAAAATATAAAGATGTTCAGCATGATTGAAGATACATTGTAGCTCATCTAATGATCATAATTAGTTTTCTAAGAACTCCTAATACATCAAAATTACTAATACGCTCTCTCCAACAAAAAGCAAAGGATAAGTAATAAAAAGTACCAGTAAACCTAAACAGAAACCTAAAGGAAGAAAATAATTCCAAAAGGATGATGGCACAGGTTGATGAGGAAATATCTGTACAAAAGTAGAATGGATTTCATCAATTTATCAATGCATTTATTATGTACAGACTTATACGTCACTTACTTTCACATTTCCCTTGGTTCTGTTAGCCTGAGTTTGTCCCGACTTCTGCTTTCCTCCCATATTGCTCGACTCGTTTTACTTCCCGACGTTAAAATAATCGATAGTTTTACATTTAACGATAGATCTCTTACTTCATAACATGGTTAGCATCATACTCATCTAAATAATGTTGATTATACGTGGAAAGAAAACGTGTAAAAGGGTTCTTCGAATTTCACAATCAGCATGAAAATTGTTACCGGAAGTAGATTTTTTCTTATAGTGTAAGCAAACACTAAATTATAATTTCTGTGAATTGAATAATAATCTTATATAAAGGGATTTTATAGCACATTATGATAAAAACTTATGTATATGTTGAAATCATGCGACATTCATCGTTCTAGCTATACCTAGAACATTGTTCAATTCCATTATTTTCATATGAAGTTTGTTTACATTCTAGAAATTGCTTAAATTGTGTAAATGGTATGAAGTGTTTTCAGCTACAAGTGGTCATTTTATGTATAACCTGATCGCCAGTGGCTCTAAATGTCATCCCATATAACACCCTATGCAGACAGAGCCTGTGGGAAATATTGGGTGCGGAGCAAATGAGCGGAGGGTGCGGAGCTAACGGTTATTTTTGAATTCAAATTTGGGATATTTCTGAAACTAAGCCGTTTTGGGACTTCAAATATACCAAGATATGTGTATTTGACACCAAATATCAATACAAGTGTGAAAATAGTAGCGCAATTCATTCTATAGCGACGCAGTGTGCCTTAAACCTTTCCCAGACCTATACATTTTGAAATTATCCTTTTAATACTGAGTCCCCAGCATTCATAAAAAATGGTGTTCAAGGTGCACTATCTATACAAATTATTTTTGCATTTTGGAAGCCAGGCAGTATCTGTGTGATTTTATAAAAATTCGGAAATTTTTTCAGATATGAGCCCCCTCTAAATATTGGGTGCGGAGCAGCTCGATAAACGTAGCTCCGCACCCAATATTTAGAGGGGCTCATATCTGAAGAACATTTTCGAATTTTTATAAAATCACACAGATACTGCCTGGCTTCCAAGATGCAAAAATAATTTGCATGGGTAGTGTATCTTGAACACCATTTTTTATGAATGCTGGGGACGCAGTATTAAAAGGATGGTCTCAAAATATATAGGTCTGGGAAATGTTTAAGGCATACTGCGTCGCTATAAAATGAATTGCACTACTATTTTCACAATTTTATTGATATTTGGTGTCAAATACACATATCTTGGTATATTTGAAGTCCCAAAACGGCTTGGTTTCAGAAATATCCCAATTTTAAATTCAAAAATGACCGTTAGCTCCGCACCCTCCGCTCATTTGCGCCGCACCCAATATTTCCCACAGGCTCTGTCTGCATAGGGTGTATAATCACGTTTTGCTTTCTAATACCCTGCCATGTCATCTGCCCCGATTTGTCACATGGTAGTGAGACTGGTAACTATACTAACCAAACTCATCTGGCCCAGTTATCACATTGTATTCCTCACTTATGGACTCTATCGTTCTTGAAATCATATTCATATCTTTATTAATTTTGCTGAATCATTCAATTAACTTCTCTAATTGTTATTGTATTGTATTGTTATTGTATTGTATTGTATTCACTTCTTCTGATAGAGCCCATTATTGTATTGTCTATTGCATTTTATTGTATTGCATTGTATATTGAATTGTACTGTATTGTAAATTGTATTGTACTGTATTGTAGTGTATTGTAGTGTTCATATTTCATTGACATATAATTATGTTGTATTGCATTGTATTGTATTTTGTATCTCCTTTTCATAAAGGGCAATACAGATATACATACATACATTGTATTGTATTGTATTGTATTCACTACTTTTGTGTTGTATTGTATTGTATTGTATTGTATTGTATTGCCTATTGCGTTTTATTGTAGTACAATGTAAATTGTATTGTACTGTATTGTAATATTGTAAATTGTATTGTATTGGACTGTATTGTATTGTTCATATTTCATTTACATATAATTATGATGTATTGTATTGTATTGTATTTTGTATCTCCTTTTCATAAAAGGCAATAAAGATATACATACATGGTATTGTATTGTATTGTATTGCATTGCATTCTTCTTCTTCTTCTATTAAAGTACAGACTCCTCTTTAGGATATTTCGTACTATGTGTGCTTGCGTGCGGTGTATATACAATTGTAGTGTGAGTGTGCATTAAAATGTCTAAAATCGTTTTAAAATCGTCATCACTTAGTACGAAAGCATCACACTCCCTGCCTCCTTCTTAAAAATGTCCAGGGAATCGATCATGGCTACATTTGCTGGAAGAAGGTTCCATAGTCGTATGGTTGCAGGGAAAAATGAGTAAAGATGTAAATCTACTCTTGAGGATGGGACAAGGTAGCGTAGGTTGTGACCCCTGGTCACAGATCCTACTGGCTCAAGGTATGCCGCTGGTGGAATGGCTACCTTATGGTGGACTATCTTGTAAAGCATGACTACTCTTGTCAAATTACGTCTGTCTTGTAGTGGTGGGCAGCTGCAGATTCCTCAGCATGGTGGTAGGGCTGCTGGTTTGTCTGTAATCTTGTGTTATAAATCTGGCTGCTCGTCGCTGTACTCCCTCCACTTGCCCGATTGCCTTCTTCGTGTAAGGGGACCATACGGAAGAGGCATATTCCAGCTGTGGTCTAACAACGGTGTTATATGCTTGTTTCCTCACATTGCTGGGGCAGGAGCTGATGTTACGACGGAGTTCAAATGATATTAAACGATATTTCAACATCCGTATCGCAGAACATTTTATAATATCGTGAATATCTTCATAGTCTCAACAACTTGCCATTGTAAAATGGCGTGCTATACTACATTATGACTGGTTTCGGATCCATAAATCCAGGCCCATTGCACAAGCCACATATACATGTAAGTCACAATCGTTAAGCTAATATTTATTAACCTTGAAATACCGTGTTATAAAATCTTGGAAGTAGAAAATAACTTTCTGCTTCTCTTCACACTACTATATTTATCAACCGATAAACCATTAATAAGAAACAGACAAATAAAAACAAATATATAATCATTACTAATAAGCCAAATGGGTTGCTCATGAAAGCCAAATGCAAGGTACAGTAGAGTGTCTCTTCCTGTTTAGCCAGGTAACCTAGGTTTTGATGTAGAAGATGCATTTATTTATTAGTTTGTGCGGTAACTCAGTCTATTAGGGTGAAGATGTTGTTTATCTCATTAAAACACTTAAATGCATTCCGTATTCATTAAGAACAGCAGTTTCAACTATGAATCATGAACTCCAGAAGTTTCTGCACGTTTCTTTACAAAAAAGATTGAAAGATTATAAACATTTTAAATTATCACATTAAGCTGTCACTGAACAACAGGGTAATAACATGTTAAATTACACGACTGATTATCGACCCCATCAGTTGGTAAATTAAACAAAAGATTATCAGGGAATCTAAACAGTTTTAAGTAATGTTAACATCATATTTCTCAAATCAATTGTTTGGGCAATTGTTATATATTCCTGAGATTTAAATATAAGATTGCATTTGTTTCAAATCTGCTTTACAGTCAACTGACGATAGTAATATTTTTATGAAGAAACATGTTTGTGATTTTTTCCCAACAGGCGCTAGCCATGGGCCTGCTTTGTTTGATGTTTTCTGTCGTTAGTTCTAAACAAAAGAAGCAAAAGAGGCCGACGTGCACCGAGCGTGTTAATAAAGCGAAGGTAAGACTAAAATATGAAAGTTGAAATATCAATTTAAAATAAAAATGGGGTATACAGATTATTTCATATATGTTGATGTATGTATTTACGAATCCCAAACCTGACAAAAAGCACTTGATAAAGTTGTGCCAACGACAAGAAAACCTTACTGATGAAGCAATAAAAGTTATTTGAGAGATATCAAAATGACAAGGAAGGTCTGTTTTGAATTCAAGGTTATGATCAGCAAGTTAGAAGAGGAATGCAATGTTGACATGAAATGCGATTGGAAACTTCCTCCAGGTAAGAACACACATACTATCGATTATACCATTGGAATTCGGACCAATGGGGCAACCCCATAATATCAATGGTCGAGAATTGAGAAGATCGATTCTTATAGTAACATCACTGGTCCCGACCTGGTTATAAAGACGTTATGTTTTGACAAATTAGATGAACATCCGTCGGATGAAATTTTCATTTTCATCATTTTACCAAGAAGGATGTCGATTTGTTTCCAAATATTTTACCCGCATGTCAGTTATAACATTCGGTTACTGAAAATCTTGTCAGTCACGAGCAAATATATCCAGCAGCTCCAATGATCGAGTGAGAATTCCTCACTTTAGCAGCCAGAATGTTATCTGGTCAATTTCACCAACATCTTAGTTGCTTAATTCTCCCTCGCGATCCGCTCTTTTAGACGTAACGTCTATAACCAGGTGTGAACAAGCTTCATGTTTCCAGCAATAGAGCTCGTACGGTTTGTGTGTTCGAAGAAAATTGTGACGTATGTCAAATTGTGATTTATTCTTTTGAATTGTAATCGGTGAACGCACGTATGCTGAAGATGGATCATTGTAGTTAGAGATTTACCCTATTTACCCCATCTATTAAACCGAGGCATGCGAGCGCCCAATGAGAACAGCAAAACACCAAGAAGGTTGCCCTTACATAATATAAAAGAAATTTATATTTTTGATAATGGACTCATCTAATTTAACTTTTTAATGGAAAAGTGTCGAGGAAAACCACGGGATCAATACCAGACGTTTGTCTTGGTTATCATATTGTCTAGGTTTGGGTTACAAGGACACTCAGGGTCAACTTTGACATGTGTACACTTTTAGAAAAAGCCTTTCACAATATCCTAGATGCGAGTAGAAATAATCTTGATTTGCGTCATTAAAAATTCACAATTCAGTCAAACTGATGTCATATTTGGAATCTACATGTAAAATTAAATCAAGAAATGTGATTTCGAAAACAATTTATCAACTTTGAAAATTTAATTTTCTTTGAAAAGTGACTTCTAGGTCGGGGAGATTCTCCATAGACCCAATGTTGTAAAACCACAAAAAGTGAAATAATGTTTCTTGTGTTGGGCAGATAATATTTTCTTTTACTGGACATATTTTCATTTGTATATAACTATCACATACATAAGGGTAATATGAAAAGTGAACCACTAAAACTGATGCATATTCAAGTTGAAGGGAATTTTGTAATACCCTGCCATGTTATTTCCCCCGAATCAGCCAACTGGTGGCGAAACTGGTAACTACCTACTCGCATCTGAGTAATTCCGAGCTCCTTTCTGGATTGGGCATAGTCACAAGGTTTCTCAAAACTAGCTATGTTTGATGGTTTGCAGAAAATGTTAGTTCTGTCTGGGGGATATACGTGAGATGGGGGAGAACTGTATGCCCTGAGAGTGCTGAAGTGTTTTACGAAGGTATCAGGCTTTTATTTACGTATATAAAGATGATTCTATCATTTTACAGTCGACCTACTGTTTCAAACAAAATCCAGATAAAGCATCAGGAATCGATTTAACTTGGAACAATTTGGATCAAATTCTATACTAAGGGCTGATATGAAAAAGTATCAAACAAGAATCCACAATAAAACATTATTTTGCTGAACTAATAATAAGCCGTTGCTCAACAACATATAGGTTTAAGCCTTATTGTAAGATCAGTCACTGGGCTTCATAGATATTTAATTCAACCATGCATTTTTATACTTCTGATACAAGGATGAATGTATTTAGGTATAGCAGGTGGCTCCCACTATAACCAAGGTGGAAATGGTGCAAACTATGTCTGTTTGCCGAGAAATCCCGAATGGGGGAAGATTAGTAATGGCCTGGGTGGTATTGGTGCGTATATCCATGGAGCTGAGTATCAGTTCGGTGCAGGCTATAGCAACCCATTCCTCGGGACAAATGCCCCGAACTCGGAAAATGCAGAATCGCTCCACGACAATGACGTACCATGTATTGTGTGTCAAGTCCCCCGAAGCGTCGCAATGGTACCAGCCAGACACTCCTGTCCGGATGGTTGGACTTTAGAGTACAAAGGTTATCTGGTGGCTCAGCATCATACTCACCCTCAAAACTCTCTCTATGAATGTATGGATAAAGCGCCTGAGGCAATACAGGGTGGTCATGAAAACAAGGACGGTGCATTATTCTACTCTGTTCAAGCGATTTGCGGATCATTGCCCTGCCCCGAGTACAAACAAGGCGCTGAGCTGACGTGTGTTGTTTGCTCCAAGTGAATAGAGACCTTAAGATATACGGACGACCTGTACGTGTACCTGTAATTACACGTACACGTACAGGTTTTTTTAAATGTTCATTTTGTGCGCCTAAAACAAGTCCTTAGTCACTCGTCGACGTGTACGTGTACGAAACAAGGAATTAGTGGGTATCTGGTGACGAACGTATGATATTTTAATCGGCCTACACACATATCCATAGTGATTCTGTATGGAGGAAGTGTAATTTGCTTAAGGCATACAGATATACCAATGGGTGTTAGGTGTTTGGGTGAGGTAAAGATTTTTTATTTATTTCCAATTGTTGCTATGTAGATATTTATCTCTTGATAATTGTCTCTTGATAATTTGAGGAGATTTGTTTGTGTGTTAATCTGCTTGATTGCTTGTTTGTTTTATGTAGTGGTTCTTACTATAAAGCACGGTGGTCTGTCTGCCTGCCTGCCAACATGTCGTTCAGCCTGTTAACCTGTCGTTCTGACTGCCAGCCTATCGGTCTGCCAGCCTGTCCGTCTGTCACCCTGTCGGTCTGCCAGCCTGCCGGCATATCGGTCTGTCGGTCTGTCGGTCTGTCGTTCTGTCTGCCAGGCTGTTGTTCTGTCTGCCAGCCTGTCGGTCTGCCAGCCTGCCAACATTCCGGTCTGTCAGCCTGCCAGCATGTCGTTCTGTCTGCCAGTATGTCAGCCTGCCGGTCTGCCAACATGTCGACCTGTACAATTGCCGGTCTGGCAGTCTGCCGACATTCCGGTCTGTCAGACTCCCAGCCTGTCGTTCTGTCTGCCAGCCTGTCGGTCTGCCAACCTGCCGGTCTGTCATGATCAGACTGTCTGTCTGTCCGTATCTGTCTACAGCAGTTCGGCCTACTTTTTTTCGATCATGAAGTATTATCTTTCTAAATCCTAAGTTTTGGGCTCAAACAAAAATGAAAAAATTGGGATTCTTTTGTTATATTTGAATTTTTGTTTTGTTTTATTTGAATTTTTTTAAAAAGAATTCAAACAATAATTTGAAAATTAAAAGAAAAAAATGCGACAAAAAATTGGAACAAAAAAAAGAATTTTGATTAAAAAGTGATATTCGATGGTTTGGGACATTTTTTGCTAAAATATGATATCTTAATCCACATATCAAATATATATCTTCACGTGATATTCGATCTATATCCTTGCAACCATGGTATAATATAGGAATATCTTATGGTTTTGTAAAAATATCATTTACACCCATGAGTGGATATATGATATCTTCATGAGCGCAGTTGATGAGTGACGGTATTGATATCAATGAATGGATATAAATGATATTTTTTAAAACCATTCGATTGTCCGTTTATCCCAGGGAAATCATTACCCATTAATGTCCATGAGTGGATATATGATATCTTCACAAGTAAGCGCAGTGAATGAGAAAAGATATTGATATCCATGAGTGGATATAAATTATATCTTTTCAAAACCATAGGATTGTCCGTACATACATATATATACCCCGATGTATGTAGTGTAGAAACAGTCAATTTTTTAAATGTTATATCTTGCAAAAGCGAAACTGTCAAAATGGATGCAGCAGACCAAAATGTTGATGTTTTTTTCGAAAATAATGAGAATGAGAACACTTTAAAAAACAAATCTGCACTATTGGTGTCCTAAAAACCGCACTCGTGAAATCTTACTTGTCATGAGATAAATCAGTTATGCGATGCTCGGTTTTTAATATGGGGTATATTCCTCGGGAAATATGATATCTTACCTCAGACCGTCCGGGCCCTCGGTAAGATATCTATATTCCCCTTAGCAAGATAGGATATATCCCAAATACAGAACGGCCATAACCCTCATTTATCCCATGGTTGCAAGGATATAGATCGAATATCACCTGAAGATATATTTGATATGTGGATCAAGATATCATATTTTAGCAAAAAACAACCATCGAATATCACTTTTGAAACCATCGAATCTCACTTTTTCATATTAGAAATCTTGAAACCATCGAGTATCACTTTTTATATTAAAAGTGATATTCCATGGTTTCAAAAGTGATATTTGATGGTTTCGATTTTTTTAAATTTTCGTCAGCGTATATTTTACATCAAACAACTGATCAACAGAACAAAACAGTCTGGCATGTAAAGGAGAAAGCGAAATAGTCTATTCTGCCGGAACAGTAGGGCTTTCACATAAGTGATACAATAATGGCAATACGAATTGCCATTATTTCATACTGGAAATTATCTGCAACTTTACCATAGGATTCGTTATTTATTGAACCATAGCACATACACAGCTATTCGACAGATATGTTACTTTTAAATTAATAACATAAATAAACAGCACATTGCTTTTTTTAGTCATTTATCAATGGTTCAAAACTCACGTTCCAACCAACCTGTAAAGTGCCAAATTCACGTCTTGCCGCTCGTGTAAAATGAATGAGACCGTGAAATAAATAGTACATAGTTATGTAATACTGATCTCACTCACAATCTTTCGCGTACAGGTTCACAACAAGACGACAAAAACGCCCGGCGCTATTGAATTTACACGTCAACGGGATTATAAAACAAGTCAGACGTGTCGAATGGAGCATAAAGTTACATGATTTGTTGCGCGCGCATCATGTTTCACGTACAGGTACAGGTACAGGTTACTATTTGGTGCAATCTTAAGGTCTCTAATGTTAATGAAAAGCGACCACTTGTATGTTATCATATATGACAAGTATTAACTTTAGGACATCCATATCATGAAATATTATCCAATGGTATTTTCATCATCTGATAAAATTAGAATGTATTTTTCAGATGGCGTATCAACGAAATTTAGGCATAAACTCTACAAAATATTGCGCAACAATGTGTTTCAAATTGTATTTTAGATATATTTTAGTACAAACTAAAATGAAAGTAGTAGTGTGCATGACAATACATATCTTATCATATAATCGATGGTTAAGGGACACGACAACAACATTTCCGTTGGCACCTTAAAGGATCATTACATTTTTTTGTATATCAGCAACTTGTACATACGATTCGGATATCTCCCGGGCAACCTGTAATAAAATGTTTGTTTTGTTGCAGATGCACAGTCGATCAAAATAAACTCTAATTAAAATATGAGTAACTTAATTGTGATAAACATTTACATTTAGAAAAAGCTTGACGATTTTGATGTAGCACTAATGTAGCACTGCTATTGTAGTTCAACAAAAATTTGTTGCAAAATATTCTTCACTCAAACTTTGATACTTTTAATGACAGAAACTTTAGCAATTTAACTTGTTTACTTAACAGAAATTTAATATTCATAAACATTACTAACTTGTGTTGTTTATGTCGACTAATGTCTCTCATAAAAGCGAATGGACTTCAATATTCGTAGTAAAATGAAATAAACAGATCACAAATCAAAAGTTAGACAAAAGAATACCAGAGAATTTGAACAGTTTGGAGTAATGTTCGACACCATATTTCTTAAATTGACCAGGCTATTGTTGTTGACATCGGGTGATCAAACAATACGATTGCATTTGTGGGAGATCATCGTCAGGAACAGAATCCAGACAGATCAGCTGCCTAAACGGACCACATCACTGCTCGATCAATTGACGTCGAAAGAAAATTACAAAGAAAGATGTTTGTGATTTTCTCTAAACAGGTGCTAGCCATAGGCCTGCTTTGTATGATGTTTTCGGTCGTGATTTCTAAGCCAAAAAAGAAGCAAAAGAAGCCGACATGCTCCGAGCGTGTTAATAATGCGAAGGTAAGGCAAAAATCGCAAGTCGCAACAATCCAAATGGAAAATAAGACGGAGTTTTCTTCATTTAAAATTACGCCTTCACTTTACAAATCATTACATTATATAACCACAATTAATTTTTGTATGTTAAGCAAAATACACAGTATACTTATGTATTCATTTTGATTTTCGTTTCTCGAGGTATAGAAGCAATGTCAGAAGCCTTATAAAACATGTTTGAGAACAGAATGATATATCTGTAGATGTGTTCAAACATTGGGAACGTTTTCAGGGAAAAAAGAAATGGTCTACGGTCTACTTCATGATCATCTTGTTTTTTATATTTATCTCGGAACGATTAAATCTAATTATGATATAAACCTGGTCTTTCTTTAATATATCACAATGTTATTTTAGATGATGATCAGAAACCTACCAGTCCTCGAGGAGGAATGTAACGCTACCTTCAACCTGAACAAAATACCACCACCAGGTAAGGTACCTATAACTGTAAAGTTTAAAACGACATTTCCAAAACTTCAGCAAGATCAACGGGCTTTTTATTTCTTTAACTAAAATTTCCCAGGCAAAATATATAAAAAAATAAGATTGACCAGGGACCCAATAGGGAACATTTTAATGACCTGCATAAGTACGGTTAAACAGATATTTCATTCTTTAGGGACTCAAAAAACACAGATCAGAATGTCTAAAAAAGGCCAGGTACTCTAGCAGAAATAACCATTTAAAAATTTAATAATGCCTTAAGTGAATTGCAACTAGTGATATTTTTTCACTAAAAGCAATAATTCAACTAAGATCATTTTCTACAGTCTTACCGCCGACAGCAAAAAAGCTGTGACTATAAAAAGTAATGGTCTTCCACTATAAATTCTACATGAAAAGTCGAACCGTCGCACCGGCCGATCAACTTTTTGAAACTTTCTGAACATTGACTCCTAAATATTGTTCAATTCATGTGAAAATCGGAAATTTAAAATTATTTGTAACTTATGCTGTTTCCGTACATCTCAAAGGTCAGTCACTTTTTAAAAATGGTAATTTTAAAGCTTATGTCGTAATCTAAGATGTTTCGGATTACGTATACGTTCAATATTTTTCAGTTAATGTCAATGCTGTGTGGACGACCTATGTGAGATGGGGGAGAACTGTATGCCCTGACACCGCTGAGTTGTTTTACGAAGGTAGGCAGGCTTTATGTTGCATTGTTCAAGGGTTTGAAACAAATCATTTGTAATTGACAATACTAATGCCTTGGTTATGCCTTGATCACATTTGCTCTGATTTATCGGCCGGCGCCCGGCCGATTGCAGTAATTGTTCAAAACTGATTTGAACTTGTTTCAATAGCCTTTTTGAAAATCATGCATTCTCAGGGGTTCAATCTGACCTCAAATTTGAGATTTGACCTTCAATTTTGAACATAATACTCAATCGGCCAGATCACATCTGCTCCAATTCATCGACCGGCGCCCGGCCGATTGCATATGTTCAAAACTGAATACAATTTTGACCCAGGCAGAAGGAAATATCAAGTGTTAAGTCTCAATATATTTCTTCCTTACATGTATCGCGAAATTATAGCAATTTTTACAAATATGTTTAGGTATAGCAGGTGGTTCAAGCCATAGCCACAGTGGAAGCGGAGCAAACTACGTCTGTTTGCCGAAGAAACCCGAGTGGGGAAAAATTATCGCTGGTCTCGGCGGTAGTGGAGCGTATATGTATGGAGCCGAATATGAGTTAACTTCAGGTCACAGCAACCCTTTCCTCGCAACGAATGCCCCTAATACAGGAAATGCAGATTCGCTTCACGACAATGACGTCCCATGCGTAGTGTGTCAAATCCCAAGGGGAGTTTCGATGGTGCCGGCCAGACACTCATGCCCAACGGGTTGGACATTGGAGTACAAAGGCTATCTGGTGGCTGATCACCACACTCACCCTCGCAGCGCAGTCTTTGAATGCATGGATGAGGCTCCAGAAACAACTCAAGGTGGTCATGCAAGCCAAAACGGTGCACTTTTCTACTCTGTCCAAGCAGTATGTGGATCGCTGCCCTGTCCCGACTATATACAAGGCGGGGAGCTTACGTGTGCTGTCTGTTCCAAGTGAACTTTACAAAAGTGATTGAAAAGTATGTTTCATTGTCTCGTAACATTAGAAAAGAATATGTCATCAAAACCAATCTAAAAAATAAAACTTATACATCTTTGGACGATTAAAAACGAATTCAAAAGGAAAGTACATCATTACACATTCCAGTGAGCGAAACGTAATTGTGAAATGATACGATGCAATTTGTTTTAAGATTGCTGCTTGCAAATTATTTCTCTAAAGAGATCAGAAAATGAAATTATTGCATTAAATGAAAATACGCGTTTACATGTATGTTATTAGCGGAAATGTGCGACACGACAACGACAAATGGTTGGCATTGCATTCGAAGACTTTTTTTATCCATTGCTAAGGCACTTTGTTAATGTTCCCGAGGATAAGAAATCACCCCCATGAAAAATTACAGATGGGGAATAATTTCACTTAAGCAATTTTTCTCTGTCCACTAATATGAAACATTATTGAGCACTATTTACTTAAAAAATAAATATTTCCGATATAAACGTGAATAATTCATGTTTGTTTAACTTTGTTGAAAAATTGTATGTTTGTTTCTATTGAACATGTACTTTATATTGTTTTGAAAAAATATTATGCATAATTTGAACCTTTGATCTGATTCATTTAGAATCGTAATAAACCATCACATTTATGACTATTTGCTTTCAAAGAGAATCAATGATAGAAAGATCTACTCCATAAGATACTATTCCATTTGACGATAAATACAATGACCACTGTGAAAGTTTTCACACGGTGGATGGTAGACTATATAGTTACATTAATACAATGCATTTACAATACAATGTTCATACGCTTTAAAATATCAGGTCATCTTGTTAAAAAAAATAGTACACCAAACCAAGGCAATTAACATGTAAAATGTCACCACCTGCCATTTGTTACAAACACTGAACACCAAACACCGTCCACAATAATTTTGAGATCATAACAATATGTCACCACTTCGTAGTGAAATATCGAATCGTTATTAACACCCCAGTCACATTTGTCGCACGGAGGCCGCAAGTCGACCGCAGAACAATTAAATCGGTGAATTTCTGCGGCGAGCGTAGAAAAACTACGCTCGCCTTGCGGCCTCCGTACGGCGTATCCAGTTTTTTACAGGCCGCAAGGTCGCCGTAGAAATTATAAATCGGAGTTATAATATTTGTTCATTTCTGAGGTCCCCTTAGAAATCAACTGGCTCAACAAGATTAAATCATTATTTGTCAATGTTTCACGATCACTTTTCATTTGATATTACATCCTAGCACTATGAATAACATTTATAAATTGTCCTGATGTAAATAAAATGAGAAAAAGTATTATTTATCAACAGAAATTTAAAATTCGCCGTGCGGTTGCCGTGGGAAATGTGACTGCAAAAGTATGAGAGCGCAGAAATTCCACGGCGAGCGTAGAAATGTTACTGGCCGCAGAAATGATAGGCCGCACGGCGGCCGCAGGAAATGTGGCTGGGGTGTAACTCTAGCTTCTGGGTTGCAGGGAAAACGGATGTTAGAATATTGCTTCAATTAATTTTTTCTTGAAACCAGCTTAGGCTTATATATTCAGGATATCAATATTCTAGTATGCATTTCTAACATAAAGACAATAACAAAAGCCGAGTTTGTGGTATAAAATACATAGTAAAAGATGTTTCGACGGTTTATTTTACACAGCGCAAAAATATTTTTGTAATCCGTCACTCTGTGACATCATATTACAAATACCTGGCATAAAATAACAATGTTATGAGTCTATGATTTCATGCACTAGTGATTGTTTGTAATCAAAAATGTACTGAAATATTTGATCGCCAAGAGTGGTATAAAATACATCTTAGTAGAGGATGTTTCGATTGTAAAGTTATTTTTGTTATTCGTCACTCTTTGACATCATATTAGAAATACCTGGGATAAAATAAGAATGTTTATAAATCTTTATAATTTCATGCACTACTGAATTTTTGTAATCAAATTAAATATTTGATCGCCACGAGTAAACAACAATATATAAAATATTATAGTATATCAAATTAAAATAATTTCACTACCATTTAAATGGTTATCTCGATATTGATAATTTAGATTATATATATTAAACATAATTTTCTCATTAATCTATGTCCATAAGGTTATAATTGATAGAATTAAAACACATGTGCTGATTGTCCATGTATTTCCACTGCTTGTGTCATATCGAGGCGTTTCAGGAATTGGATCAACTCTTGCCATCAACCAATCATATGCCTCCTTCTTTCCAGCGTTTTGTAACATTGGTCCAACAACATCTTTGCATTTTTGGTGGTACTTGTTAAGCCATTGTCTCTGCGTGAAAAATTAAAAGGTTATCTCCCGTTGAATTCAAATTCGTGACATAAACTTATCCCATAGGATTAGATTGTCTTTACCATTGTTCCTTACTAGAGAAAGGTACGTGTCTACGTGAGTACACGTACATTTCCGTCCAAAACAAAATGTACACTATTTCATTACTTGTTTAACTTGAATTGAACTATCATTCAAACCCTACTGTAAAATAATATGGCAATTATAAAAGAGTGAAGTCGAACCCACATCCTCATATGCATAAGTCGAATTCTCTTACGTTGACGTCGTATTTTAATATTGGTGATTTAGATTTGTCATACCTGACTGGCTGTCAACAGGTTAACGTCAATCAAATTCTTCTCGAACGGCACCAATGTCCATGCATCAAATGTCAACCATTGCTTGTTGCCAAAGTTATACTGTAAAATAAGGAATACCACATACGATCAGAAATGAGCTAGATGATCGTCATTATAAAGAACCCGAATAACTCATCTTGATAAATCATGTAATCTAATTCCGTCTTCAGAAATTGTTGAAAAGATATATGATGAGTATAATAATGCTGTAGGGTGTTAAAAAAATGCAACCCAAAGAAATCGCTATATCTTGAAAAATACTGGTTCAATTATGTTCATATTTTCAGGAATAAAGAAGAGACTGTGTATGTATAGCTCCTGTAAATGGTTAGTTGTAAAACATGATGCCTTGGACAGCTGCTCAAAAGACAGTTGTACTAGGAAAATACAAAAAACGCAGTCAGGGGTGACTGCAACCTCAAAAAAATTAAATAACTTTCTAACCATAATGTTTTGGCTCTTCAAATTTGGCACAAATCATTTTCATTCACTGTATGGTAAATCTGTAGAGTAAAATCAAAATCACTTCAGGGACATTACAGTCATGGTTGAAATGCTTTCAAATCGCAGTCAAACACCCTGGTTCAGGGAGACTTAAGAAGGCATTTTGACCATGACTGTAAAGTCCCTGGAGTGGTTTTAATGAAACTCCACAAATTCACCACACATTGAATGAGGATAATTTGTGCCAAATCTGAAGTGCCAAAACACCATGGTTAGAAAGTTATTTGGTTTTATTGCTGTGGCAGTCACCTCTGACTGCATTTACATATTTTCCGAGAACAACTGTCATTTGAGCAGGTGTCCAAGGCATCATGTTTTACAACTTATTGACAACAGGAGCTATACATACACAGTCTCTTCTTTCTTTTCCTGAAAAATGAACATAATTGAATTACTATTTTCCAAGATATAGTGATTTTCCATTCACGTTTTTCGTATTTTGCTAGTACAACTGTCTTTTGAGCAAGTGTCCAAGACATCATGTTTTACAACTAACTAACAACAGGGGCTATACATACACAGTCTCTTCTTTCTTTCCTGAAAATATGAACATAATTGGATGAGTATTCTCCGAGATATTGCGATTTCCTTGGGTTGCGTTTTTCTTTTGAACACCCTACAAGAATCAGTTAGATTACAATTTCCCACAATACAAGCGCCCATATTTGCTTGTTGACCATCTCAAGGCTTCCATATCATCTCAACCCAAAGTCAACTCAACACTGGTGAAATCAATCAAACGCAACACTGGTAAAATCAATCAAACTCAACACTGGTAAAATCAATCAAACTCAACACTGGTAAAATCAATCAAACTCAAGACTGGTAAAATCAATCAAACTCAACACTGGCAAAATCAATCAAACTCAACACTGGTAAAATCAATCAAACTCAACACTGGTAAAATCAATCAAACTCAACACTGGTAAAATCAATCAAACTCAACACTGGTAAAATCAATCAAACTCAACACTGGTAAAATCAATCAAACTCAACACTGGTAAAATTGAACTCCAAGTCAACTTGTTTGTTTTGTGATAAAAAAACGCAATCATATTTATTCGACCTTATCCAATTGAGGAAAGTATGGACAGACTTAAAAAGAGTTTCACAAGAGTAGCTTACTGTTGTGGTAGCATTAACAACTTCTACGATTGTCTCTAGACGGATTCCGAACTTTTTCCGCACGGCGGCCGCAGGAAATGTGGCTGGGGTGTAACTCTAGCTTCTGGGTTGCAGGGAAAACGGATGTTAGAATATTGCTTCAATTAATTTTTTCTTGAAACCAGCTTAGGCTTATATATTCAGGATATCAATATTCTAGTATGCATTTCTAACATAAAAACAATAACAAAAGCCGAGTTTGTGGTATAAAATACATAGTAAAAGATGTTTCGACGGTTTATTTTACACAGCGCAAAAATATTTTTGTAATCCGTCACTCTGTGACATCATATTACAAATACCTGGCATAAAATAACAATGTTATGAGTCTATGATTTCATGCACTAGTGATTGTTTGTAATCAAAAATGTACTGAAATATTTGATCGCCAAGAGTGGTATAAAATACATCTTAGTAGAGGATGTTTCGATTGTAAAGTTATTTTTGTTATTCGTCACTCTTTGACATCATATTAGAAATACCTGGGATAAAATAAGAATGTTTATAAATCTTTATAATTTCATGCACTACTGAATTTTTGTAATCAAATTAAATATTTGATCGCCACGAGTAAACAACAATATATAAAATATTATAGTATATCAAATTAAAATAATTTCACTACCATTTAAATGGTTATCTCGATATTGATAATTTAGATTATATATATTAAACATAATTTTCTCATTAATCTATGTCCATAAGGTTATAATTGATAGAATTAAAACACATGTGCTGATTGTCCATGTATTTCCACTGCTTGTGTCATATCGAGGCGTTTCAGGAATTGGATCAACTCTTGCCATCAACCAATCATATGCCTCCTTCTTTCCAGCGTTTTGTAACATTGGTCCAACAACATCTTTGCATTTTTGGTGGTACTTGTTAAGCCATTGTCTCTGCGTGAAAAATAAAAAAGGTTATCTCCCGTTGAATTCATATTCGTGACATCAACTTAACCTACATGATTAGATTGTCTTTACCATTGTTCCTAACTAGAGAAAGGTACGTGTCTACGTGAGTACACGTACATTTCCGTCCAAAAATGTACACAATTTCATTACTTGTTTAACTTGAATTGAACTATCATTCAAACCCTACTGAAAAAGAATAGGACAATGTTAAAAGAGTGAAGTCGAACCCAAACCCTCAATTGCATTAGTCGAGTTCTCTTACGTTGACGACGTATATAAATATTGGTGATTTAAATATGTCATACCTGGCTGGCTGTCAACAGGTTAACGTCAATCAAATTCTTCTCGAACGGCACCAATGTCCATGCATCAAATGTCAACCATTGCTTGTTGCCAAAGTTATACTGTAAAATAAGGAATACCACATACGATCAGAAATGAGCTAGATGATCGTCATGATAAAGAACCCGAATAACTCATCTTGATAAATCATGTAATCTAATTCCGTCTTCAGAAATTGTTGAAAAAATATATGATGAGTATAATAATGCTATAAGAATTAGTTAGATTACAATTTCCCACAATATAAGCGCCCATATTTGCTTGTTGACCATCTCAAGGCTTCCATATCATCTCAACCCAAAGTCAAACTCAACACTGGTAAAATCAATCAAACTCAACACCGGTAAAATCAATCAAACTCAACACTGGTAAAATCAATCGAACTCAACACTGGTAAAATCAATCAAACTCAACACTGGTAAAATCAATCAAACTCAACACTGGTAAAATCAATCAAACTCAACACTGGTAAAATCAATCAAACTCAACACTGGTAAAATCAATCAAACTCAACACTGGCAAAATCAATCAAACTCAACACTGGTAAAATCAATCAAACTCAACACTGGTAAAATCAATCAAACTCAACACTGGAAAATCAATCAAACTCAACACTGGTAAAATCAATCAAACTCAACACTGGAAAATCAATCAAACTCAACACTGGTAAAATCAATCAAACTCAACAGTGGTAAAATCAATCAAACTCAACACTGGTAAAATCAATCAAACTCAACACTGGTAAAATCAATCAAACTCAACACTAGTAAAATCAATCAAACTCAACACTGGTAAAATCAATCAAACCCAACACTAGTAAAATCAATCAAACTCAACACTGGTAAAATCAATCAAACTCAACACTGGCAAAATCAATCAAACTCAACACTGGTAAAATCAATCAAACTCAACACTGGTAAAATCAATCAAACTCAACACTGGTAAAATCAATCAAACTCAACACTGGTAAAATCAATCAAACTCAACACTGGAAAATCAATCAAAATCAACACTGGTAAAATCAATCAAACTCAACACTTGTAAAATCAATCAAACTCAACACTGGTAAAATCAATCAAACTCAACACTGGTAAAATCAATCAAACTCAACACTGGTAAAATCAATCAAACTCAACACTGGTAAAATCAATCAAACTCAACACTGGCAAAATCAATCAAACTCAACACTGGTAAAATCAATCAAACTCAACACTGGTAAAATCAATCAAACTCAACACTGGAAAATCAATCAAACTCAACACTGGTAAAATCAATCAAACTCAACACTGGTAAAATCAATCAAACTCAACACTGGTAAAATCAATCAAACTCAACACTGGTAAAATCAATCAAACTCAACACTAGTAAAATCAATCAAACTCAACACTGGTAAAATCAATCAAACTCAACACTGGTAAAATCAATCAAACTCAACACTGGTAAAATCAATCAAACTCAACACTAGTAAAATCAATCGAACTCAACACTGGTAAAATCAATCAAACTCAACACTGGTAAAATCAATCAAACTCAACACTGGTCAAATCAATCAAACTCAATACTGGTAAAATTGAACTCCAAGTCAACTTGTTTGTTTTGTGATAAAAAAAACGTAATCATATTTATTCGACCTTATCCAATTGAGGAAAGTATGGACAGACTTAAAAAGAGTTTCGCAAGAGTAGCTTACTGTTGTGGTAGCATTAACAACTTCTACGATTGTCTCTAGACGGATTCCGAACTTTCCATCTTCATAATAGCCAGGCTCTAAAATATCAATGGTTGTATTAATATCTATCATATAAGTATATATGCATAAAGTTTTAATTTATACAAAACGGTATTAAAAGCTAACATACTGTGATATTTATTGACAATATGAAATTTCTAATTTAATCTATTTTAGCATGGAATTAACAGACTCAACTATCATATTTAATTATCAAGAAAGTACATTAATGAATGGGCTTTTAATATTAACTGTTTAAAATGTTGTTATGGGTTCATTCTACCCACCATCTGAATACCACTGTCCCTCATATAAAGGTTGTTCATAAGCGGTTTCTCTGTAGCCCATACTTATTCTACCAGGCCCCTCGTGCACATTGAGAAATGTACCAAGCCCGTGCCCTGTGCCGTGGCGGTAATCCAGACCAACAGAATACAAAGGGCCGCGTGCAAATACATCTATATCCCGACCTGCATGCAAATTGGTTACGGGTGTGTAACTAAAGGGTAAGGTAGGTATTTAAAAGATAATTATGATGGTAAGGGACAGATTACTTTAGGTATTAAGCACACAGTTACATGTAGATTTCTTTGATAAAATATCTCTCATTACATGTTACAATGACCCACATTTGAGTATTTCAATGTTTTGAATGACACCAATTTAGTGTTCACATTAGACATGTTTAACTGTATGCTGGTTGTTAAAGGTGTTTATTGTTAAAGGGGGAGTGGAGGTTAAGATCAACGTGTTAAGGGTAAGGGTTATATCCGAGGCAAAGAAACTTGTTACTGTCACAAAAGCAAATATGAGTCCCCCTATCAGTGACACTTCCACAAGGCCCCAAACTAACTGGACATGTGCCCCCAAAAGTTTGGCAAACAGAAATCCTCATTGGATAGTGTGTTAAAGCGAGTGATACACATGCTACACAACTGCTCAAACCCCAATGGAGGAATTATGATCATGCAATAATACATATAGTCTTGCTTCAAGACTGTGGATAGTAATATAGTACTTGTATACACTTTACTCTGCTATGTAGCGACATCTTAATTTGACTCTATAATTGATGATCATGCATTGTCCTATCTATAGAGCCTCGTCCAAGTCTCGTCTATGCCCTGTCTATGTTGTCACATCTAAATGGGATTCTAGAATTGATGATCATGCAGTGTTCTGTCTCTCTATGCAACCGCATATAAGTACGTTACATGACTCTAAAATCGATGATCATGCAGTGTTGTGTCTATGTTACCTCATCTAAGTAGGCTACATGACTTTAGAATTGATGACAATGCAGTGTAGTGTCTATGTAGCCGCATCTATAAGTACGTTGGATAACTCTAGAGCTGATGATCATGCAGTGTTGTGTCTATGTAGCCGCATTATTGGATGACTCTAGAATTGATGATCATGCAGTGTCCTGTCTCTCTATGCAACCGCATATAAGTACGGTACATGACTCTAGAATCGATGATCATGCAGTGTTGTGTCTATGTTACCGCATCTAAGTAGGCTACATGACTTTAGAATTGATGACAATGCAGTGTAGTGTCTATGTAGCCGCATCTATAAGTACGTTGGATAACTCTAGAGCTGATGATCATGCAGTGTCTTATCTCTCTATGTAACCGCATAAAAGTATGTTACATGACTCTAGAATTGATGATCATGCAGTGTTGTGCCTATGATACTGCATCTTAGTACGTACGTTACATGACTTTAGAATTGATGTTCATGCATTGTCGTGGTTATAAACTATACAGCCACATAATGACTCTAGAACTGATAATCATATACATGTCGCATCGAAATCGATGATCATGAGGAATTGCATCTAGTTGTATCTAAGTAGGAGAAATCCCAATTAAAGCAGGATGAATAAATGTTTCATGCATTGGTGCACGAACCATCAGAATACCACTGTCCCTCGTAGAGTGGCTGTTCATATCTCGTAGGTCTGTAGCCAATACGTATCCTACCAGGCCCTTCGTGTACGTTGAGAAATGTTCCAAGTCCGTGCCCGGTACCATGGCGGTAATCCAGCCCAACAGAATATAAAGGGTCTCTGGCAATCACATCAATATCACGACCTACATATATATACATGTACAAAGTAAATTGGTGAGCAAGCACTAGTGCGTGTATATAAGTATTGTGTCTGTCACATTTATCATTGGTTGTGCTGGAAAAATTGTTCCATATGGGTAAAATCAGAAGAGTAGCCTTGTAAAATAAAAGTGTTGAAAATCATGCATGCACGTACTAGAAAAGCAAGGTTGCATATGCCCATAGGCAAAGGTTTTATTGTAAGGTCCATTGTCTAATAAACTACTACTTAACCTCTGCCTATATGCAAATGTTCCATACCGTTCGGAACCAGTATGATGACTATATACACAATGATGTCATTATTCAATGCACTTATCATTGACTCTGCTAACATTTAAGAATGTCGCAAATAACTGATCGAAAGGCATGCGTATATGGTCACCATTTTAAACCATATATACGATTATGTGTACCGTCTGATAAAAACATTGCTTCTGCCAATGGCTGTTCATAAAATCTCTCATAGTAACTTATGCCGATTCTTGTAGGTCCCTCATGCACATTGAGAAAGGTTCCTATGCCATGACCTATACCATGTCTGAAGTTCATGCCAACTGACCACAATGACCCTGTTGCCATGATACCTATTGCTCTACCTGAAAGCCAACCCTGCTTCTTGATACTACATCGTGGAATATGATATGTTAAGTAGTATGAAGTGCATACAGTATTATAGGTCTGCCTAGCAAGGCTGGTAGCAGGCTGACCTATTGGATTCAATTATGTGAATCTAAAAATCAAAACGGATTAAAAAACACATATCTCCTGAAACAAGTCTATGTCGAGGCTCCTATCATACCAGTACTGCAAATAGGTGAAAACCCACATTGATGATAATATTCTGCTCAAGTGGAAAATGAAATTATTTTGTTCCACGGGGCTACTGACATACCATCAGAGAAAAACAGGGCCTCATATATTGGGGAATCAGCTCGGTCATGGTCTTGGGTGATATAACAAGTGCCTTCTAGAACATTGAGGACGACTGAGTACAAAGATTGCATAGCTTGCACATTTACAGACCTGCCTCGAAGACAAATGTACAAGCCCAAGTGAACATTTAAAACTCTCAGGTCTATTGGTTACCATTTTAGTTTGTTGTTACTAGAATCGATGCAATGTTGTTTCTAAAGGTCTGTAGCCAATACAGAGCACTCTATCACATCAATATCACGACCTACATACCCTGTACTATGTATATGTACATACACAAATATGTGAAGTTGTGTGCAAGCACTAGTGCATGTATCAATTGTGTCTGTGAAATTGATCAATGGTTGTGCTGCAAAACATTTCTCGAAAGGGATGCCATGTTTGCTGGTGGGTAAAATCAGCAAAAAGTAGCCTTGCAAAACAAAAGTGCGTATAATCATGCATGTACGCACTAGAAAAGCAAGAATACATGGCCAGAGGCAGAGGTTAAATAGTCGACTCCATTGATTAATAAACAACTATGACACCTCCGCCTGTATACAAATGTTTCACACCATTCGGAACCAGTATGCATTAATGGTGACTATACTGTACACGATGATGTCATTAGTCAATGCATTTCTAATGGAATTTTCTCAGATTTGAGAATGGCACCCGAGCTGATTCAAAGGTATACGTATATGGTCACCATTTTAAACCATATATACGATTGTGTGTACCGTCTGATAAGAACATTACTTCTGCCAATGGTTGTTCATAAAATCCCTCAGAGTAACCCATCCCGATTCGTGTCGGTCCCTCATGCACATTGAGAAAGTTTCCTATCCCATGACCTATACCATGCCTGAAGTTCATGCCCACTGACCATAGAGACCTTGTTGCCATGGTACCAATTGCTCTAGCTGAAAGACCCTGCTGCTTGAAATAAGGTATTTTAAGTAATTTATAAAGTGCATATTTCAGGCCTGTCTGGCACAGCTAGTTGCATGTCGAACTGGCATAGAAAGTCGAAGCATGTCGAACTAGCATTAAAAAGACGCGCATGCGGAGACTTGGTTCAATTATCTAACCTAAAAGTAGAAATGGCTTAAAAAGTACCATACATCTCATACAAATCTTTGTCCAAGCTCTTACTCAACCAGTACTTCACTAAGGTGAAGGCTCGCCCTAATGATGATATGCACCTGAAATACTGTACCACCGACGCTTACCTTCATATCAATATGTTATTACATCTATAAAGTGACTGTTAGCTGATTTATGGTCCAAAAACTAGTAGACATAGAAAGACACGTGACAAACATTTCATATTTAAAGGACTGGGTATAAGTAACTATAATATATGTTAAGAAAGAATTTATAGAGGTGGAAGAGTGTGGGTCAAGTGTTTAACATATATTTTGCATGGGTTGAAAGAATGAGAGTGAAATTCAAAGAATTCAGGAGTAAAATGCAATTCTAAAGATGATGAAATAATCTAAATATAGTTGGACAAGACTTCTGAGATGCCACTACTGTAATTGGGAAAGAAGGGAATATATTAAAAAGAGAAAAAGTAAAATAGCGTTATCCCACAGGGCCATTGACATACCATCAGAGAAAAACATGGCCTCATACATTGGTGAATGGGCGCTGCTATAGCCTTGGCTGATAGAGCCGGGGCCTTCATGAACATTAAGGAAGATACCAATACCATGCCCGGTACCATGTCGAAAGTCCCAACCGACTGAATACAAAGGTTGCCTAGCTCGCACATCTACAGACCTGCCTGGATTACAAACGTATAAAACTAAAGTGATCATATTAAACTACCAGGTCTATTGATCTTTACTGGTTTGGTTACTTTTTTTGATTTGTCGTTCCATCTTACTTTTAATTAAGGTTTGTGAACCCCTGATCATTGTTCCTTTGCAGATTATCAGGAGCTTAATTAATCATTTTAACAGTTTAGTATTTGGTTATTCTTATCTATGAGACATACTAATAAACTGTTTATCAGAAGTGTGTCCTGGTCTGCCATCTGCTAAAGGTATTTTTTCAGATATGCAAGACCTATACGTACCTCGACTTTTAAAAGTATTTTTTATAGTTTCATCTCAAAAGCATCTTATATATATGGACAATAAACTAAATAATTAAAAGTATTTATGAAACCTAAAATATAGAATATTTATAAGTATTAACTGCCACTGAAAGCAAAAGCCTTGCTTATTGTATCGGATTCTTGTCCAAGGGAACTTCAGCCTCATTGATAATACAAAGCGTAAAAAGCATTCAATATATAGGTCTCAGAGCAATATAAAAGATGGCAGTGCAGTGGTGTTGGTTTGATTATTTCAATAGAGATGAAGAGAAGGAAATAACCCAGGATTCAAAGATGAACTAAGATGCATGTAAAAATAAAGTTAGAATATAGGTTCATCTATGAATTCTGGGTAATTTTACTTCTTCTTAGAGAGAATATATGTAGACAGATCAATTTACTGCACTGCCGTCTTTTATTATTAATTATATGTCCATCTATATTCAAACATTATTTTATCGCCTGTTAGCCCTTGACTTAGTGTCAAAGTATAAGTTTCATCGGGCTTCTTTGCATACCATCTGAGAAAAACATTGCGTCATACATTGGTGTTTCATAGCCCATTGGGCGGTAACCTATGTTGATCCTTCCTGGGCCCTCGTGTACATTGAGAAATGTGCCTATGCCATGGCCAGTACCATGACGATAGTCCCAACCGTTGGACCATAACGGACTACGAGCACGTACATCTATGTCTCTACCTAGATATGTAGTTTCATTGGAAGAAATAACATGATACTTCTTCATATAGGTTATCCCACATCAAATAAAGAGCTACACCAACTCTGACTACATTCATAAGATGCTTTTCACTATAATAACTATGAAAATCGGTTAAAAAATTATAATGGCAAAACTTTACATATTTTGAAAATATACTCGTACAATGTATATAATGTACATTAATCTAATATATATAAATATGAAGAACTAAACTCTATATGCTTACCATATACTCCAACAGGCCAAACTGTGGTTGCAAGGTCTATCGCACCCATCAACACTCTCGTATAGGCTTCCTGAATTTCAAACATATTTATATTTTATTAATTTCTTAAATACAAGATGATACACTATACATGTGTCCGTGTATATTTAGCACACATGGCAACACGAATAAAAGTATAAAGGTACAAGATTTCGGTCTTCTAACAAAGAACAGAATAAAATCATTGGTCATATATTATGGCGTTAATCATAGAATCTCGATCTGTACTCCTTAACTAACATACTATTTAATTTCCCCCTTCATTGGCTTTAATATATAGATTGTCATGATGTTAAAATGTTGATCTGGTCAGACTTTTTAAAAAGCTTTGCCATGAAGCGACACATGCTTTGTTAAAACGTCGAGGGTTTCAGATTTAAAATTACATTATATTTGAAATCTAGTTTGTGGTACTTACTATTTCTTTAGCATCTGGTGTACCGAAATGGAAAGTTCTTGTAACATCTGTGGTGCCATCCCTTAACAATTTAAATTAATAAGTCATTAATTCTGTAAATCAGTGATTGAAAACAAGAAAGGAAAGAAAGAAGCATTTGTACTGAGCATACCCACAAAATACAGAACAGTGAAGTATTTTTTTATCTGCTAATTCCTTTTTCCTCTTTCTATTCTTAGTAATGAAAAGAATGTATATTTTAAGAATGTTTATTTCAACTAAAAGTATTATCATATCTACTTATATAATCTAAATTATTAAAAACAAATACGCTACTATTTATGGTGTTTAAACTGCTTCTTTATTCGGTACATTAATATTCCATAAATACCAAATAAAACAAACAATTTACCAAACCTTTACCCAATTTATCGAATGTTTTTTTATTTTATCAAATGCAATAATCTATACAATTTATATTCGCTAAATAGTTTCACTTGTTCTTTGTATTGACATTCACATTTGATATTTATACATGTATTTGTGTGATGCAGCGAATCAATTTGTTTTCATTAACGCACGTATAATTCAATTAATTATTTGTACATTCGGTATTTGAATTATTTATATTCGGTAAATACCGAATGCCACATTCGATAAATTTCGTTATTTTTCGATAATTTACGAGACTTTCAATCACGTGATATATTTGTACGATGTAGAATAGCTGCGCGGCCATTCTGCAAATCTCGAAGTCACGTGACAAAATATCGAACAACAACGCAAGTTATCGAATATTACTTTATTGCATTCGGTAAATAGCAAATTAGCTTTCGGTAAAATGCATTAACTATGTCATAGAAAAATAAACCATTTGGTAAATATAGGCAAACTTATTTCGGTAGGGTTCAAATAGAAATTCAATATTGTGCATATAATGTGTTACTCTTAAGGAATACCATAACAATTTACGCAAAAAAATATAATTTAACGAATGAAATATGTAATTTAATGCACATAGTATTAAGTGATTGGCTATTTTGAAAACTTAATTTGCTGTAACAAACATATAAACGTTTTTACCGAATGGAAAAATGATTTAGCGAATATAAATGTTTCATATATCGAATATATTTGAATTTAATGAATAAAGAAGCAAAAATAATGCCATAACTATTTAAGTCAATTATATCACAATACAAATGAGTATTTGCTACACAACTCACCACAACAAAATAAGATGTTCAATAATGTGAAACAAATGAAACTTATAACATTATTTCAAATCATTAGGCTATTACTTTTATTTCCTGAAAGGCAAAATACCAAGAAAATAAAGCAGAAAACAATAAGCATATAAGATATCGGCGAAGCAAAATCATTTTGGGAAAACAATGCAATCTGGATTTTCAATGACAACTAACCAGCTATCATAGCAAGTATCTACAAAAGGTGAAAAAGCTTGGTGAATATAAATGCTGTATTTAGTAAAGGAATCTTTATTATTAAATCTCACTTAGGTTGCAACACAATATAATGAACTGTAGTTTATTTTAAAGAATATCCAGCTGTAACAAATAGGTGCACAATCTTTTTTCCATTGTTTTTAAAGATTGAACACTTGGCAAGCTATCCAAAACCAGTGTGGCACAAATGACGATTGACTGTCACATGCAGGGCACTAAAGCTGAACTAATTATACCCTATGCACTCGTTCAATAGCTGAACAGTTAACACAAAGCAAATCAAATTTTAAGCTGTACTTTTCCTGTAACATGCAGTGCACTGAATCTAAACTAATTACACTCACACACTTCTCGATACACTAACCTCGTAGTCAAAAAGAAAAATTGATCATGGACCATTTACCTTTCATAAGAGTCAGAGCCCACTGCGTGGTTTAAGTTAGATAAACCATTTGTATTGGGTCTTAGGAGAATCATTATCATCTATATTATATTTATTTTTCCTAGAACCCAGTGCTCATAGTTTATGCCTAACATAATAACTCATACATGCATTTGGTGTATAAAAGGTTGATTCTTCTACCGGGAACATGCTAGGTAAAATCAAGACTGCTAACTACTATGTTGGGACTGCGTTCATGTCGGATTTTGCATGCATATGGAGTAACCTTGGGAGAATTCACGGAATCCAAATTCCAAAGCAAAGCCAATCTTATCATCTAAAAGCTGAATATCATTCAAATATAAATGTACCACTTACAGGTACTGGCCACCGGAATCCAAGAGAAAAGTTCCCTGGGTAGTGACTGGAGAGTTAGTCTGATTACTAGGTCTGTAATGAATTATAGCACCATTGGGTCCAAACCCTGCTATCGTGGAAAAACTGGCGCCATGGTTAGTAGGGTCACGTCTGAAATTCAAAGATACTCGTATTAAAGATTAAAGGATTCTCAAAATGCCGATACTGGTTTTCGAATGGATGTGTGTTTGTCCAATGTTCTGCTGTCCATTTGTTTTCCAAGATTATAAAACTGCAAGCAGAAATATTTCATTATTCGTGTAATAATCACATGAATGAAGGATGCGCATTTCGAGACAACCCAATAACTCACAATTTTGTACGCTGATTAACATCTAGTGAGGTGGTAACTGGTAATCTTGATATCATTGTTTATCTTATGGCTGGTATACAATTAGAGTTTGCTTGTAGGTTTCATTACTACAACTTTTGGTCATTTCCCTTTACACACATGCTTTTAAAATTAGATTTGGATACAGTGTCTTGTATGCCTGTCCTTCCTTCAACAGTTCCTTAAATATTGTTGGAGTATTCAACTCCCATTTCTCTTTACTTACAAGTATTGGCCTCCTGAGTCGAGGAGAAACACTGCCGTCGTATTTATAGGGCTATTAGTAGCGTTATTCACTGAGTAGTGAATGATGGCTCCATTGGACCCAGATCCACTGATCGTGTCAAAACTAGCTCCATGGTTCATGGGGTCACGCCTATTGGGCCAGGTTATATATTAATTTATTGCTAAGCATTATAGATATCAAGCATTGTGATATTTGAAAACAAATATACATGTATTTGGAAATAAATAAATAAAAGGCATTACACAATCTAATTATATTTTATTGAAATGATATGCTTCGAATTTTATTGTATAATTATATGAGTATCATTTGAAATCATGAAATGTAATTTTAACATAGCATTACATATATTCTAATAAATTAATATTATTCTCAATTGAACATGTATTTAAGGCCACATTATAAAATGATACGTTGTAGTCCATCACACACATGACTTCTTAAAACAACCTTTTCATAACATCCATAAAACAATGATCTTACTGTCTGACTTTCAAGAGCTCTTCAACTGCTTGTAGTTCAGTCCATGGTGTCCCTGCTTTTACTTCACGCTCCAAACGTGCAGCAAACTCAATCACATGTGAAGAGTCTCTGGCTTGGCAGTTTCTCATCCCTTGTCGCTCGACTGGATTCTTTATGGCTTTCATCAAGAGCACGGGGGAAGCGCCCTCTATTACGTTAGTCTATGAAAGACGTGAAAGGGAGAAGTCAGTAATGAAGGGTTAAATAGTACTGTCGTAACTCAATGTTCATTACTAGTAAATTAAAGTGTAAAGAAGACTCATATCGAATATTGATGATCTAAGTGATCATGTCTGATCTGATCATAGCCAGAATAATACTTAGATACACCAAACTACAATTTAATTTTGTTTTATCAGTAGTTCAAATCATAAACTATTATCATTTGGACGAAGCGGAATCGGGTATTCCAATGAATTCATAATGCATTGCTTATATACTCAAAAAATACGGAAAAATGGTAAAATCGCATCCACATTTGAAAGAAAACCCAACGTACCGTGTTATTTTCCCCTTTATCAACTATAGCGTTATAGATGGACTACAACATTTGAAAGAAAGTCTAACGTACCTTGTTATTTTCCCCTGTACCAACTATAGCGTTATAGATGGAGTAGCTCTGTACTGGGCTCACCCAGAAGTTATTAGTAGAGGCCACCATACCTTGTAGTTCAGAGATGAACGCACTGTAGTCTTTCACCTAAAACATTCATACAATACATATAGCACATCGGGCCAGCCAATCCATGAAGATCATAGAAAGATCAGTGTTGTAAGTTTAGTATTTCGGCCGAATCAATCATCCTTGCATTCACACACATTACTTGGTTTTCAAATTTTGGTCATATAGAAATAAAAAAATAGTTTCGACAAGAACATCTTTCTTATCATAAAATTTTAGAAACACTGCAATACCTTTTAATCAATCAAAATTGCGGTATTGTTTTTGCAATTTCACATCTATTTCTTTATCTGTTCTCTTTTTCATTTTAGCACTTAAATGCAATTCAATAATTGAGTTGATCATGAAGTCCTCCTATAGGGAATATTATCTACCTAATGTGTACAATAAATGTATAACTATAGTATAGTATCTGCTGAGTTTCGAAATAACCCAAACCTCAAAATCATTGTGCATTATTAATACATTCATCCATTAGTAACAGCAGTTTCAACTATGAATCATAAACGCAAGAAACTTCTGCAGGTTTGTTTACAAAAAATCATTAAAAGATTATCAACATATTAAGTCATAAAAATACAGCTGCCACGGCTAATACAATACTTGATGTAACAATTTATTGTTTAATTTCACTTTTTGTGGTTTCCACTGAAACAAAAGTTGGAATTCTTTGTCAGAAAAATGTGGCAGAATGATTGATTTTTCAGAGATTGAAACAAAAAGGTAGCACATGTTACAATAACATGGTTGATTATCGGGCCTATCTCTTGATAAGCTGTAATTTAAAAAAATAATATCACTGAATCTAAACAGTTTTTAGTAATGTCTAGCATCATGCTTCTCAAATTAGTCTGGCTGTTTTTATATATTCTTGTGATTTAAACATATTTTTGCATTTGTTTGCACAGTCAACAGCTGACGAAACAGATTTTTACAAAGAAACATGTTCGTGATTTTTTCTAAACAAGCGCTAGCCATAGGCCTACTTTGTTTGATGTTTTCGGTCGTGATTTCTAAGCCCAAAAAGAAGCAGAAGAAGCCGACATGCACTGAGCGTGTTAATAAAGCGGAGGTAAGACGAACACCCAGTCCCAATAATCCAAATAAAATTCAAGAGGGAATTTTCGAAGAACCAATGCCTTTAATTGATAAATTACATTAATTTCAATTTTATTACTTTTATCTGTTTATTTTTATTTTTGTTCCTAGAAGTTAGTGAACAATGAACCATTTTTCGAGAAAATTCTTTTGGTTTACACTAGCTACAGATTCATGATAACGCATGCTTTCTTGAATCTCGGAGTGATTGAATCTATGTTTAACTATGACCTCAACTGGATCTTCATGTAAAATACCACCATGTTATTTCATTTTATATTTCAGATGATGATCAAAAGTCTACCAGTCCTCGAGGAGGAATGTAATGCAACCTTCAACTTGAACAAGATACCACCTCCAGGTAAAGCACATATAACCGTATGTTTAGAACGATATTTTCTAAAACATCTACAAGATCACCAGACTTTTTAGTTTTCTTAAATGGCTTACTTAGGGTCAATACAACTCACGTGCGATTTGTTTTGGTCAATACAACTCACGTGCGATTTGTTTTGGTCATGGTATAGGAAAAGTAGTACTTAAAACACTAGTTTGCTACTTTGTAGATGTATGGCACGTATATGTGTACATGCATTGACAATTAATGTTTGGTAATAGCTAGAAGGAGTGTCAGGGACCGCTGACAGATTATAATTTTGAACCCAAAATTTGAATTATATTTTTGGCGGTCTCAGTAAATCAATGATGTAATCAGGTCCTACGTGCTTTTTTCAGGCCCAGAAATCAATGCTCGCTTATAAATGTAGCAAAATCTTTTTTCGTTCGTGGGATATTTTTTTCACCATATAACCGAACGTGAAGTTTTTGAATAGGACTACATGATCTGAATGGATGCGAGGATTCGATGGGCTGGGATTTGAGAAATTATGATTTGAACTTTGCCAATTTTACATGTATTCCAATGGGTGAAAAAGTAAGTTGCTTTCTACCTAATATCAACCACATTTATTAGTGAATTTCGAGAAATATGTCGAATTTAGCCATATTTCGCATATCTTTCTATGGAACCATTTGACGTTTTTCAAATTAACCCCTAAAATTCTGGAGACGACGATCTAAATTTTGCTGAGTCAGCAATTTTCGTTTTTTCATTGAAAACAGTACTTTTCAGCCTAAATTGCTACATTTCTGCTCTTTTATCAATTAATTTGATGCAGTTCTTGCCAAATTAAAGGAAACATACCCCAAACGTTCTACAGTGTGCGAAGTTCCAACATTTTGACCCTTAAAACCCGCGAAACACCCAATTTTAAAGGGACGTATTCAGTAAACCTGCACAAAAGACAATGCTACTTGAACTAGCCATCAGAACTTCATGAAAAACGAAAAATCAATGATGTTCAGTTTAGTAAAGTAGCAAGTAGTCGTACTCATGAGAGAATATAAATCACTTGTGCAATTTGTACAACTTTAAACAGCTGTTTTAAGTAGATTAGTATCGTTATGGGCAAAAACCCCCCAAAATAGCCCAAAATTTGTCCAAAAAATCAAATTTTTCATGCTCAAGGCTGAATTATTTTGTCTATTTTGCTACATTTATCAGTGCAGTGACAAGAAGTCTTGTGGATAGCGCAACTTTTCCTGAACGTTTCTCTAATAAGATATTTTAATGACAAAATAACTACATTTAGTCTGGAATAAATTGTCACAAAATATAATGACCCAAGGGGTCAAGAGAACCCTATAAAATGAAAAGTGCTAAGGGGATTTGAGCAAAAATGTACATATCACTTCATAAAACCCCAAACTTTAAAATTCATATTGAACAAAATGCATATTCAGTCAACCATGACACTAATAGGGTCAATACAACTCACGTGCGATTTGTTTTGGTCATGGTTTAGGAAAAGTAGTACTTAAAACACTAGTTTGCTACTTTGTAGATGTATGGCACGTATATGTGTACATGCATTGACAATTAATGTTTGGTAATAGCTAGAAGGAGTGTCAGGGACCGCTGACAGATTATAATTTTGAACCCAAAATTTGAATTATATTTTTGGCGGTCTCAGTAAATCAATGATGTAATCAGGTCCTACGTGCTTTTTTCAGGCCCAGAAATCAATGCTCGCTTATAAATGTAGCAAAATCTTTTTTCGTTCGTGGGATATTTTTTTCACCATATAACCGAACGTGAAGTTTTTGAATAGGTCTACATGATCTGAATGGATGCGAGGATTCGATGGGCTGGGATTTGAGAAATTATGATTTGAACTTTGCCAATTTTACATGTATTCCAATGGGTGAAAAAGTAAGTTGCTTTCTACCTTAGTACATGTAAACGGATACTTAATTCCTATGGGACTTAAAAACACAAACCACGACGTCCAAAAAGAGGCCTAGTAGCCTACCACAATAAAACGATCAAAGAATTTAAAAGGGGGTATAAGATTGCTTCTTTTCACGTTAAATTATAGTTTCGGGATATAGGATATATGGGGTTTGTTTTTATAATGACTGATGTACATTGAGAGTTAATTTTTTCTTGCTAGGACGCATTACAATTTATCACTTTCCCCTTGGCTTGAGATATTAATAATGCTTCAAGTGATCATAAAGTACGTTCAATATTTTTCAGTTAACGTCAATGCTGTGTGGACGACCTATGTGAGGTGGGGAAGAACTGTATGCCCTGACACCGCCGAGGTGTTTTACGAAGGTAGACAGTCTGCTATCGTTCAATGGCAAATTGTAATTGACATAACAAAGGGAAAATTAAGTGATAATTTAACTGTTTCACGAATTCATAGCAATTGTTGCAAATGTATTTAGGTATAGCCGGTGGTTCAGACCATGCTCATAGTGGAAGCGGAGCAAACTATGTCTGTTTGCCGAAGAAACCCGAGTGGGGGAAAATTGTTGCTGGTCTCGGCGGTACTAGCGCGTATATATATGGAGCCGAATATCAGTTAAGTGCAGGCCATAGCAACCCATTCCTCGCAACGAATGCCCCAAATTCTGAAAATGCAGAATCGCTTCACGACAATGACGTACCGTGCGTAGTATGCCAAGTCCCAAGGGGCGTTTCAATGGTACCAGCCAGACACTCATGCCCAACGGGTTGGACATTGGAGTACAAAGGCTATCTGGTGGCTGGTCATTACAATCATCCCCGTAGCGGTATTTTTGAATGCATGGACGAGGCACCCGAGACGAGACAAGGCGGTCATGCAGACCAAAACGGTGCGCTTTTCTACTCTGTCCAAGCGGTATGTGGATCGCTGCCCTGTCCCGACTATATACATGGCGCGGAGCTGACATGTGCTGTCTGTTCTAAGTGAACTTGAAAAGTAATTGAAAATTATGTTTCATGGTTCTGTATCATTTGAAAGAATATGTCGCCCAAACCAATTAAAAAAATAAAACCTATTAATTACTAGCGAATTCGAAATTAAATGGAGGTACATGTACACTATTGAAAATTATAGTGAGCGAAACGTTATTATACATTACGATTTACGATGCTATATGTTTTGAAATTGCTTTTTGCATATTATTTCTATAAGGATACCAGAAAATGAAATCACTGCAATGAATGAATATATTATTAGACTCCAGATGAAAATCTGGAGTCTATTGCTTTTGCCAGTTTTCTTATTATTATTATTAGACTCCAGATGAAATCTGGAGTCTATTGTTTTCGTCAGTTTTCTTATTCTTCTTCTTCTTATTATTCTATACCAGTTTTCTCAATAACCATTAGGTTTTCAGTAAAGTCAATCATTTGGTCAATTTAGGTTCAGTATCTAGTTCCTCGGAAATTGGGTCAAATTTTTATCTAGGTCAAAGGTCAAGAACTAGGTCAAATCCAGTACTTTGTCACTTTTTTCGATTTTCTCGGTCGTCCTTCAATATTTTCGATCCGGGTTTTTTTCATTGTGTTCCTTATAAAAAAGTAGAAATCCTAAGGTCGATTTAGTTTTTTGATATCTCAAACCGATTTCGAGATATCAGTGTCCGAAAACGAGGTCCAAAAAAAAGTTCTACGAATTAAATGGCCAGGATATTAGTCTTATAGGAAATTTTCTCAGGATTCCGAATCTGAAAACCAAATTTCGATCTGACTTCCCGTTCGGAAGTTATGGCGTTTTGAATGCTCAAAAATTGCTAAATTTGGTGCCCATGTTAAGTCAATGGGAAAAAAGATTTTTTTGAAGTGAAAAATACAAAATATAGACTGAGTTCAGCTAAATATAATGAAAGCTTTTAAAAGAATGGGACCTCAAAAGCCATGTAGCTTTAAAATTTGGACATCAAAATGCCTAGGTCAGAATCTAGGTCAAATTCAAAGTTTTTTCTTATTTTTGCGATTCTGACACTACAGATTAATTATATTCTTCAAAATTGTGTATACATGTAGCCAAGAGTGTGCTAATAGTGTTAGCCTTTTGCCGTCAGAAAGTATTTTGCCCCACTTTTGAGATATGGTGTCCGAAAAGTAGGTCAAAATAAAAAATTCTCCAAATTTAACGTGTGAGTTATGAACTAAGTATAGAATTTCCTCAGGAATCCAAATCTGCAAACCAAATTTCGATCCGACTACCAGTTCGGAAGTTATGACATTTTAAAAGCTCAAAAATTGCTAAATTTGGTGCCCCATGTTATGTCAATGGGAAAAAATATTTTTTTGAAGTGAAAAATACGGAATATAGACTGAGTTCAGCTTCATATAATCAAAGCCTTTAAAAGAAGGGGACCTCAAAAGCCATCTAGCTTCACAATTTTGACACCGAAATGCCTAGGTCAAAATCTAGGTCAAATTCATAGGTTTTTCTTATTTTTTCGATTCTGACACTACACTTTAATTATATTCTTCGAAATTGTGTATACATGTAGCCAAGAATATGCTAATAGTGTTAGCCTTTTGCCGTCAGAAAGTATTTTGACCCACTTTTGAGATATGGTGTCCGAAAAGTAGGTCTAAATAAAAAGTTCTCCAAATTGAATATATGAGTTATGAATTAAGGGTAGAATTCTGTCAGGAATCCGAATCTGCAAACCAAATGTCGATCCGACTTCCGGTTCGGAAGTTATGGCGTGTCCGAAAAGTAGGTCAAAATAAAAAATCTCCAAATTTAAAGTATGAGCTATGAATTAGGAGTAGAATTTTGTCAGGAATCCGAATCTGCAAACCAAATTTCGATCCGACTTCCGGTTCGGAAGTGATAGCGTTTTGAAATTTCGAGAAAAATCGATCTGATGGTATCCTGATAGAAAGTCAAGAGTAGAGAAGAAAATATAGAAAAAATCATCCATCCTTCCTTCATATCTTTTCCTTCCTATCCTTCCTATCCTATCCTATCCTTTCTTCCTATTCTATTCTATCCTATCCTTCTTTCTTATTCTATCCTATCGTTCTTTCCTATTCTATCCTATCCTATCTTCCTATTTTATTTATCCATCTCTTTCTAGATGACTCAGCTTATTTTGGATGACTCGGCTTATTCTGGATGACTCGGCTAAAAAAAAGTCTAGATCTGGTGTTACGTTCGAAAATAACAGAAAGTAAAAACAGCAATTAAAATATGATAACAATATATTTATATTTTGAAAACTAAATAATATAACAATAATATAAAGGAGGTTTAATACTTATGTGATGTCCAATCAATGATACGGCTTATTCTTGATGTCGATAAATGTCGTTGACGATACTTGAGAATGTTCCGGATCACGAAATGTTTCAATAATCGATAATAGTTCTCCAATGTTTGTAATAATCCAATAATGTTTGTTGTAATCCTATAATGTTCGTATCCAATAATGTTTGATGATAATCCACAAATGTTTGATGATAATCCACAAATGTTTATGATAATCCACGAATATATATGATAATCCGTATATAATGTATGTTGTAATATATGTCCATATAAAGTCCTCAGGTTGTATGTTTGTAGTGTTATAAATGTTCCCACAGTAGGTGTCTGTAATAATCCGCTAAGAAGATGTCCCTTTGATAAACTTTGAAATTCTGCTTTATTTAGTTCCTTTGAGATGTCCAGTTATGATTTCTTAATTATCTGCTAATGAGAGTCACTGTGCTGTTCTTTTTATAATGTGAAAGAATGATCCAGAAACGAATCTTCTGGAACTACATCTTGATTGGACATCTTTAGTGACATGATTAAATTTTAATGAATGGTTATAATTTCTAGAACTCTCTGGATGGTCAAGGGTTAATGAGTCATTCAGTTCAGTTTTGTTTACAAGATACAGTGTATAATGTCATTGTGACCTTGACCTAAGATCTCTAATAAAGAATAGCTCAATATATACAGCAAGCATACATTACAAATTAAACTATAGGTGAATATAGTAGAATATAATATACATGTAGCTCACTACTGTAACACCTCCCTCCTTAAAAGAAAAGTTTTGAATGCAATGAAAAACTTTTACAAGAATATCTTGAGTAGCGAGCGTTACAATTTCTAAAAGTGAGGTTGAGACTTACATGATATTAATTTTACAATAGTCCTTTTATATGCAGTATGTTTACAAATAATATAATACTTTCTATCGTTACAGTGTGAGTACAATCTAATAACATATAATGTTCTGTAATAATGTGTTACAATAGTATCATACTACAATAGTATCAAACTAAGTTATGCATCAAGTCATAAATACAATACATGCAATAGATCATATAACATATACAATAGCATACATTTTTGAGTCTGACAAACACAAAACTAGTACAATGTTTTAAATTATCACATGATCTTAATAAGTATGTCTAATAGTACACTCTCATATTATCAAGCAATCTTGTGACACTATTTAATGATCACCTATAATGCTCACATAATCTAGATACAATCTTATAGTTCATATAATATCAATTTCACTATTTAGGCAAATGTTTTTATATATTGTTAAAATAAAGTGACAGTTATCACAAATCTCTAATTTGCCTACCATATAATATAATCTTCATGAGTTAATCATTATAATTTACAATATCTGACTCTTGAATAACATGCATGTATAGTTGTCATTTACATACAAGTTTGGCCTATGAGCTAAGAGCACAAGCTCATGTTGAGTAAAGAAATTTTATCACGCTCAACATACTTTTTCATCATGTGTAGCTCTCTACAGCTCACAGGAGTAGTTTTATCAATGCAAATGAAATCATTCAGCACTGAGTCAGACTTTGAGTAAGATTTAAACTCTTTTGAAAGCCCAACAAATGTGAAATTGTTGATTTGTGATTTCACAATATACTTGGTTTTGCTATTCCTAAACATAAGGAGTGATTTTATTTCTAGAAACTGTGTGGCCATAGACAGAATAGTGAGCAGATATTGATTATCAGATTTTGTTTTTGGTAGTGGACCAACACAGTCAATAAGAACCTTACTAAATGGTTCATCAAATGCAGGTATAGGGTGTAAAGGAGCAATTGGAATTTTCTGGTTAGGTTTCCCTACCATTTGACATGTATGACAAGACCTACAATACTCTTGGACATCTTGTTTTAATTTGGGCCAATAGAAATGATTGAGTATTTTATGGTATGTTTTAGTTACTCCTAAATGACCTGCCATGGGAGAATCATGAGCTAGACTCAAGATTTCCTTATGATATGATTTTGGGACAACAATTTGATGTACAATTGCCCAATCATCTTCAGGGGAAGCTTCAGGGGGTCTCCACTTTCGCATTAATATGCCATCCTTTTTGTAGAAACAAACAGGGACCTTGACAGCTTCATCAATAGTAAGACATCTTTTATGAAGATCAATGAGTGATGGATCATGCTCTTGTTCATAAATTAACATGTGTTTAGAATGAGGATCATTTTTCAAAGAATCACTATCAGAAATAGAGGATGAAACCTCAGAACTAGAAGAGGATGAAACCTCAGAACAAGGAGGGGATGAAACCTCATGAACACTAGCAGAAGAAGATGAAACTTCATCAAGACTAGCAAGAGCGGGCGAAACCGCATTAAAATAGTGATCCTGCTCAGAAGGTGAATCACCTCTGGCAATAGGCTTTTTCAATGAAGAATTTGCCTCAATAGTTGACTGCTTGGCTCGAACAGAAGGCTGTTTCAATGAAGAATTTGCCTTTAAAATAGGATAAGGACCATCTTTAACAAGTGGTGAGTGACATTCATCATCAAACAAGGAGCTTAAAAACCCACTATCAAAGTCATCTCCCACAGACGAATCCCCGCTATCAGCTAACCTTTTAGCCATAGCCCTAGTAACAGCACAAGCAGGATATATATCTGAGTCCTCTTGGACAGAATCCTCAATAGAACAAG